CGGTCCTCCGGGAGATTCAGCCTCTATTGTGCTCTCTCGCTCTCCCTCTGTGTGTTTATTTCTGTGTGAGTTGTGTGTTTGAGCTTTGCTCTTGTGAGTTTGTATAGTCTGTCCTCTTTCCAGCTCTCCATGGTGGAGAGGAGGTCATGTGACTCAGGTCAGTTTGTTAGTCAGTGTCCTCCCATATCCACATTCTTCATGAATTCTTACAATCTAACTATAACTTTATCATCCTGATTATCCATACTGTAATTTTTCGGTTGGTCTATTCTATACACACAACATCTGTTTCCTGTCTGTCTGTCCTGAGAGAGGGATCTCTACTCAGTTGCTCTTCCTATAGTATCTTGAAAAATATTCTTCCCGCCCACCTTCTGAAATAAATGAGAAAAATTTTATTATATTATATATTAAATATTATGGCAAAAAAATAAAGTATTTGTGAATTTTTTTCACTTTTTAACACACATTTAACACACTATACTGCCTGCCATTAGGAATCCAAATTACAGCTCCAAGACGAAACTGAAAGAAGAGCAGGACTGAGATAAAAAGGTGCAATTACATCAGTCTGCTACTTCAGCACCACGGACAGCGCCATGGATTTATCAGTACACAGCACAGTTACACTACTGATATTTCACAGTCATGGTCGAGGCCATAGATTCTAACTCGCACAGACATCAGTCAGTTCAAAGATCAATGAGTCCGACAGACTAGCCTCATATATTCAACCAAAGAACCCCTCTGCCCCTGCACTCTTTCTGTGTTACTGGGGGATGCAGAGAGGGATGTGCATTTTGGTCAAGTTGCTAACAAGGTTGATGGTATCCCCTCTCATATCCTTCTCATAACCACTGGGGTCACTGAGATTAGTTGCAACAAATGGATAAACACTGATTAGTGGTGGCTGTGTTTGAGGATAATAAACATACAACAACCTACAATACCTCATTGTCCATGAATCCATACATTCATGTGTAACTGACCATCACTGATGGAAGAGCGCTGCAGAGTTGTGCTGCTGTCTCACATTAGGAGTTGGTTGGCCAAACAGGGGCCAACACAGAGGGCTGTTGTCTGTCTGTCTGTCTGTCTGTCGCTCTCTCTCTCTCTCTCTCTCTCTCTCTCTCTCTCTCTCTCTCTCCCTCTCTCTCTCTCTCACCCCAACTGGTCGAGACAGACGACCACCCACCTAGAGCCGGAGGATCTGTCCTAGGTTTCTGCCTTTTAACAGGCAGTTTTTCCTTGCCCCCGTCGCCAAGGTCTTGCTCATGGTGGTACTGTTGGGTCTCTGTAAATAATGTTTTAAAGAGTTTGGTCTACACCTGCTCCATTTGAAAAGTGTTCTGAGATAACTTCTGTTATGAATTGGCGCTAAATTAAATTGAACTGAATTGAATTGAATTGAATTGAATTGAATTGAAATTTAATACGATAATCTCGCTTTCCAGGTCATGTGGACAGAATAATTACGTTTTATTTGTGATATTTTTTTTGCCATAAAATTGTCTTGGTTAAAGGGGAATAGGGGAGAAATTATAAATAATTTGTATTTAAAATATATGTTGCACACGTGAATAAAGACCAAGTATTTTCTTCCTTTACTGGCACTGCAAAATACACAGACATTGAGTACATTGTTAACACGTTTCTGTCCAGCGTTTTCTCTGAGCACTATCATACAATGTATGTGCTTTGACTCTGTTTGCTCTCCCTCTTGTGGCTGAAGGGAGCAACAACACGTTTCTACTACAATGCAGGAAGCACAGTGACTCTTTTAACAACATAAAACTATGCACATTTTAATAAACATGAACTAGTGTAATGCAATGAAATGAAATGAAATAAATAATATTAAATAATACATGTGGGTGGTGGCTTTTCCTGTGACCTAAACAGTATAACTTATTCTATGACCTTCTTGTTATCACATATATATTGTGTTTAGAGACTGGAAAGGTGTTAATTGTATTTCCTGATGAAAATATGAAGCCTAGTGGGAGGGGCTACTGGTTTTAAAGGGCTGCCTTGGTAAAGTCAGTCTTTGCTTGGTAACAGTAAAGGTAACATACATGGGAAGGTATTATCTGTGTTACTGACTTACTGAGTTACTGAGTTACTGAGTTACTCCTTGTTGTACGACACAGTGAAAACACTTAAAGCAGTTAAAAAGTTCTCACCTTAAAGCATTGCTAACATTAGTTCAGCTTGTTTCTCTGATAACTTAAAATCCAAACTTCCAGTGATTAAAGTCCTTCACAGTTGAAATTTACAGTTAAAAATAGCCAAAATGTAAAAAGTGTTTCATAAAAATGTGGTTTAAAACTAGATAAAAAGTCAATTTACGACATCTTCTGGCAGACAACACCAATGCTGACAAAGGGGAATATGACACCAGTGACAGACAACTGGTGAAATGTACCGTTACCAGAATAAAATTAATGTAATTGTCTGGATTTGAACTTTGTTGGAAACATTTGGGATAATGTAAAGAAACAACTAAACAAAATATATAACATAGGTCTAGGTTTTTTAGACATTTTAATGCATAAATTGTTACAAATTATAGCTTTAAGACTCAAAGCAAATAAAACACACATTGGACTCGTAACAAACATGTTAACAAAAATGATAAATGTGGGTTCATTTAAATGAGTTCTTCTTAAACAGAGACATACAACTGAGATCAAGCTGCTGCTTTGAAACTGATCTGTTAATCTTAAAGTAGAGATTAAATTATTTTGTTAAAAGCCAATTAAAGGAAGTTAGACAATAACATGGATGTTTAAGTGATTATTACATAAATACATCTTACACAACACTTAATCCCTGACATCAAATTCATGAAGCAAAATGTAGCAGAAAAATGTTTATTTACATTTCAAGCAGTCTTATAATGTGTTATTACCAGCGGTGAAATGTTACCAAGTGTATTTGCTCAAGTACTGTACTTAAGTACAAATTCCATTTATGACACTTTATACTTCTACTCCATTACATTTGTCTGACAGCTTTAGTTACTAGTTACTTTTCAGATAACAGTTTCTCATACCCTTCCTGTCCAGTAAATACCACGTATCTCCATAATTTGGTGATGTTGAATGTTTCTGATAAACTGAAGGATGAAGTGTCTTTATGTGTCTTAACCTGAACAAACTATTTAAAAACCTTCTTGGATCAGCTGGAAAATACATTGTCACAAAGCTAAAACGTGGATAGTTGGTCCCTAAAGGACAATAACACTACAGACATATGATGGTTTCACAGAATATGATGCATTGCTGTAGATGAAACTACACAACAGTGTATAAAGCAGTTAAAATTAGCGCAACCTTAAACATGTACAGCAGTAAAATGCAACATACACATTAATGCAGCAGTAATATTAATCCAAACACATCTTTTATAATAGTAAAACACTGACAGAGACCATTTTACTGCATAATGAGTACTTTTACTTTTGGTATTTAAAGTAAATTTGACTGATAATACTTACTTAAGTACTGAAGTAAAGGATCTGACATACAATTTCTATTAGCAAACATATATTTTAATCTTTTATATATTGTATTATAATGTACAGTTCAGACTCCTATTGTTTCTATTTTCTTCTTTTTTTTTTTTACTTTTTCTACTTTTTTTTAATATATTTTTCTATTTTCTATATACATTGTTGTTAGATATTGTAATATATTCTTATTTTAACATTCTTCTTCTTATTATTATTATTTCTATTTCTTTAATGTCTTGTGAGCACCTTGAGTGACTGTAACAGAACTAATTCCCTCCCAAGAGGATCAATAAAGTTCTGATTCTGATCTGATTCTGATGAATATGTCTTCCTCTACTGGTTATCACTTCTGCTTTTCACATTGTGCTACTAGTTAACCTACTTCACCCCCTTCTGGACTAAAAGGCTTTTTACAGCAATAAATCCTGAAAATGATCATCTAATACAGAAACACAGTCAAACATTTATCAGTCAGTTATCAATGTAAAGTAAGTATGATGATATGAGCTGTAACTATACTGTGGTCTCCTATTTGTTTGGTTTGTTGACGGTGGCATAGAGGTTGCTGGGATCAGCAGAGGCTCCAGCAGAAGAAGAGGGAGCTTTCACAGTGACGTAGGTCACTGCTTCATCATCATCATCATCATCATCATCATCATCACCTTTACCCCGAACCTGGAGAACATGAAACAAACAGCCCAACACATAAATTACACAGCATTAAATGACACAGAATAATGCAACATTATGATATCCAGCACCACATAAATGAGATTTGTTTGTACATGTCCTGAACACCTCTGGTCCGTAGTTGTTGAGATATTTAGTTCTGGACCAAAGTGTTGGACACACTGACTTCACAATCCTTCCATGTAGACCTGAGCTTTAATGGTAAAATAAAGAATCTTTCCTGTTTTTATTACCTGAGAAGTGTTTTCATTCACTATCATCTTTACTATAACCAAACAGACAGCTTACCCGGCCTTTACTGTTGCTCTTCTTGGTGAAGCTGATGGAGGCGTAGGAAACACCATCTTCAGGATCAGCCTACACAGAGAAGACAACATCATGGCTGCTCAGTAACATGTGGACTTCATTGTATTCTGTTCATTCTGTCACTGTGTGTCTCACAGAGCTACATTTTGCAGTGTAACTTTGTACTGGGTGTAGTCTGGGATCTTACCGTGTCCTGACTGGTTTCTGGATTCACTGGAGGGTTTAAGCTCTGTACCTGAGAAACATTAAAATAAAAAATAAAAATAAAAAAATAAAATCTACTTGATGACACTGTCAGAGAGGAGCTGATTAAACTCCGTTATAACTGTATAAACATTTGATTCCTCAACCAGAAAACTCACATTGTTTGTATTGTTTTGTGATTTTTTTCCTGAAGAGACAAAAGAGAGTTGACTTTAGTTTCAACAATAAAAATCCTGGTTCATCAAAACTTCTTGTTCATAAAAGTTTAATCTGTGGTTGCTCTCACCTTTAGTTCTCTTCCATCTGATGACAGCAACAATGATTATTAAGAGTGCTGCAAGACTCACAAACACAATGATGAACCACTGCCACCAAACTGGAAAGAGAAGAATAACATTGAACACATCTTCAGCTGCAGCTTTGCCTTCTGTTCAGTTTATGTAACTCTACACTAACCACTACACCCTCCCACTTCTGTCGTTGGAAATCCTGATCTCCCAGATACACCCCGAGAACCTTCATCCCATTCCTCTTCCACTGAAGTCCTGATGGAAGAACAGGCATCATATTTATATTTAAAGAGCCACAGTACAGAGCCTCACAGAGGAGGCTCTTTGGTACAGTCTAAGGCTTTCTCTCAACAAGCACACATCAGCTTGTCCAGTTATGAAAATGTTTACATCATCAGCATAAGCAGCCAATGTTAGAGGCAGGCTGAGTGGACTGTTGGGCAGATGGAAACCCTTGAGTTTGTTCCTTATGTTGTTAAGCAGAGGTTCAATAGCCAAGCTGTATAACTGACCAGAGAGAGGGCAGCCCTGCCTTATTCCCCTCTGGACCTGTATACGTGTAGTCAGCCCCCCCTCAACTTTCACCATGCAGCTTGCACCATACAACAAAACAAACAAACAAACAAACCCACCCATGATGTGAAAACTTCTCCAATACCAAAAGCACGAAATACTGAAAACAAATATGCATGATCAATCCTGTCAAAAGCCTTTTCCTGGTCAAGTGACAGGATGCCGATGTTTATATCCAACACTTTACTGATGTCGATTACATCCCTCACCAGGAAGAGACTGTCCATTATTGTTCTCCCAGGGATGCAGTAGCTCTGGTCCATGTGCACCATTAGGTCAATGTTTTGTTTGAGTCCGTTAGACAGAGCTCTGGACAGTATTTTGTAGTCTGTGCACAGAAGTGCCACAGGCCACCAGTTTTTTTAATGAGGCCAGGTCTCCCTTTTTTGGTAGTAGAGAGACAACAGCGCTCTGGCATGAGGCTGGCAGCTGCCCTCTTTTAAAACACTCTAAAAAGACTGACAGAAGATCTGGACCAAGGACGCCCCAGAGCTGCTGGTAGAAATCAGCCGACAGCCCGTCTAATCCCGGAGCTCGTCCTTTAGCCAGCTGCTGCGCCGATGTGGTCAGCTCCTCTAAGCTCAGCTCTTTATCCATGTCCGCCTTCTCTCCATTGTTGAGCTGAGGAAGACCCTGTAAAATCTCTGCAGCACAGCTCTGGTCACAGTCCTCAGCCCTGAACAGAGAGGAATAAAAGTCTAGTGCATGTTGTCGCATTTCTGCCGGGTCTGTTGTCATCCTCCCATCAGGAAGACACAGACAGGCCATAAGTTTTTTCCTCACTTCCTTCTTTTCTAGATTAAAAAAGAAGGCAGTTGGAGCATCCATGTCTTTCAGTCCGATGAGGCGGGATCTTATGAGTGCCCTCTTCACTCTCTCCTGTAATAAAACACTCAAGTCTCTTTTTTTCCCCCTAACATGTCTTTGTTTAACTGGACATCTATGTGTTTCTCACACTGCCTAATTTCCTCTTCTAGTTTTTTAAAAGCTGCTTTAGCCTTAGCTGTGGAGTAAGATGTATACTTCTGACAAAAAACCCTAATGTGTGCCTTCCCTAATTCCCACCACTGACCTAAAGAAACAAAATGCCCTTTCTTCCCTCTCCAGTTATCCCAAAACAAACAAAACTGTTGGCAGAAGGCCTTGTCCTGAAGTAATTTATTGTTAAAATGCCAATAAGAGGAGGTCTTTCCTGTTTGAGAGGAGATTAAAGTGGCCATGATGAGATGATGATCTGTAAAACCTACTGGTGTTATGGAGCTGTCACTGAGTTTTGGTCTGAGGCTGTGAGAGATGTATATCCTGTCTAACCTGGCTGCACTGACTGTGTTGTTGGTATTGACTCTGAACCAGGTGTACTGTCTGTCACCTGGATGTTTGACTCTCCATGTGTCACAGAGGTCAAAAAGACCAACCACATTGTTCAGTATCATGGATGACTTTGGATGAGGTTCTTCATTCATCCTGTCAAAAGTAAAACATAAAGTGCAGTTCCAATCTCCCCCCATTCTGATGTTGTCAAGAGTTAACTGAGACAGTTCATCCCTCAGCTTTTCGAAGAAGTTCACTCTGTCTGATCCTGTGTTTGGAGCATAGACATCAATAAAAGAAAAAGTGACCCCATCTATTTCTGCCACGACCACCAGGGCCCGACCTGTCACTATTTCTACTGAGGTCAAGATTTTAAAATTCAACCCTGTTGAGACAAATGGCCACTCCCCCCTTAAAATTTGTTCCATGACTAAAACACAGGAGACATCAGTCCATAAAGCCCAGTCGGTCTCATTGTCAGCATCAGAATGGGTTTCCTGAAGAAGCATAACATCTATTTTCCTCTGCTGAAAGGTTTCTGCAATCAGAGCTCTCTTCTGTTTATCCCTCCCTCCATTCATGTTTAAAGATCCCACCCTAAGCCCATCCATGGAAAGGGAAAGAACAGAGAGAAGCAGCAGCAGCAGGAGACAGTCAGCCATAAGAAACACCCTGTGATGCATGACGGTTTACTAGACCTTCTCTTCCTGAGAGCAGCAGCAGTCTTTTTTAATGTGGTGACGTGCTTCTTCAACCTGTAGCATTTCTTTTCGTTCAGGGCATCAAAGCCAACCAGTTTTTGTAGAATTACAGCTGAACGCACACATTTTCCAGTGTCTTGAAAATAATCTTTTACTTTATCAGACTTACCAAAAGTCTCACCTAGAAATCCACTGATCTCCTCCAGAGAGTAAAGGTCATTATTAAAGCCCTGATCAGTCCCAGGGAGCCGGCCAGTGTCTGAGTCTTCTTCTTCCTCCTCCTCCTCCTCTTCATCATCTTCACTCATAACCTGAATACTGAATAACGCCTTTTCCTCTGAGTCCTTCCTGCCCTGCTCACTGGTAGACGGCTCTGCCACATCCACCCTGTCAGCGGACCCCCCGCCCTCTGCAGCCCCAGCAGACCCGCACTGATTTCCCACGGCGAGCAGCTGACTGCCCGGTCCTCCGTCATCGGAGACCGCTACGGGCGTCTCATCACCGGTTCCCCGGGCCACTACGGGAGCCAAAACAGCGGCCAGCGGCGCATCAGCGCTCCCGGCGGACACAGTAACTCTGGTGGTGCTCCCTGCAGCCGGAGCTGCGGCGTTAGCCTCGGGCTGTCTGTGCGGACATAACACACGTTTGTGGCCGTAATCTTCACACTCAAAACACTTCATCTGTCCAGCACTGGCATACAGCATATAAAACCCCTCCCCATACTTGACCCTGAAGGACACGTCCAGGCTCTGTGAGTCCAGGAACATAAACACCTGTCTTCTCATAGACATCACGTGCTTCAGTTTAGGATCTTTACATCCCAAACCGACCGTCTTCAACCCGCTGGCGATCTTCCCAAACCTCCGCAACTCTTTCTCCAGCAGTTCGTTCGACTGGGATGAATCACCAGCCCACTCTCCACCAACTTGTAGACCAGCTGATCATGCCCGACCACTTCTCCCACAGCCAGCAGCACCACCTCCATCGGCACACCGGGCCCAGGGACCAGCCTGACGCCGTGCTGGAGGGACAGAGACGGCGTCTCGGCGGACGCCATCTCGCCCACCTCAACGCCGACTTTCGGCTCTTTTTCCAAACTTTAACCACTAAAACCAAACAAAACACTCACCTGTACATACACAACAAAGAGGAAAGAAAGAAAGCAAAGTCCAAACCAACAGGACAAAAGAGAAGTTAGGAAGAGTTTAGGAAAAACTGCAGCGACCACACCGCGTGCAGCCTCACTCTCAGACAGAGAGAGAGAGAGAAAAATGCTGAGTCATCTTTTAGTTCTGGTGAAGTATTATTGATTGGAGACGCTGTCGTGTTGGTTCCTGCAGTTGTTGTTATTGGTATTGTTGTTGTTGTTGTTGTTGTGGTGTTGTCACATATAAACACAACTCAACAAACTGTTCTCAACTTTTGTTTTGATGTGATATTAAAACGTAATATAAAATTAAAATGCTGAGTCACTACCTTTTAGTTCTGTTGGAGACGGTGTCGTGTTGGGTCCTGCTTTTATGCTGTTTGTAGTTGTTGTTGTTGTTGTTGTTTTTGTCGTACTTGGAATTGTTGGTTTTGTAGTACTTGTTTTTGTTGTTATTGTGTCCTCACCTGAACAAATGAACACAACTTAACAAACTGTTCAGTACAAAACTTGTGTTGTGATGTAATATTAACACTTTAAATCCATAAAATAAAAATACAAGAATATTTGAGTTAATTATTAACGTCAGTTTGAAGTAACTTTATGATGTAAATACTCACTGGTATTAACAGACAGATCAACCACAGAGCCTGGACCTTGTTGTTGTCCTGATATAAACTGTCTGCAGGTGTAACGACCAACATCCTCGACTGTGAACTTCTTTATAACCAGAGAACAGTTCGCTGTAACATTCAGTCTGTCTGATATAGAGCTTGTGTTTTTGATCTGTCCAAGTTCAAACAGCGCTACTGCTGCTGTGTTTCCTGAAGCACTGAACAGCCATGTAGTATATTCACATCTTTGCTGACCATCAATCACATTATCACAAGGCAAAGTGACGTCACCTCCAACTCTGACAGAGAGGAGTTTTTCAGCTGCTGCTGTTATAAAGAAAAGACATAATTATGAAAAATATATGTAATGTTAACATTAAGTGTGACTTGTTTATTACTTGTCTTATATAAATAAAATGTAGATAATGAAGTATCTTTAACAATATTGATAAAGATAGTTTTAATATATGTGATATATGTGTTCTTACCTGTAAAGTGAAGCAGCGCTATCAGAAATAAAGACATTTGAATCCATTTGAACTCAACCATCGTGATTCTCTGTCTCTCTCTCCTTCTTCTATCTCTTGTTCTCATGCTCATAACTGTGTGAGTTTATAAAGTAGTGCTTCAGTAGAGAGACGCTGCATCTACTTCCTGTGGTTAGTATGATGTCACTTCCTCATAGTGACTTTTGGTCTGTTTTAGATTTTCGTCTCTGAATTTTTTATATATGTTCAAACCGACAAAAACTCTGTTGCAGTTTTTACTGTTACATTTTGTTAATGTAGTTTTCTCTCAGAGGAAATAAATAAATATATTTTTTTCCATTCACTGAGCCAATCTAACGCTGAAACAAACAAACTATATTAACACTCATACTGAGTCTCAAGTTCACACTGTGTCCATTCCCACGGTGAATTTGTGACAATGACGTGTTTCACCCCCTGAGAAGAAGAAGAAGAAGAAGAAGAAGAAGAGGAAGTTTAATGTGTGAAGATTGTTAGTTAAGATAAATGTTTGCAATGATGCATCTTGTTTTATTTAGATAGTGTTTATTAGCAAACAGGCAGGAGTCATGATGATGTTTAACAGCACACATGAACAGACAGGTGAAGAGTCAAACTCCTCGTCCACCAGAGTTTGACTCTTGATGTCCATGGTGCAATATGGTGATACTGTAGCAGCTGCAAGGACACAGATAAGATGATGTTTTAGTGGTCTGACACATGTTGGTTCCTTGTTCTTTGCAGTTATTTTTTTTCTGAGAACTGAAGGAGGAGGGGAAGTTATTTGATGAGAATGTGGTTAACAACAGTAGCAGAGCTCTGGTGGTTCAACCCTCTAATGATGACCACACACACACATCAGAAACACACGAGGCTCACAGGAACAGACAGTCCACAGTCAGTTGGTGAGAAATACTGTGTATAACCACAGAGTCACAAACGTTATTAGCAGGAGAGTACAGGAGAACTTTATTGTGTTACTTCTGGCGCCGTCGTCTCGCTAACTGGCTTTCTGTTGATCCACACCGGTGTAGACGTCTCCGCAGGTCCTGACTCTCTTTAGCTGGCTGCTCTGTGCTCCTCCTCCAACTGGTATCTGAATCTGAATCTCTTTTCTTGGTCAGGTATGTGCACACATACAAGGAATTTGACTGGTTTGGTTTTACGTTTGCTCTCAATGTGCAAACACAGAATAAGTTCAAAAACATAGACATGAAATATGTGCAGTTATTAAAGTTTCATTCCACATTTATTCAAATTATAATATATATTTTGTAGAAAAGGCCCCAAAGTTGGGACATATTATGTTTAGTGTGTGATGTTTCATAGATGTAGTGTTGGTCAGCTCATATAGGAGCCCACCCCCCCTGTTGGTTATGTAGCGTAACTGACGGCGCTTGGTCAGAGAGGTGTGTGCTCCTCGAGTGAGGGATTAACAGTTCATTAACGTCACGGAAAGTAGCGTTTAGCTCACCTGCCTCTGATCGAGTGTACGTCACGTCACGTGTTATGTTATTATATTAAGGTGACCAGATTTCCGAAATGAAAATCGGGGACATTTTTAGCGCAGTGGTCAAAATCGTTAATCGTTATCGTTATGAAATAAATAACAGGGGCAATTACATGTTAATGTATATTGACAAAGCACATGAGTAGCCAATAAGAAGTTACCTTTAACCCTTCCAAACTGTAAACCAATATGAAGAACTTGGATTCTGAGTTGACTCTGATTCTTCTTATTATTATTATTTATAGTTTTTTTTTTTTTTTTTAGCTATGTCAATCAACTCACGGGAGCTTGTCAACATGTGCACACTTCCACTCGTGACTTCAGCCATATTTCACAGCAAAGCATTACATGAGAGGATTTACACTTACGCTGTACACTCCTTGTGATAGAAAGTCAGAACAAACTCTGAGTGCAACCTGCAACGCGTGCTTCCCCCTGTAAGGACGGTGCCCCTAAAATAAAATAAAAAAGGAGGCGCTCTCCAGCTGGCTCCCCCGTCACTCACCTGCAGCTGCACGGACGAGCAGAGGAGCGCTCTGCTGTTGTGGCGTGGATGTGCCGCAGCACAGCGGGAGCAGAGACCAGCCGGTCGACACAAGCCATTTACTGCGTAACGTCAGCACGTTAGTTAAACTGGTTTAACCATAATAACTGGAGTGTGCATCCATACGCAACTTTTTTTCTCCCCCATTCAAATCGGGGACATTTTCGGGGACAGCTTTAACCGGGGACAGGTCGGCCAAATCGGGGACTGTCCCCGAAAATCGGGGACGTCTGATCACCCTATATTATATATTATATATGTTATTATAGCGTTACGTAAATATTACCATGTGATGTTGTTTATATGTGTGTTAATATGCTAGTGTGTCAGGTGAAGTGTGTTTCAGGACTGTTATTGTGATAATTAGAGGCAAATGGGGATGTAGTCATTTCAGTACTCCTTTATTATGTTTATTAGTGATTAAGAGCTTTATTCCTTATTCATTTGTGTATATTTGTTATTGTTCTTTTGATATAGAAAAACCACATGACCTCACTGCCAGCAAGAGAGTATTAAACACCTGCACTATCCATCACCTGCTTCTTCATTGTGGACCCTCTGAAAGTTGATTAGCCTTAAGTTGGTGTTCTGGCCGGCACCCCGGTGTGAACTCAGAGATAGCCCCTGAACTAACGCCATATACAGTATACTCCCAGTGTCTTCACTACAAATTTCCTGATACTTGAATATATGGAATGAAAGTCTGAATATATGGAATGAAATGTCACGTGATCAAGGCACTGCGCCATCTTGTGTTTTCCATACTGGCCTAATATTATTCCATAAGGATGTTACTGCAAGAAGTGTGGGACTGAGTGAGCCTGCATGGTATCTGTAAGAGGCAATCCTAACCTCCTGGTGAGTGTGTGCCAATATTCACACTGTTACTGTACTGTAGCGTGTACCTGTCACGTCCGTTCATGGCAGCTCTCCTCTTATTGATCTGTGCACTTGGTAGTTGCTAGGATTATTTTTAGTGGCTAGTACACTAAATTTCAATTTCTTTGGCTAACCTGTTAGAACCTTCAAGTTGTTAAACACACACTACCTAATAATTACTACCTGTAGAGATAACATGTTAGCATACAGCATAAATTGATTCAAAATTGATTATTCACTTCCACTGATATAGATTAACTACATATCTGATATTAAAAGGTTTGTTTAATTTCAAACCCTGGTGAAAAATCTGTAGCTGAACGATTGAATGTCCAGTTTGAAGAGAGAAGAGAGAGAGAGAGAGAGAGAGAGAGAAGGGGTGTACGGCCAAAACAGTCCTTCCTTGCCTGTCGTAGTGTTGGTTGCTGTTGAAACTCCTGACACCCCCTCCTTGAGATCACCCACTGCCTCTGACACCTCTGCCTTAATTCCCTGCGAACAGGGAATCATCCTCCTCGTAGTTTTTCTGAACGGTCAACACATCTTGTTCTGTTGGTGCAGTGGGGACAGGTTTGGTGGTCCAGGAGATGCCTCCCAATGATCAATGACCAGCAACTCATACATGCATGATAAAATAACACAAAGTCTTACTTTCAGCAGCGTTCCAACAAAAGCAAGCAAACTAGGGCTGTGCTATTCGGGCCCTTTTGGTTATCTTCTGTGGCATGTTTCTGAGCCAATGATGCCAGCCATGGGGATTGTAGGACGATAGGTGTGGGGAAACAGGCAGCGTGGGTCATTAACCAAATCACCACAATCACTTTGTCTGTCTGCTGTGTCCAGTACAGGACTGTGATCACACCCCACCCTAGGCCCCAGAGAATAATTGCGCTGAGTTTGATCAGCCAACGCCTTCTTCCTCTTTCTTGCAGCGCCAACGGTCATTAGGGCTTCGCATATGATGTTGGCCATGGTTTTAAGGTTGTGTTTTCTTTTTCTTCTTGGTTCTTCTTTTCTACTTAATTTATTTAATACTACCTTTCTTGCTTCCCCTTGAAGATCAGGAACTGCAAATGGCTAGGGTGTGACGGCGCCCAGTTCTTATAGGCTCCGTCTGGCTTGAGTGGTTTCTCACTCCTGACTCCTTCCCATAGGACCGACAGAGTAGATGGCTCTGAGCAAACCACACCAGAATTCTTAACTTCTTCCCACTTCATCACCTCCTTCTCCTCCGACAGAATCCTTTGTTTAGCACAATCTAATTTTCTTCAGTCCCCTGCCTGCCCAGAGTCCTGAGGCTGTTCTCCTTAAGGCAACCCCGCCATAGACAGTGGCCAGCCTGATGTAGGGTGGTAGGTTTTGTATGTTACTGGCCATTCTTGGTTCCTAGTTTTCTTCTAGCTTGGAATTGGCTTAAGCTGCTCCACTCCCTGGGTTCCCTTCTTCTTCAGTAACACCGTGTTACTGTCTAGAACTTTCAATACTATGTCAGGTACTTCGTACTTAGCTTTGATGTCACATCCTGACATAGAATTCACTAGCACCAAAAGGTATTTCTCACCTTTCTTCCCTGTCACCCCCATCGGGCCGGCTACGTCCATGCATACTGATCCCCATGGTACGGTGCTTTTTATGGTGACGCCATCCACTCTCTGTTCCCTGCACCCTGCGTTGTATTGACCACACACTTCGCAGTCTTTGAGGACTCCTTGAATTCGGCTTATTGGAACCCAAAGCTGCTGCTTGTCCAATTCGATCCTGGTGGGCTTGGTGTCTGCATGTCTACGCTTCATGTACGGCCTGCACCACCTCCACCAAGGATTCTTCTGGGACCACCCTTCCTTTGGGACCACCTACCTTTTGCTGTTTTCACCAATCTGTCCACGGTCAATCAGAAGTATTGACGTTGTGTTTCCTGAACCAACAAAGAGCCACGAAGTACGCTGACATTTGTCCTGATAATCTCTCACATTGTCACAAGGCAAAGTGACTTCATCTCCAACTCTGACAACAATACGGGGGGAGAGTTGTTCAGCCACTGCTGTTGAAAAAAGATGAGAAAGAATTAAATAAATAGGCTTTTATGTTGAGATTAAGTGTGAAAGCTGAAGTTTGTTTTGTAATGTTTCTGGTATTTCTGTTTATGCTATATGTATCCTTACCTGTAAAGTGAAGCAGCAGCATCAGAAATAAAGACATTTTAATCCATCTTGATTCAACCATCATGCTTCAGTCTTCTTTATGTCTCTTCTCAGTTACTGACTGTCAGAGTCTGTGAAGTGGTGCATGTTAAAAGAAATTACTCTGCTTCCTGTGATAAATTATGTGTCACTTTCTTATTGGGATTGTCTTTATATTTTTTAAGTTGTGTATTTATATTGGTGAATGCTCAGCCTACATTTTTTTTCCTCTCTACGAATTTCAGCAGCCAAAGACTTTAACTTTGACAAGTTTAGTCATTTAGTTAACACTTTCATCCACATTGATTTACACCAGATTAAACAGTAGATTACTAATAACTAAATACTAATCAATAAGCAATAACAATTATCAGTAGATTTAGAAGAAAACATCAGAAAAGAGCTCAGTGATCAGATGACACAGCAGCCGGTGAACGATCCTGTGGAGATAAGCTGAGGAGAAAAGGGATTCTAGTGATACCTTGTTCAATTGGTCCTGTGAGTTCTTTATGTGTTTAGTTTCATGGAACAACCAATTGAAGACAGTCACTGATAAGCAACAAATTAAAGAAAATTAATGATAAGTGTACCCAGTGAAATTGGCTCTGTTTTATTCTCAACATATGACATAATCCTTTCCAGAAAACTCTTCCTAAGAATTTACAGCCTCAGTTACTTTTTAGGTATAAGGAAGTCACAAGACCTATACACTGAGGTGTTAAGAATTCATCACAATAAAGCAGCAGTTAAAGTAGCCACTGATGTGTTTTCAGATGAGATCGTAATACACGTAGCTCTCTATAATAAGCTAAATATTTTGATACAATTCATTTCACCTGAGGCTTTGATTTCATCAAATACACCTGTTGTCTTCCTGATCAGACCCATTGTTTCTTCTAGTGATGGGAGAGTGAAGCTTCAAAGGTTTGGAGCTTCAAATGCAGCAAGCACAGTGACATCTAGTGTTTTTTAGAATTCATAGCAGCTCTTCAAGACTGGACCCAAAGCACAACAACACCTCTCTGATTGTGACTGTTGTCTCATATGAGTGCAGTAAAAGTCCAAGAAATGTGTGTTCTTTTTTAAATATGTAATACTTTATTTGAGAAGTGCTGCACTGAATGTAGACAGTATGTTGCAACATGTTAAAGTAAAATAATTAACAAATGCTTATTAATTGGTATCAGTTGGTACATTAAAATGAGTTCTTCTGCACACAGAGACATGAAACTCAAAGCTCAAGCTACTGTAGCTTCAAAAAAGCCCCAGTAAATCTAAACTCTTTAGCTGGAAGACAATTTAAGGAAGTCAACAAGAGTTGAATTATCTTTTCTGTTTAATGAAGTTGAAATTCAGCTGCTGTGTTCTGAAATGGTTGTAGAAAATAAATAAATGAGAGCATGGATACGACTTGAAAATGGTTGTCAAAAGTCAGACTGAAATAGAAATGGCTTAGCACACAAAGCACAGAAACATTTGATTCATAAAAACACAAACATTAAATCATCCAAAACTGAAAATGAACCTGTAAATATAAATAATATAAATATGATGTTATTTAACTGCTGTCATCGTTTCTCTGATGAGTTGACGTTGATATGGACGTTGTTGATCAGTGGAGTCTGACAGAGGCAGAAGTTTCTCCAAAGTTTTCATATTTCACCACACCATCGTCTTCATCTTCATCATTATTCACCTGTGAAACACAACACAAACACCCATCAGTCTTTCCTGCTCGGGTGTCATTGTTGTAATAGTTGTTAACAGTTTCAACAATGTGTTATGCAACAAAGAAGACAGTAAACACATTATGTAACAGGAAATGAAGAAATTATTCGAGTAAGATGGCCGCTTAGTCAGAATCTGACCTGTTGCCCTTTGCTACGGGTCATCCCCTCTCTCTCTCCCCCTTTCCTGTTTATCTTCACCTCTCACTATCAAAAAAAGGCCACAAAAAAAAAGTGTCTATCATGATGAGATGGTGGTGCGTTAGTGGTTAGTGAGCTGTCAGTTCCTCATTCTTTTGAAACATTTTGAGTTTAGACCTGTAATTTCCGTTGATTGTTTTTCTGCAGAAACAAGACTGAGGCCACCTCCCTTTTATTTTGTCTTAAGAGTTATGTCTTAAATTATTTTCCTAGAAAGTATGATCTCCTTTTTAAATGTTGTTTTATTGTTTTTATTCCCATTTAGTTGTTAGAGGTTTTATTGTTTTTCCATCCTGTTGCATGTCTTTTGGCCTCATTTTATCTACCATACATGTTTTCGTTGTTGTAAAGCACTTTGGAGCGTTGCTTAGAACAGTAATATATATAATATGTCATAGCCATCATTTGGCATCTTTGCCTTTTCCTTGCGTTTTTCTTGTGTTTCCCCCTCCCCTTGTGTCCTGTCTGGGTGTTGTGGGTGCAGTTTTCCTTCTAGCTCTGCTGCACACACCTATGTGAAATCAACTCATCAACTCTCCCAGCCTGCTCACCTGCCTCCAATCAACCCAACAGTATTTCTACTCTGGTCCTCCAGCTATTTGGTGTCTGATTGTCAGTCTGTAACAGTAAAGTATCCTTGTCAAGTATCTTTGTGTCGCAAGTTTCTAGTTTTTTGTAGTTTTACAAATAGTTTCCTGCGTAGTACTCCTGACCAATTCTTACTCCTGTGCTCTACACCTACCAGCCTGCCAGTCATCCATCACCAGCCATTTTAAGCCATCTCCACAAACCTCTCATCATCATCACCATCTTCATCTTCACCTACTAATAACTAATAAACTGCTAAAACCTACTAAACATCACCATAAGTCTGAATCTGTGTCCTGCATTTGGGTCCACATCTTAATCTAATGTGACAAAAGTAAGGTTTTGTTATTATTACTATTATTTAGGAAGGGCAGTCTTTTTTTGTTTATGCATTGTTGTCTTGTGATTTACCTTGTATTTAGTTTGAATGTTGAATGTCTGTTTCGTATATGGATACAAATTTGCAATAAAAAAAAATAGGAAGTGCAGTCCTGGTGCTGTGATGTTGACAGATGTCATTTCGTAATTTCAAAAAACCATTTGTTTTCTACAACAGCATAACCGTTCTTGGAGACAATTTTCTTTTTTGAAAAATAAGTTTTGTGAATAAAAGGGAATTCAGAAAATATAATACTAATAGAGGGTGTCTCCAAAATCAATATGGATATCCACCTTTTATTGTAAAATACATGACACATCAATTAATTATAACATACATACATACATACATATTTTTTTTCAGCAGATCATACAATCAGTTATAATCAACACAACACTGTTACTAATCAAAGCTCATATATTTTACTATAAAAGACACAACACATCAATTGATTACAGTGTGTATATGAAGACGACACTGTTACAGACTTTAAGAATCAAAGCTCATTTAAACCTACTCCACTAAAATTACAAAAACATATTGGACATTGGAAAACAGCAATTCTATATCAAAGTTAATTAAAATGAGTTCTTCTGCACACAGTGATACAAGGGAGGTTGTGCTAGGCTAGGCTACTTATGACATTAAAAGACAAACAGAAAACCAGCAGGCCTAAGTTCAAATGGATGTCATCCTAAGAAAGTTGTTAGAATTGAACTGGCTAAAGAAAGGAAACATTTTCAAAATGCAAGAAGAGACATTCTTAAATACAGTACAGCAAGCTTCTTAAAGGGGACCTATTGTGCTTTTTTGATTATGCCCATGAATTACAGGGATGTGATTAGTCTGTCTAACTTATCCCACTGCTCTGCTCAGGAGTAACCCTTCAAGATTTTGGATGCAGAAAGTCCTTTTTTAGTTTTCAGTTGTGTTGTTGTGCAGCTTCTCTACCTCCGCTCTCAGGGATATACAGAGTTTACTGATGGATACATTAGCTTTACTTGTTGCTATTAGCTAACCACTAGTTGCGGCGAACTCCTGATGGACTGGGAGCTCAAGGCACCTGTGCTCCAGGTTGTAAACATTTGTTTGTTTCTGCTGTAAACTTTTAAATATGGGGCCTGATCACTTCTGAAACCAGCTTCAAGTGGCAGCTCAAGGAACTGTAATTTTTGTTATTTCTGTGTTGGCTTTATTTGAAAGCCATGGGGGATTCTGCTTGATCAATACATTCAGCAATACCTCATGTAGAGCCTCAAAATAAAATTATGATTCATGTTTTTGTGTAAAATAATGCTGTCAAGAAATGTTTAAGTGGACCTCACACAACAGTTCCCACCGCATTTACACTGACTTATGTGTCCAATCGTTCGTATATATTTTTAATTTTACACTTCACTTTTCAACTCACAGTGATGTCATCAGGTGGTCTCTGGTTCCCTGGAAAATGTTTAACAGCAGTGGACTCATTTCTCTGGTGAGTTGATGTTGGTGTGCAAGTTGTTGAGTCTGACAGAAGCAGAAGGCTCTCCAACGTTTTCATAGTTCACTGTGCCGTCATGTCCATCTTCATCATGATGCACCTGTGAGACACAGCAACACACTTCAGTTTAACTGGAACAAATAAATGTTTTCAGTCCATGAATTTTTTTATAATCCCCCAAACTGCCAGATTTTCCTCCAGTTACTGTCTGGTCTGATCTTTACCTGACTGGCTGCTGGACCTGAACGCCTCACTGCTCGGCTTCCTTCTGAGTTTAAAACCTGCACAAACACAAACAGTGAGACATTCACAGTCCTGCATTACAGTAACATGAACAGTTCCCAGCAGCAGCTTATCATCATTTACACTGACTTACAGTCTCTGATCATTCATATACATTTTTATTGTTACACATGGGTTCACTTCAGTTTTTATTCTCAACTCACAGTGCTGTCATCAGGTGGTCTCTGGTTCCCTGGAAAATAAAGCACAGCGTAACATTTCAGCTCTAAACTTACAGTTTGTGTTAATCAGTGTAAACAAATGTTGGTCTGAATGTTCTCACCTCGAGCTCTGATGAGAAGAACAGTAATCACAGTAATTAGGAGGAGTTCAGCCACACGCATAACCAACATTATGTAGTTCAGAACAGACCAATCTGTACGAGCTGTGCAACAGAAAAAAAATGTCAGTGAAGAAAGTTATTGTCAACAAATCAAGCATAGCTTTGTGTGGCTTTGCAAAAAAATTCAAACCTTTTTGTCTCTTTCAAAAAGATTTGTTTCCCTCTGTCATTGAGTCAGTAGGAATATAAACAACATTTGAAAATAGTGATTCCTCAACAGCCACTGTGTAGAGCAACTCAGAACATTCAACCATTTACTAATGAAACAACACAAACAACTTAAAACATAAACACAAAGTGAAAATAGTTCTGTGTGTTTGTTTGTGTTCTCACCTGAACAGATAAACACAACTCAACAAACTGTTCCGTATAAAACTTGTGTTGTGATGTAATATTAAAACTTTAAATCCATAAAATAAAAATACATGAATATTTGAGGTAATTATTAACGTGACATTAAAACAAACATATTCTCACCTGGTTTCTCAGCTGAGGGCTGAAGTCTGAAGGGAAACTGCTGCACTTTGTTACCATCAGTCACTGCACACTTCAATGAGTTAGAGTTTGATGTGTAAATGTAATGAGAAGCCTTAAAGGTCACAGAGACATTGCAGGGAGACTGTGATGTCTTCACTTCTTGGTTATCTTTACCCAAATCTTGACCCTTATACAGCCACTTCACTGTGTGTGTACATCGTCCATTAGTCGACACAGAGCAGCTTAATGTCACCTTATCAGAGTCCTTATGTTCAGTCACTGGTGAAGATGGAGACATTGTGAGAGAAAGACAACAAGAGTAAAATGAACTTCATCACTATAATCATAATTATTGTAATGTTTCAGTATTTTGTTCTAACAAGACAGTTTGAGCTGAAAACATTATGATGTAAATACTCACTGGTAATAACAGACAGATCAACCACAGAGTCTGGACCTTGTTGTTGTCCTGATATAAACTGTCTGCAGACGTAACGACCAGCATCCTCGACTGTGACCTTCTTTATAACCAGAGAACAGTTCGCTGTAACACTCAGTCTGTCTGATTTAGAGTTGGTGTTTTTACCAATCTGTCCAAGTGTAACCAGCTCTACTGTTGCTGTGCTTCTTGAACCAATGAAGAGCCATATTGTACTATCACAGTTATTCTGATCCTTTATCACATTTTCACAAGACAAAGTGACGTCATCTCCAGCTCTGACAGTGAAGGAGAGATAAAGCTGTCCGGTTGCTGCTGCTGAGAAGATGAGAGAGAAATATAAAGAATAAAGAGAAATAATAATATGACTATTAATGTCAGTTTGAGGATCATTTTAAATCCAACAAAACTTTGTATTTGTGCTTCATCCTTGGTTTACAAGAGTTCAGTAAACTCACCATTCACCTTGCTGGAAAACTAACAGACTACTTGGCTGTCTTTCTTAAAGGAAGGTTAACTCATACAATAACATTAATTAATAAAATGAATGTTTCTGTTCTTCTATACATGTTATATGTATCCTTACCTGTAAAGTGAAGCACCAGCATCAGAAATAAAGACATTTTAATCCATCTGAATTCAACCATTGTGCCTCTCTGCTTCTTGTACTTGTAAGTCTGTAAACTAGAGTTCCTTAAAGAGAAATGTTGAATCTACTTCCTCTAATGGGTAAAGTGTCACTTCCTCATAGTGACTTGGGTGCTTTTCATTATGCTACCGTGTCTCCTCATTTCCCTCACCCGCTTCCTTTCTTCGCTTCTTAGCACCTCCCAGCGAGGAGATGAGAGAGAGATGTGGGTACGGAGGAGCCGAGAAATCCTTGCCTCCACAGTAAGCAGTCACATCAGCTACATTGGCCAGTTTAGCAATAATATTACTGCTGTTGATAATTTAATATTCATTTTAAATAGGCATATTCTGATAAACGTACAGATCGGTGTTATTTATGATGATTACTTCAGTTATGTAGGTTATTGACGTAAAATAATACACCACAGATCTGCGTAAGAATGTCAGTGTGTCGACTGTAGTGTGAGGCCAAAACACATTGAGATTAAATTAGCCTGTAAAGTGTTATTTATCACATCATGCACTATACTGCATCTCACCATGTAACTGTATTCTATTATATTATGTGTAGATTCCCATACAGACACTACAGAGTGAAAGCATAATAAGCAATAAATTGTGTGAATTAAGAATGATCAAATTACAATACACCGATCAGCCATTTCAGTAATGCAGCCCCCATACACAACAGACTGTGTGTTCTGACTCCTTTCTATCAGAACCAGCATTAACTCTTTCGCAGTTTGAACTACAGTAGCTCATCTGTTGGATCAGACCACACAGGGCCAGCCTTCGCTCCCCACATGCATCAGTTAGCCTTGTCCACCCATGACCCTGTCTCTGGTTCACCGCTTTTCCTTCTTTGGACCACTTTTGATAGGTACTGACCACTGCAGACCGGGAACACCAAACATTAACAGGTGATACAAAAATAACAATAAAAATGCAAGCATCTGTAACTACAACCCAACACTTTAAGTCGTAGCATTGGCAATGTTTCCCGTACAAACTATGAAGTACTTTACTGTCAGATCCCTCATTTTCTATTTTGCTGGATCACTTTAAGTCTTTGTGGTTTAATAGGCAGAGCCAAACTGCTGCTAACATGAGTTCAGCTTGTCTCTTCGATAACTTAAGCTCCAGACGACCGATGACTAAAATCTTTCACTTTCTGGTTGAAATACATTATAAAAAATGGCCAAGATCTAAAAGTATATCATAAAACATTTTAATGTGTAAATTGTTACACATTATAGCTTCTTAAGTCTCAAGGAAACAAAACACATATTGGACTCTTAACAAACATGTTAACAAAATGGTAAATGTGGGTTAATTTAGTCTTTGAGTTCTTCTTAAACAGAGACATAAAACTGAGTTTAAGTGATCAGTTAATCTTACAGTGGGTTTAAATTATTGTGCTGAAAGCCAATGTAAGGACGTTAGATGTTAAAATTACTGCAGTTAAACAGGTGATACAGAAATAACAATAAACATGACAATCTGTAACTACAACCCAACACTTATTCCCTGACAGCAAATTCATCAAGCAAAATGTAGAATAATTATGTTCATTTACATTTCAAGCAGTTATATAATGTGTTATTACAAGTTAATTTGCTCAGTACTGTACTAAAGTACAAATTCCGGTTCCATTCATGACACTTTATACTTCTACATCTTAATCTAAATGTACTATTTAAAAACCTTCTTGGATTAGCTGGAAAATGCATCGTCACAACAATATAAACAGTGGTGTTTTTATGAGCTCCTGAAAGGTTTTGTGGTTCTTAAAGCACGCGACGCTACAGACATATGATGATTTCACAGAATATGATGCATTGCTGTAGATGAAACTACACAACAGTGTATAAAGCAGTTAAAATTAGCGCAACCTTAAACATGTACAGCAGTAAAATGCAACATACACATTAATGCAGCAGTGATATTAATCCAAAAACATCTTACATTATAGTAAAACACTGACAGAGACTGACTGATAATACTTACTTTACTTAAGTAAGCAGTTTTACTTGCAGTACTAAGTATTTAAGGAAAGGATGTAAATACTTCTTCCTCCACTGGTTATTACTTCTGCTTTTCACATTGTGCTACTAGTTAACCTACTACTCCCTCTTCTGGACAAAAATGCTTATTACAGCAATAAATCCTGAAAATGATCATCTAATACAGAAACACAGTCAAACATTTATCAGTATCAGTTATCAATGTAAAATAAGTGTGATGATATGAGCTGTAACTATACTGTGGTCTCCTATTTGTTATGTTTGTTGACGGTGGCGTAGAGGTTGCTGGGATCAGCAGAGGCTCCAGCAGAAGAAAAGGGAGCTGTCACAGTGGCGTAGGTCACTTCTTCATCTCATCATCATCATCACTTTACCCCGAACCTGGAGAACATGAAACAAACAGCACAACACATAAATTACGCATTAAATGACACGAATAATGCAACATTATGATATCCAGCACCACATAAATGGATTTGTTTGTACATGTCCTGAATCGAATCGAATCGAATCAAATACTTTAATAATCCCAGGGGGAAATTATTTAACACACACCTCCTCTGGTCCGTAGTTGTTGAGATATTTAGTTCTGGACCAAAGTGTTGGACACAATGACTTCACAATCCTTCCATGTAGACCTAAGCTTTAATGGTAAAATAAAGAATCTTTCCTGTTTTTATTACCTGAGAAGTGTTTTCATTCACTACCATCATCACTATAACCAAACAGACAGCTTACCCGGCCTTTACTGTTGGTCTTCTTGGTGAAGCTGATGGAGGCGTAGGAAACACCATCTTCAGGATCAGCCTATACAGAGAAGACAACATCATGGCTGCTCAGTAACATGTGGACTTCATTGTATTCTGTTCATTCTGTCACTGTGTGTCTCACAGAGCTACATTTTGCAGTGTAACTTTGTACTGGGTGTAGTCTGGGATCTTACCGTGTCCTGACTGGTTTCTGGATTCACTGCAGGGTTTAAGCTCTGTACCTGAGAAACATAAAAAAATAAAATCTACTTGATGACACCGTCAGAGAGGAGCTGATTCAACTCCGTTATAACTGTATAAACATTTGATTCCTCAACCATAAAACTCACATTGTTTTTATCCGTCTGTGATTTTTTTCCTGAAGAGACAAAAGAGAGTCGACTTTAGTTTCCACAATAAAAATCCTGGTTCATCAAAACTTCTTGTTCATAAAAGTTTAATCTGTGGTTGCTCACACCTTTAGTTCTCTTCCATCTGATGACAGCAACAATGATTATTAAGAGTGCTGCAAGACTCACAAACACAATGATGAACCACTGCCACCAAACTGGAAAGAGAAGAATAACATTAAACACATCTTCAGCTGCAGCTTTGTCTTCTGTTCAGTTTATGTAACTCAGAGGACAGCATCTTATTGGTTATTTATTATCCTGTGTTGCAAAGAACTAAATCATCATGTTTCCACTTCAGTTAATGAACTAAATTGTCTTCTCCTTATTATTAACTTCCCTTTCCTAAACATTTACTTTCTTCATTCATTGTGTGCAAAGCAAAGTCATTTTAATTCAAATATAAAGATTTTAACAGACAATGGTTGGAAACGTGAGCAACAACACTGTTGGACTGACTGAACAAGAGAATAGCTTAACCCAGAGCAGAGTGTAGCGCTGACATCCATAGAAGATTTTGTTTAATTGCACAAATTTTAAGTTCACTTTGGTACAGGTGATAACCATGCAGGAACATTACATTACATGGTATTTGGTCCAGACTCTAACCTTTTTAACCCATAGTCTTCTACGACTGTATTAATGTTCCAACCACACCCTTTACATTTTCTTTGTTTTGAATATTCCCAACAATTGCACAGCACCTCTGTTGTGGGTTGTTCCTCTCCAGATCCCTTTATTAACCCAATATGCCAGTGACAACTTTGAACGTTTCACCAGTAATGCATTAGTAGGAGTTGTTTTGATTGCACGAATACTGAGTCTTAGAGCTCTGAACTGTATTCTGTCTAGTTTTTCCAAAAGGTATGAGGAGCTGCAGCTCCATATACCATACATCCATAATCAATACATGATTGTATTAAGGCCCTATAAATATCCAACAGTGATTGTTTATCTGCTACCCATTAACCAGAGTATTTTTTTAACATTTTGTTTCAACTTGTTTAAGATGATTTCTCCATATACATTTCTCATCAAACCATAATCCTAAGTATTTGAACTCTACCCTTTTCATACTTTGACCATATAATTTAAGATCCACATTATCTATGTTTTTCCTCCTGGTGAAGAAGACTTTGAAACTGACATCTGCCCCATCTTCTGCATAAAATGATGACCCAATATCTCTGCCAATATTTAAAAGAAAAAACATTTATTCATTTCATTTATATCATAATAGTAATAATTATGATAATAATAATATAATAATATCATAAAATAACAGTATAGGACTGACACTACCTTGAGGAATACCATTAATAATATCAAAATCATCTGAAACTGCACCCCAAACTTTAACACAAAATGTCCGATGAGACAGGAAGTCTAAAACCCAGTTGTATAATCTTCCACCAATACCCATTTTATGCATTTTAATCAGTAGTCCTTCTCACCACATTGAATCATATGCTGTCTTAATATCAAAGTACACAATAACCATTACCTCTTTTATACTAACTGCTTTTCTGCCTCATTAATAACTTTCACTAATGCATCTATTGTAGATCTTCCTTTACAAAATCCACTTTGACATGTTAAATCAGTCCTCTGTGTTCTAAATAGTATGATTATCTACAAACAATGATATTTTCCATCAATTTACACAAATGAGAAGTCAACGCTATGGGCCTTTAATTTCCTGCATTAGCTGGGTCTTTACCAGGCTTAACATAAGGTAGCACCAGAGCACTTTTCCAACTGCCAGGCATTACACCTTCCTCTCCATATCTTATTAAACAAGTATAACATAGTATCCAATGCTTCATCTGGTAGATTTCTAAACATAACATAACATAGTTCGTCTTGTCCTGGGGCTGAATATCCACTTCCCTCTAAGGCCATTTTCAACTCAGTTAATGTAAAGTCCATGTCAAGTGGTGATCCATCACTATCCCTTTTCTTTGTTACATCAGTATTTACTTTTAAAATGTCATCTTTTCTTTGTTTATGTTTATTGTCTAAATGACTTCCACGATGTACACTTGCAAATTTCTTACCCAGTAATTCTGTTTTTCTCCTTATTTGTAATTGCCAGATATTCTCCATCTATTAGCACTGGGATTTTAACAGATTTAATTATTTAACAGAACTTTTTAATCATTGACCAAATGTCACCCAATTTTATTTATCCACCAATTGAAGAACAGAATTATCTCCAAGCACTCTTCTTGGATGACTTAAAGCTCTCTTTCTTTGATAATCAGTGAAATTTTATGATTCAAATGGTTTCACAAAATTCTGAATACGTGATTTCTATCTTTTAAAGCTTTTTTACATTCATCATTCCACCATGGAACCATTTTCTTTTTCCCATTTACTGTGCTCTTAGGAATACATGCTGACGCTTCCCTAATAATAATGGAAGTCACTGCTGCTGCATAGTTATCTACATCATCCTCCATTGATATACTTTTAGTGATCTCAATACAAAATTCTCTAAATTTCCCCCAGTCAGCTTAAGAGAAGCACCATCTTTCTATTACATAACCTTCCTGTGTATACATATCAAAATTCATAGAACATGGTATCCATTAGTTCTTCAACAACTTCTCCTGTAGTATCTGTATGATCACTTCCCCATAGAGTATTATGAGCATTCAAATCTCCACACCATATTTCTCTTCTATCGTCACTGTCAGAGATCTCATGGAATATTTGCATTGACAGCTTCTTGCAAGGATTATAGAAATGTGTCTATTTTGATATTTCCTCTGGGACAACACATTTCTATCACTATACATTCATATTCATTTAAAATATTTACTCTTTCATATGCTTAATTTTATTTAATGAAAATTACACATCCTCCTCCTTGTTTTCCAATTCTGTCACATCTAACCGAGCTGTGCCCTGACATAACAATATCTAAATGTGGTCTTAACAACGTTTCTTGTATACAAATAACATCTGGTATAACTTGCAGATCATCAACAAATTTCTTGCACTCTTGCCCATTTGCAATTTAACTTCTGGCATTCCATGGGTGGACATGAAATACCATGAGAAAGTGAATCACCTTGAGACAGTCCATCATGATTAGAAGGGTTCAACATCTCATGAATCAATTCAGGTGTTACTTCTTTAACTCCCAGAATCTCTATAGCTCCTTCTACAATTGTCTTGATTCTAACACTTTTTTTCCTTGCATTGCCACATTCACACTTCTACAGATAAAAGCAACAAAGCTGATTTTGTCCACAATCAATGTATCTTCATTAATCTTCTTTATGCATGGGTTTGTTTCTGGTTGCTGCTTCCGTGTTGTAAGACACTGATCCTCTATCAAAGTCAAAGTCAAAGTCAGCTTTATTGTCAATTACTTCACATGCACCAGACATACAAAGTAATCGAGAGGACGTTTCTCACTCTCCCACGGTGAAACAGATAAAGTGCACAGGCACAAACAGACAAGACATTTCCTAATACTAAAAGTAAACATTCAATTTCACAGCAGGTATGACATTTACTAATGCCAAATAGATTAAAAAAGTTAGACAATAAATATAAAATATACAATACCTATGGTAGTGCAACAATACTTATGACTTACTTGTCTCTTGCAGTATGTATCATATTTTTAACATTCAATCTATTTCACTTTCCTTCACTTTTTTGACTGCATCAGCAGTACCTGGTTTGGTACTTTATATTTCTATAACCTCTCTAGCTTGTCTTTGAACAGGACACCCTCCAAATGCAGAAAATGTGTTCGCCACCACAATTGCAGCATTAGATTTTGGCATCTTGACCATATTTTCCATATTCATGTTCCTCCCCACATCTTGCACATCTTTGGTTTCCTTTACATTGTGCTGGGATAAACTCTCTGACGTCATAACTCAAATATCCCATTGTTACTCTCTTGGGCAAAACATTTTCAAATTCATGGAGTACTGACAGGCTGTCAATTTTCACACCCTTCCTTTGCGTTTGCAGTCTTGTAACTTTCGCTACCTTTCCTCCTTTCACTTCCTGTATGATCTCATCCATTGTTTGATGTTTTGATTCTGATTTTTCTTCATTCAGTGTTATCGCTCTGAGAAACGTATCTCTTTGCAATTGATTTAGAAAAAATCAGAAGTCTCCTGTTGCTCAAATACTTAACAAACTTGATCTTGCCCATTTCTTTCTCAATTGCCTTCGTCAGTTTTAGTGGGTGAAAATGTCCCCCTTCTTTTTTTAATGTCACCATCACTTTCCATTCAGTTTATTCATCCTCCTTCCTCACTGCTGCCATCACTTTTTTAGCCATGTCGCCCACCTACAAATTAGAAGTTGAGCTTCTACAACTATCCCTCCTATCTTTACTATTTCTATTTTCATCCTGCCATGACATGCTATCGCTATTTCCATCCGTAGTTTCACCCATGATTGTTACATTCACGGTATAGTTGTTGCTAATCCGCCAAATCAATAATAACTCTCGTCAAACCAAAATCGGCGTCCTCCTCTACATGTCCCTTCTCCTCACTCCGTCATGTCCCCGTAATGGCCTTCACCATTACCATAAAAGACTAAAAAACACTGTAGAAGGGTAAAGTACAACAACAGCACTATCCACTCAATCCCCACCACCAAATAAATAAAGGAAAGGGAAGAAAGTATAAGGAAAACAAAGAAAGTGAGGAAACACACATACAAAGAGAGAGAGAGAGAGACAGAGAGAGAGAGAGCTAAAATGTTGAGTCATTACCTTTTAGTTCTGTTGAAGCATTATCAGTTGTTGTTGTTGTTGTTGTTGTTGGTGGTTTTATTGTTGTTGTTGGTTTTGTGTCCTCACCTGAACAGATGAACACAACTCAACAAACTGTTCAGTGCAAAACTGAAATACTATCCAACAGCACTCAACTGGAGGAAGTTGAATTGTTGTGATGTAATATTCAAACTTTAAAACCATAAAATAAACAAATATTTGAGTTAATTATTGACATCAGTTTGAAGTAACTTTAAACAGCTCAACATATTCTCACCTGGTTTCTCAGCTGAGGGCTGAAGTCTGAATTGTAATGTTTCAGTATTTTGTTCTAACAAGACAGTTTGAGCTGAAAACATTATGATGTCAATACTCACTGGTAATAACAGACAGATAAACCAGAGAGTCTGGACCTTGTTGTTGTCCTGATATAAACTGTCTGCAGGTGTAACGACCAACATCCTCGACTGTGACCTTCTTTATAACCAGAGAACAGTTCGCTGTAACACTCAGTCTGTCTGATTTAGAGTTGGTGTCTTTACCAATCTGTCCAAGTGTAACCAGCTCTACTGCTGCTGTGCTTCTTGAACCACTGAAGAGCCATGTTGTACTGCCACAGTTATTCTGATCATTTATCACATTTTCACAAGACAAAGTGACGTCATCTCCAGCTCTGACAGTGGAGGAGAGATAAAGCTGTCTGGTTGCTGCTGCTGAGAAGATGAGAGAGAAATATAAAGAATAAAGAGAAATAAAAATATGACTATTAATGTCAGTTTGAGGATCATTTTAGAAACAAACGTTTTTACATTGTTTGTCTCTTTTATGATTTCCAGGAGTTCACTGAACACACTATTCACCTTGTTAGAAAATAAGGTGAAGTCATACAATAACATTAATTATATTAATAAAATGAATGTTTCTGTTCTTCATATACATGTTATATGTATCCTTACCTGTAAAGTGAAGCACCAGCATCAGAAATAAAGACATTTTAATCCATCTGAATTCAACCATCGTGCCTCTCTGTCTCTCTGCTTCTTGTACTTGTAAGTCTCTAAACTAGAGCTCCTTAAAGACAAATGTTGAATCTACTTCCTCTAATTAGTAAAATGTCACTTCCTCATAGTGACTATACCCTCCTTCTTTTCTCACATACATCAGTTGTTGCTTTTAATGGAGGCAGACCATCAGCTTTTACCTTCCTCCTTCACTGATGGCTGACATGAGCTGACCTGAAGTATCTGGAATGAACAGCAGTGGAAATTGAACCCTTTTGGGTTTCCACAGTTTCCTCTCATTCAGCTGTTTAATTCAACTCTCAAAAGTGACTCAGTCAAGATGAGAGTTGTCCCACTTCCTCTTCATTTTTTTTAATTACTCTCATACCAGAAAATCTTTAAGATCCTGCACAGAGATATAGATGTTAAAATTAATGCAAATCAAACATTAACAGTTAACATTAATACACCTTTAACTAAGTTTATCAACCAAAATCTATCATAATGCATGTTTATTTACATTTCAAGCTGCCATAAAATGTTGTGTTATTATCAGTGGTGGAATGTCCCAAAATAAATTTAAAGTACTGCACATAATTCTTTAATACTTTTACTTAAGTAAGCTTTTGAATGCAAGACGTTTACTAGTGGAGTATTTTCATGTGTTATTAGTGGTGGTACTTATATATGCATATGCTGTGACAAACAAACTATATCTATAAGTTCAATGTGTTCAGTTCCGCTGTGTATTTGTGATAATGGCGTGTTTCAAGAAGACGAGGAAGTTGAACGTGTGAAGATTGTCTGTTAAGATAAATGTTTGCAGCAACGCGACTTTCTTTCCTTATATAGTGTTCATTAGAAGACGGAAGAGGCTCAAAGCTTTGACTCTTGATGTCCATGGTGATACTTTATCAGCTGGCCAAGAACACACATAAGATGGTGTTTTAGTTCTCCGAGACCTGTTGGTTCCTTATTCTATCTTTGCAGTTATTTTCTTCTGAGAACTGAAGGAGAAGTGTTTTTATTAGACTCGTCGATTACAGTATTCAGCTTATTTCAGTATTCAGTGTTGCTCAGTTCATTGCATTCAGTTCAAGTCAGTATTTCAGTGTTTCACAGTCTGTCACTATCAGATTGTTAACTCATCATCATCACTGCTTTCCTCCAAGTCACTCAACATGGTCACATCCCACACCAGCCAGGACTCTTTCACTCACCCCAAGTTCACCAAGCAGTTTCAGGACATCAGCCTTCTTTGCCTCTTTCACACAGTTTATGCTCAGAACAGCTGGTTTGAAGGTTTCTTAATTATTCCCACGCTTTAACACGAATGGTAACAGAAGTCACCTCCGTACAGCTGCTTGAAGCCCAACTCGTCGACAGATGTCCAAGACCCTGGCGTTACTGATGTTAAATGATCGAGAGGAGGAACAGTGTTTAGCTGCTGCAGCCTTTAAGTCGTAGCATTGGCAATGTTTCCCGTACAAACTACGAAGTACTTAACTGTCAGAACCCTCATTTTCTATTTTGCTGGATAATTCACTTTAAGTCTTTGTGGTTTAATAGGCAGAGCCGAACTGCTGCTAACATGAGTTCAGCTTGTCTCTCTGATAACTTAAGCTCCAGATGACCGATGACTAAAATCGTTCACCTGGTTGAAATACATTATAAAAAATGGCCAAGATCTAAAAGTATATCATAAAACATTTTAATGTGTAAATTGTTACATATTATAGCTTCTTAAGTCTCAAAGCAAACAAAACACATATTGGACTCTTAACAAATATGTTAACAAAAATGGTAAATGTGGGTTAATTTAGTCTGTGAGTTCTTCTTAAACAGAGACATAAAACTGAGGTTAAGTGATCAGTTAATCTTAAAGTAGGGTTTAAATTATTGTGCTGAAAGCCAATGTAAGGAAGTTAGATGTTAAAATTATTGCAGTTAAACAGGTGATACAGAAATAACAATAAACATGAACACATCTTTAACTACAACCCAACACTTGACAGCAAATTCATGAAGCAAAATGTAGCAGAATTATGTTCATTTACATTTCAAGCAGTCATATAATGTGTTATTACAAAGTTCATTTGCTCAAGTACTGTACTAAAGTACAAATTCCAGGTTCCATTCATGACACTTTATACTTCTACATCTTAATCTAAATGTACTATTTAAAAACCTTAGCTGGAAAATACATCGTCACAACGCTAAAAACAGGGCTGTTTTTCTGAGCTGAGATACATGGTTCTCAAAGGACAGCAACACAACAAACATATGATGATTTCACAGAATATGATGCATTGCTGTAGATGAAACTACACAACAGTATATGAAGTAATAAAGATGAGCTCAACCTTAAACATGTACAACAGTTAAATGCAACATACACATTGATGTAGCAGTAATATTAATCCAAAACATCTTATATAATAGTAAAACACTGCATAATGAGTACTTTTACTTCCAATACTTTTACAGATAACAATTATTTTAACAATGGTTTTGAATGCAGAATTTTTACTTAAGCACTTAAGTAAAGGATCTAAATACTTCTCCCACTAATGATTATTACTTTTGCTTTTCACATACTGCTACTAATAAACCTACTGCACCCCCTTCTCAACAAAAAGGATAATGATATGAGCTGTAACTATACTGTGGTCTCTTATTTCTTTGGTTTGTTGACGGCGTAGAGGTTGTTGGGATCAGCAGGGGCTCCAGCAGAAGAAGAGGAAGCTTTCATGGTGGTGTAGGTCACTGCTTCATCATCATCATCATCATCATCATCATCATCATCATGTTTACCCCGAACCTAGAAAACAATAAACAAACAGCACAACACATAAATTAAACAAAACAAACAATTAAACAAACAAAATACACACAAATAATGCAAGTAGTAGCCTTCCTTGATGCTGAAAAAGCTTTACACAGGAAAGTGGAGCTATGTCTCAAATCCAAATGAGACAATTTGGATTTGGAGATAAAAAATGTTCCTAGAGACATTTGCTTTATACATCTCCCGAGGCATGTGTTTTAACCATCAGTAGTCATTCAGCGTCCTTCCCTCTATCACGTGGGTCTCGCCAGGGATGTCCCCTTTCCCTGCTTATTTGAACCCTTGTCTATTGCACTTCAGGCTAGTACCTTGTTCTCTGGGGTCAGGAGATGGGATACTGAGCATAAGGTTTCCGCATACACTGATGATCTGCTTCTTTACATAACTGTCAGAAAACTGTCAACGTCACGCCACAAACACAGCGTTTCCTGTTTTCAGTAGGTGGCGCTATGACTATGACGGAATATTCACATGTATGTGTTTGGTATATGTGTCTTGACAAAAACATCGATTTTCAATAGATTTGATGAAAACTCAAGATTTTTACTGGGTTTGGGGTATGGATCAAAGAGGCTTTTTTGTACATCTAGAAATGTTCCCTTTATACAACATACATACAATTTTCATAGATTTCAGTGAAACGGGACAGTGGGGCTGTTTTGTTGAAGTTTTCTGATGGACTCTATGAAGCCATTTTCCCACACCCATGCGCAAAACCCTTAAAAGATGCAACACTTTCCCCACGACTGACATGTATGCCGCATTTCATGAGTTTCGAAACATGTTGTGGCCTCCAAAAAATACGATTTACTTGGTTAATAACAAGAAAAAGAATCTGAACAGCTTTAGGGCTAGAAAAAGTGACTGTTTTCATATTAACAATTTGGTTTATTTAAATAATAATAATAATGATAATTATAAAATAATAATATTTAAATTCATGGGTATTAATATCACCTATATCATCTATATTTATTTCAATGTCTTCCCATTTTCCTGAAAAAAAAGTGCAGCAGTGGTCCAATTGATTTAAGTTTGATTGGATTTTGGTTAAATGGCCACTACAACCATCCTTACTATAACCAAACAGACAGCTTACCCGGCCTTTACTTTTGGTCTTCTTGGTGAAGCTGATGGAAGCGTAGGGAACACCATCTTCAGGATCAGCCTACACAGAGAAGACAACATCATGGCTGCTCAGTAACATGTGGGCTGCATTGGGCTGTCTAGATTTTGATTACACTGTCAGAGAGGAGCTGATTCAACTCCGTCATAACTGTATAAACATTTGATTCCTCAACCATAAAACTCACATTGTTTTTATCCGTCTGTGATTTTTGTCCTGAAGAGACAAAAGAGAGTCGACTTTAGTTTCCACAAAGAAAAACCTGGTTCATCAAAACTTCTTGTTCATAAAAGTTTAATCTGTGGTTGCTCTCACCTTTAGTTCTCTTCCATCTGATGACAGCAACAATGATTATTAAGAGTGCTGCTAGACTCACAAACACAATGATGAACCACTGCCACCAAACTGGAAAGAGAAGAATAACATTAAACACATCTTCAGCTGCAGCTTTTTGCTTTGTTGATCATTCTGTAACTAAGAAGATAGCGTCTAATTTGTTATTAATTATTTTGTGTTTCAAAGAACTACATCATCATGTTTCCACTTTACTGTCTTCTTATTATTATCATTTTCCTTTTCCTAAATATTTGCCTTCCTCAGTTATTTACACAGTACTTTGGTAGTTGATCCAATTCAAATAAAAAGAAGATTTTAACAGACTATAGTTGAAAACGGGGAACACTGTTGGACTGACTGAACTAGAGAATATCTTCACCCAGAGCAGAGTGTCGCTCTGACATTCATACTTTACACTTCAAAAGAGAAGAGAGAGTAATTACATTACAGTGTCTAAATAGCTCATCCACTACATCAGCTCGCAGTATCTAAACATTTTTCTGATTTTTTTTGTCTTTTCTAACTGTGAATTTAGTGGTCAAACTCCAACCCTGAGCCAGTCAGTGTCGTAGGCCTACAGCATTTCCTCTTGCACTCTCTACAACACAACTCTCTTCCTCTTACCTTTGCCTCAGCAGCCTGACTATTGGCAGATTTAGCTGCTGGCCCTTTCCTGCTGCTCTCTCCACTTTGTTGCTAACTTTCTCTGCTCCTTTTCTTTCGTCTGCTGTGACAATCAGGACAGCTGAGTCATCAGTGTCTGGGCCCCAGATCCCTACACTCAAAGCATTTCCTGCTGCTTGTGCTGGCATAGACCATGTAATGTCCTTCCCCATGTTGCATTCACACAAGAAAATATCCAGCATCTGTAATACTCTCTCCTGAACAGGGAAGTTTCCAGAGGGGGGCCTTGGGGTGCCACTGGCCACCCCTGCAATCTAAATGGCCACCCTATTATCCTTACCTCTTCCACTCCACACTGTCTTTCAGAAGCTGTAGCAGGCTCTGTTTTAAAACTAGAGTGAAGATCATACCCTTCATATCATATGAAAACTACATGACCTAACGCATCCGTTGTTACCAACCACCCTAGCACCCGAGCAACTCTGGACCATAAATAACTGTATGACGATGGAAAAACTGGAATCCGGATTTTCAAAGGGGTCCCTTGACCTCTAACCTCAAAACATCTGAATAAAAATGAGTTTGTACTGCACTACCAAAATGCTGGTAGTGCAGACGCCATTCAGAGACACACACCAACCTACACTAGTAACCAAAAAAGAACTATAAAAGAATCATATGGTAAATACAGTAGAGAAATAGAAGATATGCTTAAAATAACTCTCAGCCAAACACTGTCCACCACCAAACTCCCAGCATGCACAAAGAAAGAGATTGTAGAAACAAATAAAAAATGGGTTGAGTTAATACCTTTTAATTCTGTTGAAGTATCATTGATTGTAGACGCTGTCGTGTGGGTACCCGTTGGTATGCTGTTTTCAGTTGTTGTTGTTATTCTGTCCTCACCTGAGGGGTATTGCACAAAAGTAGGATAAAGAAATACAGGATAATTGAGCAAGCGCGGCTTGACTTAGCCTGCTCGGCGCATCCTGGCTTAATTGGTTGCACGTTTGCCGAGCCAGGATTAAAAGGTGCGGCTATGTTAAGCCAGGTGTAGATAGTCGGGATAAGTGCGTGTTCACGGCATACTGAAATAGACCTCGCGATCGCTCACAGAATCACCGATGGGAACATGGATAAGAGTCGCGCTTCATATTTCACGGCCGCTGAACAACAGCTCCTGATGGAGTTCTATGAAGAGGTGAAAGATATAAGAAAAAAAGCCAATACCAATGCCATAATTAAAGAAAGAGAGAAAGCCTGGCAGACAATAGCGGACCGGCTTAATGCTTAAGTAGTCCAAAACTGTACAATGAATAAACGGTGCTCCACTATAAACTGTCATAATTAGGCTACAATTAAAGGACTAAAGGAGTTACTTTAAGTCCACTAATCAACTGTTGTACACTTTGCTTTAAATGTGGAAAGTAGAGGTGCATGTTACTTAAATGTAGAGTATGATTAAGTGCAAACAATTATCCACAATGTGTGTCATTTAATCTATTTTTATCTATTTTATCTTTCTATCCTTCATAAAGAACAAACTTGTCTGGCCATAAAAGGACCTGGCAGCAAGTTAAAGTTAAATACAAGAACATTTTGCAGGCTGGTAAGTGACTTTAAAGTAGATAACAGAGAACAAATGAGGTGAATAGATTAGGTATCTGCTGACATGTTGAATGTCTGTATGATTGTAGCAGTTAAAAAAAAAGCCCATAGAACTGGCACAGGGGGCGGCCCACCAAGCCAGGATATGTGCTGCCAATGGTTCCTTTATTGAGGTTCTCTGCATCCCCAACAGAATAAAGGAAGCTCCCACTTGCAAAACATCTCACTGTAACACAGACCATCTGTGGTACAGTGAGAACATGGCTTCTTGTCGTCTGGTGCTGTATTTTTGGACCCAGCAGCCTACATAAATATCTTAGTCCATCACCTGAGAATCTGTATCTCTCAATGAGATAGTCCTCTCCAACGGCCAATGGGTCTGACCTGTCCCAGAAGACTCTTTCATGACTAAATGCTCGTCTGAGGATTAGGGCTCCCTCATCCAGCACATCCTCCAAGAAAGGGCAAGCCATTATGAAGAGGGAACAGCTGTGAATAATATATATATATATATATATATATATATATATATATATATATATATATATATTATGGCATGCCGTTTAGGAAATGAATCTTTGGATATATGGAATGAAGCTTGGATATACTGATAAAAATATGAGAATACTGAATGAAATTGAAAACCTAGTTGTATCCTTTTCATCAAAGTGATAGCCTTCTGAATCAGCTGGTTTTACAAAATGGCATCAGTTGAAATATTACAATACTTTCTTAAACTGGAAAACTTTTTTGCTTTTTCTGTCAGGATTTAGCCTGAGGCCTGTTGTAGTCGGTCTGCCACCATTAAAAAGGGAGTGAACTTCTTCGTCAGGATAACGGTATTGGGCACGGGTACTATGGGAAGGATTTTGGCCCGTACAAGCACTTGTCAATGAGTTAATAATGTCCTCATTGCTCAGTATTGCTGCCACAAGGTTCCTGACTGACTCATTCTCACTTCTACAAGATGGCAGCAGTGCCTTGATGACCAGTCAAGTTTCATTCAATATATTCAAAGTTTCATTCTATATATTCAAAGATTATTTTCCTAAACAGTATGCCATAATATATATACTATTTTGCCCTTGTCACAGATTTCATTGAAAACACCTTTGCAACTTCATCAGCTGTGTTTTGTAATCTCAATTACTGCAATAAACAAATATTTATGCAATTTGACAAGCAGTCTTCATTAGCATATTAATATAACACTTGTCCTGAGTAATAATACTACCACTTGAATCAATATAAAAAGACTGTTGCAATTACAAACAGCCAACAGATTTAAATGAAATAAGAAATGTAATATATATGTAATATTTTAATGCAGGATAATTAAAATGATGCAACATACTTAGAAAGACCATGGACATGCAGTAAAACACATTAATTCCTCACAGGATTGACGGTGGAAATACAGGTGAATCACCTGGATTAATCTTAGCCTGGCTGTTAGCCTGGTCTGGAGCAGGCTAACTGCAGAGAATAAATCACCATAGTAACTTAGCCGGGTTAAGTTTGAGCTGCTTTCATGCAACCGACTTGAGGCTAAATTAAGCCAGGATAACCAACATATCCCGGCTTTATCCCTTATCCTGGTTTTGTGCAATACCCCTCTGAACAGATGAACAAAACTCAACAAACTGTTCAGTACAAAACTTGTCTTGTGATGTAATATTAAAGCTTTAAATCCACCGTAATTCAATTCACACTTCAATAATTTGTAGTTTGATGTATAAATAAATGAGAAGTCGGAAAATTCACTGAGGTAAAACTGAGAGACTGTGATGTTTTTACATCTTAACCCTTAAACAGCCACTTCACTGTGTGTGTACATCGTTCATATGTCAACACAGAGCAGGCTAATGTCACCTTATCAGTGTCCTTTTGTTCAGCCACTGGTGAAGATGGAGAGATTGTGAGAGAAAGACAACGAGAGAGAGAGAGACGGAGAGAGAGAGAGAGAGAGAGAGAGAGAGAGAGAGAGAGAGAGAATGTTGGGTCACTACCTTTTAGTTGTGTTGAAGTATCATTGATTGAAGACACTGTCGTTTTGGTTCCTGGTTTTATGCTGTTTTCAGTTGTTGTTGGTTCTTGTTGTTGTTGTTGTTGTTGTTGTTGTTGTTGTTGTTATTGTCTCCTCACCTGAGGGGTATTGCACAAAACCAAGATAAGGGATTAAGCCGGGATATGTTGGTTATCCTGGCTTAATTTAGCCTCAAGTCGGTTGCATGAAAGCAGATTAAATTTATCCCGGCCAAGTTACTATGGTGATTTATTCTCTTAATCCTAGTGATTCACCTGTATTTCCACCGTCAGTCCTGTGAGGAATTAATGTGTTTTACAGCATGTCCATGGTCTTTCTAAGTATGTTACATCATTTTAATTATCCTGCATTAAAATATTACATATATATTGTCATTTCTCATTTCATTTAAATCTGTTGGCTGTTTGTAATTGCAACAGTCTTTTTATATTGATTCAAGTAGTAGTATTATTACTCAGGGCAAGTGTTATATTACTATGCTAATGAAGACTGCTTGTCAAATTGCATAAATATGTGTTTTATTGCAGTAATTGAGATTACAAAACACAGCTGATGAAGTTGCAAAGGTGTTTTCAATGAAATCTGTGACAAGGGCAATATAGTATATATATTATGGCATGTCGTTTAGGAAATTAATCTTTGAATATATAGAATGAATCTTTGAATATATGGAATGAATCTTTGAATATATGGAATGAATCTTTGAATATATGGAATGAAACTTGACTGGTCATCAAGGCACTGCTGTCATCTTGTAGAAGTGAGAATGAGTCAGTCAGGAACCTTGTGGCAGCAATACTGAGCAATGAGGACATTATGAACTCATTGGCAAGTGCTTGTACGGGCCAAAATCCTTCCCATAGTACCCGTGCCCAATACCGTTCTCCTGATGAAGAAGTTCACTCCCTTTTTATCGTGGCAGGCCGACTACAACAGGCCTCAGGCAAAATCCTGACAGAAAAAGCAAAAAAGTTTTCCAGTTCAAGAAAGTATTGTAATATTTCAACTGATGCCATTTTGTAAAACCAGCTAATTCAGAATGCTTTTCATCACTTTGATGAAAAGGATACAACTAGGTTTTGAATTTCATTCAGTATTCTCAAATTTTTATCAGTATATCCAAGCTTCATTCCATATATTCAAAGCTTCATTCCATATATACAAAGATTAATTTCCTAAACGGCACGCCATAATATATATATATATATATAAATATATATATATATTATTCACACCTGTTCCCTCTTCATAATGGCTTGCCCTTTCTTGAAGGATGTACTGGATGAGGAAGCCCTAATCCTCAGACGAGCATTTAGTCATGAAAGAGTCTTCCGGGACAGGTCAGACCCATTGGCTGTTGGAGATGACTATCTCATTGAGAGATACAGATTCTCAGGTGATGGACTAAGATATTTATGTAGGCTGCTGGGTCCAAAAATACAGCACCAGACGGCAGGAAGCCATGTTCTCACTGTACCACAAATGGTCTGTGTTACATTGAGATGTTTTGCAATTGAGTTAATACCTTTTAATTCTGTTGAAGTATCATTGATTGTAGACGCTGTCGTGTGGGTACCCGTTAGTATGCTGTTTTCAGTTGTTGTTGTTATTGTGTCCTCACCTGAACAGATGAACACAACTCAACAAACTGTTCAGTACAAAACTTGTCTTGTGATGTAATATTAAAGCTTTAAATCCACCATAATTCAATTCACACTTCAGTAATTTGTAGTTTGATGTATAAATAAATGAGAAGTCGGAAAATTCACTGAGGTGAAACTGAGAGACTGTGATGTTTTTACATCTTAACAAAGAGAGAGAGAGAGAGAGAGAGAGAGAGAGAGAGAGAGAGAGAGAGAGAGAGAGAGAGAATGTTGGGTCACTACCTTTTAGTTGTGTTGAAGTATCATTGATTGAAGACACTGTCGTTTTGGTTCCTGATTTTATGCTGTTTTCAGTTGTTGTTAGTTCTGTTGTTGTTGTTGTTGTTGTTGTTGTTGTTGTTATTGTCTCCTCACCTGAGGGGTATTGCACAAAACCAAGATAAGGGATTAAGCCGGGATATGTTGGTTATCCTGGCTTAATTTAGCCTCAAGTCGGTTGCATGAAAGCAGGTTAAACTTATCCCGGCCAAGTTACTATAGTGATTTATTCTCTGCAGCTAGCCTGCTGCAGACCAGACTAACAGCCAGGCTAAGATTAATCCTAGTGATTCACCTGTATTTCCACCGTCAATCCTGTGAGCAATTAATTAATTGTTTTACAGCATGTCCATGGTCTTTCTAAGTATGTTGCATCATTTTAGTTATCCTGCATTAAAATATTACATATATATTGTCATTTCTTATTTCATTTAAATCTGTTGGCTGTTTGTAATTGCAACAGTCTTTTTATATTGATTCAAGTGGTAGTATTATTACTCAGGACAAGTGTTATATTGCTATGCTAATGAAGACTGCTTGTCAAACCGCATAAATATGTGTTTTATTGCAGTAATTGAGATTACAAAACACAGCTGATGAAGTTGCAAAGGTGTTTTCAATGAAATCTGTGACAAGGGCAATATAGTATATATATTATGGCATGTCGTTTAGGAAATTAATCTTTGAATATATAGAATGAATCTTTGAATATATGGAATGAAACTTGACTGGTCATCAAGGCACTGCTGCCATCTTGTAGAAGTGAGAATGAGTCAGTCAGGAACCTTGTGGCAGCAATACTGAGCAATGAGGACATTATTAACTCATTGGCAAGTGCTTGTACGGGCCAAAATCCTTCCCATAGTACCCGTGCCCAATACCGTTCTCCTGACGAAGAAGTTCTTTTTAATTGTGGCAGGCCGACTACAACAGGCCTCAGGCAAAATCCTGACAGAAAAAGCAAAAAAGTTTTCCAGTTCAAGAAAGCATTGTAATATTTCAACTGATGCCATTTTGTAAAACCAGCTAATTCAGAAGGCTTTTCATCACTTTGATGAAAAGGATACAACTAGGTTTTGAATTTCATTCAGTATTCTCACATTTTTATCAGTATATCCAAGCTTCATTCCATATATTCAAAGCTTGATTCCATATATTCAAAGATTAATTTCCTAAGCGGCACGCCATAATATATATATATATATATATATATATATATATATATATTATTCACACCTGTTCCCTCTTCATAATGGCTTGCCCTTTCTTGAAGGATGTACTGGATGAGGAAGACCTAATCCTCAGACGAGCATTTAGTCATGAAAGAGTCTTCCGGGACAGGTCAGACCCATTGGCCGTTGGAGATGACTACCTCATTGAGAGATACAGATTCTCAGGTGATGGACTATTTATGAAGATATTTATGTAGGCTGCTGGGTCCAAAAATACAGCACCAGACGGCAGGAAGCCATGTTCTCACTGTACCACAGATGGTCTGTGTTACATTGAGATGTTTTGCAATTGAGTTAATACCTTTTAATTCTGTTGAAGTATCATTGATTGTAGACGCTGTCGTGTGGGTACCCGTTAGTATGCTGTTTTCAGTTGTTGTTGTTATTGTGTCCTCACCTGAACAGATGAACACAACTCAACAAACTGTTCAGTACAAAACTTGTCTTGTGATGTAATATTAAAGCTTTAAATCCACCATAATTCAATTCACACTTCAGTAATTTGTAGTTTGATGTATAAATAAATGAGAAGTCGGAAAATTCACTGAGGTGAAACTGAGAGACTGTGATGTTTTTACATCTTAACGAGGAGAGAGAGAGAGAGAGAGAGAGAGAGAGAGAGAGAGAGAGAGAGAGAGAGAGAGAATGTTGGGTCACTACCTTTTAGTTGTGTTGAAGTATCATTGATTGAAGACACTGTCGTTTTGGTTCCTGGTTCTATGCTGTTTTCAGTTGTTGTTAGTTCTGTTGTTGTTGTTGTTGTTGTTGTTGTTGTTGTTGTTGTTATTGTCTCCTCACCTGAGGGGTATTGCACAAAACCAAGATAAGGGATTAAGCCGGGATATGTTGGCTATCCTGGCTTAATTTAGCCTCAAGTCGGTTGCATGAAAGCAGGTTAAACTTATCCCGGCCAAGTTACTATGGTGATTTATTCTCTGCAGCTAGCCTGCTGCAGACCAGACTAACAGCCAGGCTAAGATTAATCCTAGTGATTCACCTGTATTTCCACCGTCAATCCTGTGAGGAATTAATTAATTGTTTTACAGCATGTCCATGGTCTTTCTAAGTATGTTGCATCATTTTAGTTATCCTGCATTAAAATATTACATATATATTGTCATTTCTTATTTCATTTAAATCTGTTGGCTGTTTGTAATTGCAACAGTCTTTTTATATTGATTCAAGTGGTAGTATTATTACTCAGGACAAGTGTTATATTGCTATGCTAATGAAGACTGCTTGTCAAACCGCATAAATATGTGTTTTATTGCAGTAATTGAGATTACAAAACACAGCTGATGAAGTTGCAAAGGTGTTTTCAATGAAATCTGTGACAAGGGCAATATAGTATATATATTATGGCATGTCGTTTAGGAAATTAATCTTTGAATATATAGAATGAATCTTTGAATATATGGAATGAAACTTGACTGGTCATCAAGGCACTGCTGCCATCTTGTAGAAGTGAGAATGAGTCAGTCAGGAACCTTGTGGCAGCAATACTGAGCAATGAGGACATTATTAACTCATTGGCAAGTGCTTGTACGGGCCAAAATCCTTCCCATAGTACCCGTGCCCAATACCGTTCTCCTGACGAAGAAGTTCTTTTTAATTGTGGCAGGCCGACTACAACAGGCCTCAGGCAAAATCCTGACAGAAAAAGCAAAAAAGTTTTCCAGTTCAAGAAAGCATTGTAATATTTCAACTGATGCCATTTTGTAAAACCAGCTAATTCAGAAGGCTTTTCATCACTTTGATGAAAAGGATACAACTAGGTTTTGAATTTCATTCAGTATTCTCACATTTTTATCAGTATATCCAAGCTTCATTCCATATATTCAAAGCTTGATTCCATATATTCAAAGATTAATTTCCTAAGCGGCACGCCATAATATATATATATATATATATATATATATATATTATTCACACCTGTTCCCTCTTCATAATGGCTTGCCCTTTCTTGAAGGATGTACTGGATGAGGAAGACCTAATCCTCAGACGAGCATTTAGTCATGAAAGAGTCTTCCGGGACAGGTCAGACCCATTGGCCGTTGGAGATGACTACCTCATTGAGAGATACAGATTCTCAGGTGATGGACTATTTATGAAGATATTTATGTAGGCTGCTGGGTCCAAAAATACAGCACCAGACGGCAGGAAGCCATGTTCTCACTGTACCACAGATGGTCTGTGTTACATTGAGATGTTTTGCAAGTGGGAGCTTCCTTTATTCTGTTGGGGATGCAGAGAACCTCAATAAAGGAACCATTTTCCGTACATATCCTGGCTTGGTGGGCCGCCCCCTGTGCCAGTTCTATGGGCTTTTTTTTAACTGCTACCATCATACAGACATTCAACAAGTCAGCAGACACCTAATCTATTCACCTCATTTGTTCACTGTTATCTACTTTATAGTCACTTTCCAGCCTGCAAAATGTTCTTGTATTTAACTTTAACTTGCTGCCAGGTCCTTTTATGGTCAGACACGTTTGTTCTTTATGAAGGATAGAAAGATAAAATAGATAAAAAATAGATTAAATTACACACATTGTGGATAATTGTTTGCACTTAATCATACTTTACATTTCCTGAGTAACATGCACCTGGACTTGCCACATTTAAAGCAAAGTGTACAACAGTTGATTAGTGGACTTAAAGTAACTCCTTTAGTCCTTTAATTGTAGCCTAATTATGACAGTTCCAGTGGAGCACTGTTTATTCATTGTACAGTTTTGGACTACTTAAGCATTAAGCCAGTCTGCTATTGTCTGCCAGGCTTTCTCTCTTTCTTTAATTATGGCATTGGTATTGCCTTTTTTTCTTATGATATCTTTCACCTCTTCATAGAACTCCATCAGGAGCTGTTTTTCAGCGGCCCGTGAAATATGAAGCGCGACTCTTATCCATGTTCCCATCGGTGATTCTGTGAGTGATCGCGGGGTCTATTTCAGTATGCCGTGAACACGCACTTATCCCGACTACAGTGGCAGTGCACAAGGGGGGGTAGGGGGAGGTCCCCCCCTTGGCACTTGAGGGCAGTTTAGCACACGTTTTGGCTCCCAAGAGGGCACTTTAGCACGCGTTTTTCAACAATTGGGCCACTAGGGGGGGCGACTGTGCACGCCACTGTAGTCGGGATAAGTGCGTGTTCACGGCATACTGAAATAGACCCCGCGATCGAAACAGTGCTCCACTGGAACTGTCATAATTAGGCTACAATTAAAGGACTGCCCTCATGGCCCAATTGTTGAAAAACGCGTGCTAAAGTGCCCTCTCGGGAGCCAAAACGTGTGCTAAACTGCCCTCAAGTGCCCTCTTGCGAGCCAAAACGCATGCTAAAGTGCCCTCTTGGGAGCCAAAATGGTGCTAAAGTGCCCTCTTGGGAGCCAAAACGCGTGCTAAACTGCCCTCAAGTGCCCTCTTGGGAGCCAAAACGTGTGCTAAACTGCCCTCAAGTGGCCTTTTGGGAGCCAAAACGCATGCTAAACTGCCCTCAAGTGCCCTCTTGGGAGCCAAAACGCGTGCTAAAGTGCCCTCTTGGGAGCCAAATCGCGTGCTAAACTGCCCTTAAGTGCCCTCTTGGGAGCCAAAACGTGTGCTAAAGTGCCCTCATGGGAGCCAAAACGGTGCTAAAGTGCCCTCTTGGCAGCCAAACCGCGTGCTAAACTGCCCTCAAGTGCCCTCTTGGGAGCCAAAACGTGTGCTAAACTGCCCTCAAGTGCCCTCTTGGGAGCCAAACCTGTGCTAAACTGCCTCAAGTGCCCTCTTGGGAGCCAAAACGTGTGCTAAACTGCCCTCAAGTGCCCTCTTGGGAGCCAAACGTTTGCTGAACTGCCCTCAAGTGCCCTCTTGCGAGCCAAAACGGTGCCAAAGTGCCCTCTTGGGAGCCAAACGTGTGCTAAACTGCCTCAAGTGCCCTGTTGGGAGCCAAAACGTGTACTAAACTGCCTCAAGTGCCCTCTTGGGAGCCAAAACGTGTGCTGAACTGCCCTCAAGTGCCCTCTTGCGAGCCAAAATGGTGCCAAAGTGCCCTCTTGGGAGCCAAACCGCGTGCTAAACTGCCCTCAAGTGTCCTCTTGGGAGCCAAAACGGTGTTAAAGTGCCCTCTTGGGAGCCAAACCGCGTGCTAAACTGCCCTTAAGTGGCCTCTTGGGAGCCAAAACGGTGCTAAACTGCCCTGAAGTGCCCTCTTGGGAGCCAAAACGGTGTTGAAGTACCCTCTTGGGAGCCAAACCGCGTGCTAAACTGCCCTCAAGTGCCCTCTTGGGAGCCAAAACGGTGCTAAAGTGCCCTCTTGGGAGCCAAACGTGTGCTAAACTGCCTCAAGTGCCCTCTTGGGAGCCAAAACGGTGCTAAAGTGCCCTCTTGGGAGCCAAACGTGTGCTAAACCTCCCTCAAGTGCCCTCTTGGGAGCCAAACGTGTGCTAAACCTCCCTCAAGTGCCCTCTTGGGAGCCAAAACGCGTGCTAAACTTCCCTCAAGTGTCCTTTTGGGAGCCAAAACGTGTGCTAAACTGCCCTCAAGTGCCCTCTTGGGAGCCAAACGTGTGCTAAACTGCCTCAAGTGCCCTCTTGGGAGCCAAAACGTGTGCTGAACTGCCCTCAAGTGCCCTCTTGCGAGCCAAAACGGTGCTAAAGTGCCCTCTTGGGAGCCAAACGTGTGCTAAACTGCCTCAAGTGCCCTGTTGGGAGCCAAAACGTGTACTAAACTGCCTCAAGTGCCCTCTTGGGAGCCAAAACGTGTGCTGAACTGCCCTCAAGTGCCCTCTTGCGAGCCAAAATGGTGCTAAAGTGCCCTCTTGGGAGCCAAACCGCGTGCTAAACTGCCCTCAAGTGTCCTCTTGGGAGCCAAAACGGTGTTAAAGTGCCCTCTTGGGAGCCAAACCGCGTGCTAAACTGCCCTTAAGTGGCCTCTTGGGAGCCAAAACGGTGCTAAACTGCCCTGAAGTGCCCTCTTGGGAGCCAAAACGGTGCTAAAGTGCCCTCTTGGGAGCCAAACCGCGTGCTAAACTGCCCTCAAGTGCCCTCTTGGGAGCCAAAACGGTGCTAAAGTGCCCTCTTGGGAGCCAAACGTGTGCTAAACTGCCTCAAGTGCCCTCTTGGGAGCCAAAACGTGCTAAGTGCCTAAAGTGCCCTCTTGGGAGCCAAACGTGTGCTAAACCTCCCTCAAGTGCCCTCTTGGGAGCCAAAACGCGTGCTAAACTGCCCTCAAGTGTCCTTTTGGGAGCCAAAACATGTGCTAAACTGCCCTCAAGTGCCCTCTTGGGAGCCAAAACGGTGCCAAAGTGCCCTCTTGGGAGCCTAATGGCGTGCTAAACTGCCCTCAAGTGCCCTCTTGGATGCCAAAACGGTGCTAAAGTGCCCTCTTGGGAGCCAAAATGTGTGCTAAACTGCCCTCAAGTGCCCTCTTGGGAGCCAAACGTGTGCTAAACTGCCTCAAGTGCCTCTTGGGAGCCAAAACGTGTGATAAACTGCCCTCAAGTGCCCTCTTGGGAGCCAAACGTGTGCTAAACTGCCCTCAAGTGCCCTCTTGGGAGCCAAAACTTGTGCTAAACTGTCCTCAAGTGCCCTCTTGCGAGCCAAAACGTGTGCTAAACTGCCCTCAAGTGCTCTCTTGGGAGCCAAAACGGTGCTAAAGTGCCCTCTTGGGAGCCAAAACGTGTGCTAAACTGCCCTCAAGTGCCCTCTTGGGAGCCAAAACGTGTGCTAAACTGCCCTCAAGTGCCCTCTTGGGAGCCAAAACGTGTGCTAAACTGCCCTCAAGTGCCCTCTTGGGAGCCAAAACGTGTGCTAAACTGCCCTCAAGTGCCCTCTTGGGAGCCAAACGTGTGCTAAACTGCCCTCAAGTGCCCTCTTGCGAGACAAAACGTGTGCTAAACTGCCCTCAAGTGCCCTCTTGGGAGCCAAAACGGTGCTAAAGTGCCCTCTTGGGAGCCAAAACGTGTGCTAAACTGCCCTCAAGTGCCCTCTTGGGAGCCAAAACGTGTGCTAAACTGCCCTCAAGTGCCCTTTGCCTAGTGCCTCTTGGGAGCCAAAACGTGTGCTAAACTGCCCTCAAGTGCCCTCTTGGGAGCCAAAACGTGTGCTAAACTGCCCTCAAGTGCCCTCTTGGGAGCCAAAACGTGTGCTAAACTGCCCTCAAGTGCCCTCTTGGGAGCCAAACGTGTGCTAAACTGCCTCAAGTGCCCTCTTGGGAGCCAAAACGTGTGCTGAACTGCCCTCAAGTGCCCTCTTGCGAGCCAAAACGTGTGCTAAAGTGCCCCTTGGCCTTGTTGGGAGCCAAACGTGTGCTGAACTGCCCTCAAGTGCCCTCTTGCGAGCCAAAATGGTGCTAAAGTGCCCTCTTGGGAGCCAAACCGCGTGCTAAACTGCCCTCAAGTGTCCTCTTGGGAGCCAAAACGGTGTTAAAGTGCCCTCTTGGGAGCCAAACGTGTGCTAAACTGCCTCAAGTGCCCTCTTGGGAGCCAAAACGGTGCTAAACTGCCCTCTTGGGAGCCAAACGTGTGCTAAACCTCCCTCAAGTGCCCTCTTGGGAGCCAAAACGTGTGCTAAACTGCCCTCAAGTGCTCTCTTGGGAGCCAAAACGTGTGCCATACTGCCCTCAAGTGTCCTTTTGGGATCCAAAACGTGTGCTAAACTGCCCTCAAGTGCCCTCTTGGGAGCCAAAACGGTGCTAAAGTGCCCTCTTGGGAGCCAAACCGTGTGCTAAACTGCCCTCAAGTGCCCTCTTGGGAGCAAACAAAAGTGTGCTAAACTGCCCTCAAGTGCCCTCAAAGTGCTAAAGTCCTCTTGGGAGCCAAACGTGTGCTAAACTGCCTCAAGTGCCCTCTTGGGAGCCAAACGTTTGCTAAACTGCCCTCAAGTGTCCTTTTGGGATCCAAAACGTGTGCTAAACTGCCCTCAAGTGCTCTCTTGCGAGCCAAAACGTGTGCTAAACTACCCTCAAGTGCCCTCTTGGGAGCCAAAACAGTGTTAAAGTGCCCTCTTGGGAGCAAAAACGCGTGCTAAACTGCCCTCAAGTGCCGTCTTGGGAGCCAAAACATGTGCTAAACTGCCCTCAAGTGCCCTCTTGCGAGCCAAAACGGTGCTAAAGTGCCCTCTTGGGAGCCAAACGTGTGCTAAACTGCCTCAAGTGCCCTGTTGGGAGCCAAAACGTGTACTAAACTGCCCTCAAGTGCCCTGTTGGGAGCCAAAACGTGTACTAAACTGCCCTCAAGTGCCCTGTTGGGAGCCAAAACGTTGTTAAAGTGCTCTCTTGGGAGCCATAACGCGTGCTAAACTGCCCTCAAGTGCCCTCTTGGGAGCCAAAACGGTGCTAAAGTGTCCTCTTGGGAGCCAAATGTGTGCTAAACTGCCTCAAGTGCTCTCTTGGGAGCCAAAACGTGTGCTAAACTGCCCTCAAGTGTCCTTTTGGGATCCAAAACGTGTGCTAAACTGCCCTCAAGTGCCCTCTTGTGAGCCAAAACGTGTGCTAAACTGCCCTCAAGTGCCCTCTTGGGAGCCAAACGTGTGCTAAACTGCCTCAAGTGCCCTCTTGGGAGCCAAAACGTGTGATAAACTGCCCTCAAGTGCCCTCTTGGGAGTCAAACGTGTGCTAAACTGCCTCAAGTGCCCTCTTGGGAGCCAAAACTTGTGCTAAACTGCCCTCAAGTGCCCTCTTGCGAGCCAAAACGTGTGCTAAACTGCCCTCAAGTGCCCTCTTGCGAGCCAAAATGGTGCTAAAGTGCCCTCTTGGGAGCCAAACCGCGTGCTAAACTGCCCTCAAGTGTCCTCTTGGGAGCCAAAACGGTGTTAAAGTGCCCTCTTGGGAGCCAAACCGCGTGCTAAACTGCCCTTACGTGCCCTCTTGGGAGCCAAAACGGTGCTAAAGTGCCCTGAAGGCCCTCTTGGGAGCCAAACCGCGTGCCAAACTGCCCTTACGGGGCCTATTGGGTGCCAAACTGCCCTAAAGTGCCCTCTTGGGAGCCAAACCGTGTGCTAAACTGCCCTCAAGTGCCCTCTTGGGAGCCAAACGTGTGCTAAACTGCCTCAAGTGCCCTCTTGGGAGCCAAAACGTGTGCTAAACTGCCCTCAAGTGCCCTCTTGGAGCCAAAATGCATTCTAAAGTGTCCTATTGGGAGGCAAAAAACACTAAATTACCCTCTTGGGTGGAAAAAACACTCAACTGCCCTCTTCTAAGTTCTATTATTAGGTAGATGCCTCTTGCATGTTTAAGGAGGAGCTACCTCACTACGTCTTGTGGGAATAGCTTTTCAAAGCTAGCCAGTAAAGTTAAAAGTTGGGTTAGCATTGCATATCAGGGTTTCCGCCAGGTTTAGGTTGACTCCCCTGCCGGGCTAAGCATCTGGGATAATTTTTAAAAATGCTTTCTTGAAAATGCCTTTTAAACTTCAGCTTGCAAGTTAAGGGCAGAAAGTCTTGTTAGTGGGCTAATGCTAGCAGCTAGTTGAGAGAGAGACCAGTGTGATGATCAGCTCAGTAGAACAGAGCTGGGTGAGCATTATAAACTGTGAATGTAGCTTTAGTGTATATTAGGATACACTTTGCAATAAAAATAGATAATGCAGTCATCTGTGCAAAGCAGATTTCCGGAATTTTGTGAAGGCTAGATACATTTAGGCTAGCTAATTTTAGAGACATGAATGAGCCCCAGTTTATTCCACGGAGCAGTAAATGTGTCTCACACCTTTTCAACAGCTATGGCTTAAGCTTTGATATTGTTTTATTTTAATTCAGTTTCTTTTGTTGCTGTTGAAAACCCAGCATTCAGGAGTGCACACTGTCTGATTCTCTATGACACATTACTGTTGCAATGACTTTTATGTTGGACCCTTTGTTGATCTATATTGAGCCAGAACTATATCTCCCAGAACCAGTTTGGATTATCTGGTGCTAATATGGTGTTAAAATGCACTAGAATACAGGAAATGGCATCTACTTAATTGAAAGTGTTCTTGGGGAAGACCCCCAGACCCCCTAGGGATTTATTTCCTTCATACATCCACATCGCTGTGTGTTGTTCACAGTCCAACGTTGAAATCCACAAAGTTCTCGTGGATGCTGATCCTAACAGCAAACTAACCTGTAGTCTGTCTAGTTAGTCTGTTTTAAGGCTCTATAATGTGCCATTTGTATGACATATAAAACGTGTCTAAAGTGCCCTCTACAGTGGTGAGGACGCGTTATATGTGCCCTTTTTTTTCTTTCCGCCCCTGCCCTTCAAAAAGTCTGTGCACGCCACTGCCCGACTATCTACACCTGGCTTAACATAGCCGCACCTTTTAATCCTGGCTCGGCAGACGTGCAACCAATTAAGCCAGGATGCGCTGAGCAGGCTAAGTCAAGCCGCGCTTGCTCAATTATCCTGGATCTCTTTATCCTACTTTTGTGCAATACCCCTTAGAACAAATGAACACAACTCAACAAACTGTTCAGCACAAAACTTGTGTTGTGATATAATATTAAAACTTCAAATCGATAAAATAAAACCAAATATTTGAGTTAATTATTAACAGTTTGAAATAACTTTAAAGAGCTCAACATATTCTCACCTGGTTTCTCAGCTGAGGGCTGAAGTCTGAAGGTCTGCTGCTCTTTGTTACCATCAGTCACTGCACACTTCAATGAGTTATAGTTTGATGTGTCAATGTAATGAGAAGTCTTAAAGGTCACAGAGACATTGCAGGGAGACTGTGATGTCTTCACTACTTGGTTATCTTTATCCAGATCTTGACCCTCATACAGCCACTTCACTGTGTGTGTACATCGTCCATATGTCGACACAGAGCAGCTTAATGTCACCTTATCAGAGTCCTTATGTTCAGTCACTGGTGAAGATGGAGATATTGTGAGAGAAAGACAACAAGAGTAAAATGAACTTCATCACTATAATCATAATTATTGTAATGTTTCAGTATTTTGTTCTAACAAGACAGTTTGAGCTGAAAACATTATGATGTAAATACTCACTGGTAATAACAGACAGATCAACCTGAGAGTCTGGACCTTGTTGTTGTCCTGATATAAACTGTCTGCAGGTGTAACGACCAACATCCTCGACTGTGACCTTCTTTATAACCAGAGAACAGTTCTCTGTAACACTCTGTCTGTCTGATTTAGAGTTGGTGTTTTTGATCTGTCCATGTTCAAACAGCGCTACTGCTGCTGTGTTTCCTGAAGCACTGAACAGCCATGTAGTATATTCACATCTTTGCTGACCATCAATCACATTATCACAAGGCAAAGTGACGTCATCTCCAACTCTGACAGAGAGGAGTTTTTCAGCTGCTGCTGTTAAAGAGAGAGAAAAAAAATAATGTCTGTTATGTTCATAGCTAGTGTAACGATTATTTCTTTGTTTATTTAAAAAATTAAGGTAATAAAGTTTCTTTTATAATATCGATATAGCTATTTATATATGTGATATATGTATTCTTACCTGTAAAGTGAAGCAGCGCTATAAGAAATAAAGACATTTGAATCCATTTGAACTCAACCATCGTGATTCTCTGTCTCTCTCTCCTTCTTCTATCTCTTGTTCTCATGCTCATAACTGTGTGAGTTTATAAAGTAGTGCTTCAGTAGAGAGACGCTCCATCTACTTCCTGTGGTTAGTATGATGTCACTTCCTTATAGTGACTTTTGGCAGCCAAAAATTAAATGTTCACATAAGTAAAGATGTCAAAGGTCAGAGGTCACAGCAGCCTGACAAAGATCCAGTTAAACTGGAATAAGTGTTAATAAGACACTTTACTTATTACAAGGTAACCAAATATTTTTTTTCCATTCACTGAGCCAATCTAACGCTGTAACAAACAAACTATATTAAGACTCATACTGAGTCTCAAGTTCACACTGTGTCCATGCCCACAGTGTATTTGTGACAATGACGTGTTTCACCTCCTGAGAAGAAGAAGAAGAGGAAGTTTAATGTGTGAAGATTGTTAGTTAAGATAAATGTTTGTAATGATGCATCTTGTTTTATTTAGATAGTGTTTATTAGCAAACAGACAGGAGTCATGGTGATGTTTAACAGCACACATGAACAGACATTCAGACACATGTCATTCATCCACCAGACTTTGACTCTTGATGTCCATGGTGCAATATGGTGATACTGTAGCAGCTGCAAGAACACAGATAAGATGATGTTTTAGTGGTCTGACACCTGTTGGTTCCTCGTTCTATCTTTGCAGTTGTTTTTTCCTGAGAAGTGCAGGGGAAATGTTTTTATTAGATTGTGGTTAACAACAGCAGCAGAGCTCTGGTGGTTCAACCCTCTAATGATGACCAGATAAACATCAGAAACACATGAGGGTTATTTCAGGCCATTAGTTTGTGTAGCCTGTCCTCTTTACAGTCACGTGGCTCAGGTCAAGTGGCTCAACATCCTCCTAGATTCATATTCTTCATATATGTTCACAATCATTAAAAAATGTATGATAACTTAATCATCCTGATTGTCCATCCTGTAATTTTACTGTGTCGGTCTATTCCGTACGCACAACATTTATTTCATGTCTGTCCTGAGAGAGAGATCCCGCCTCTCTTGTGGTAAACTTGACCACAAGAGAGGCGGGACCTCTGATTTATGATATTTGGAATACATAAACAAAATTGTCTTGATTCCCAGTAACAGATTTGTTCATTTAGGAGAGGGGTGATGGACCAATGTTAACGTTGGTCTGGGGGTTTATTTTCAGCAGCACAGACGCTACTGAATAATCATAAATAAATAAAATAAAATAAAAAAGAAATAAGGAATACTTTAAACAGCTCTGTGTCTCTATGACCCTCTTGTTTTTCTGTGACTACAGGTCGCTATTGGTCACTTTGATCTTGCAGGCAACACTACTCTTAAGAGTATATAGGCTGCAATATAGTATATAATTGAGTTTGTGTAGTATATACTGTACAGTAGTTACAGTAGAATATTATAGATCCAGGACAAAACTGAAGAGTGGGAATGAAAGAAAAAGGCACAATTACAAGCCGTCTCCTACTTCAGCACCACGGACAGCGCCATGGATTTATCAGGACAGCACACAGTCAGACTACTGTCAGGGCCATAGACTCTAACTAGCACAAGCATCAGTTAGTTCAAAGATCAATGAGTCAATGAGTCTATATGCTCACCGCAGACACGACTGGTGTATTTACATTCATTTTAGGTCAGAGCAGGAGGTCATGTGACTGCAAAACGTAGCCTGAGTTATCTGCATTATCAGGTCACTTCTGTCTGTATTTAGACACATTTGAGTGCCCAGTGACAACAGAACTGTTCAACCCAGCTTTACTTTTTGGTTATTTTGAGTCTCTTTGTAGATGTCTATGTCAAGTCCAAAAATATTTAAACAGTCATTTAAAGCAGAGACTATGGTACCCAGGCCCCTGACCCTTCGGGCCCCTGTGTTTGTGCCCTGTAGACCTGTTGAGTTATCCATCTATGATAAAGAATATTCACCTTCCTTTATGAAAGCTAATACACTGTAAGTAAAAAAAATACAATACAATTACAACACAGTGTAGAATTAATTAAATGTAAAACATTTATTTGCAGATTATATAATTATACATGTAATTAAGATAAAACTGTTAAGAACTCCTTTAAGACTCAAATCCAAAAAACAAACCGAAAACATATTGGACTCTAACAAACATATTAACAAAGATGCTCAATGTACGTTAATTTAAATGAGTTCTTCTTAAACAGACACTAAACTGAGCTAAAGCTGCAGATTTAAAATGGATCAGTTACAGTCAGGACTAAATGATTTGTTTGGAAGCAGATTTAAGGAAGTTAAACAAAATTTAAATGCTCTTCCCAGTTCAATTAATTTAAAATCCAGTTGCAGACGCAAGAAAAGACAAAAATGAAATATTATGTTTCTCAAAATGGTCTTGTGTCCTTTTATTTAAAGTCTACTCATGTAAAAGGTGATGAGTTGATGTTGATGTAGAAGTCTGATGGAGGCAGAAGTGTTGGTCAGACATCAGATGATGTGATGTTTTCATAGTTCACTGTACCATCATCTTCATTATCTCCCACCTGTGAAAAACAACACAACACAATCAAACCCACACTCTGAAACAATAAAACTGAACACTTTCTTATCCCAGTCCAATTTCTCTGACCTTCAGGGCGTCCATAGGCATTACATTAGACTAATTTGTCAAAATATTGTCCAAAGGGATTTAAGATTAGTGAATTCAAACCAAAGCATGTCACACAACTGCATCACAAGTTCTTTAATTCATGTTTACTTTTTTTATTTTTAAGACATGAAAGTGAGATGGGAGTGCTAGTGAGGGGTGTCGAGGCACATTGAGCCTGATTTCAGTCCTGACTTTATTCCATTGCTGTCAAATAGGTGTTGATTTTAATCCACAATGTCTGTGGAGGCAGCAGTTTGTGTTGGGGTTGGAATGAACTGCATTATATTGTCATGTTTACCTAATTGACCTACGTCATCATCGTACCTTTATTTTTTAATTCTTCTGTCTGTATCTACAGTTTATAATGAATGAAGAACATGCAAATACTGGTTTGCTCGTGTAAAAATATTTTGTTGTAAAAACTCACCATGTATTCGTGCATCTGTGTTTTTTTCCCTGAAAAGAATGAAAGAAAAGTGAAAGAAATTACTTTAGTTTTCACAGTCCAAGTTTACCAAAGCTTCCTGTTTATTTCATCAGTGGATGTTCTCACGTTTAGTTCTTGTCCAAATGTTGACTGCCACAACAATTATTATGAGTGCTGTTAAACCCACAGACACAATGATGAACCTCCACCAACCTGGAGAGACTGAAAGGATATTAAATGTCCATTTGCTATTTGAAGTACAAATAAACAAATAGCAATTAGTAGCAAATGTAATAAACTACCAGCAGGTTGACAGTTTGGTCTTTTAGTGAAATGTCTCAGGATGAATTGTACATAATTGATTTCCTGAATTTTCATGTAGCACCATCATCAGGTCAACACTTTAAAATTGTCTTATAATTTAATTTACCAAATGGACATCTTCCCAGTATTATAAAAATACACCCAGAATTTAGAAACATAGAAGATATAGAGAAAATCCCATATTTATTTGGGGAAAGTCCCACAGATCCCACAGACAGAGAGAGTAAGTGTTTGTTTTTTTTCTTAATTCTATGAATTGTTTCTTTTTCTTTTTAATCTTATTTCTTAATGCTTTTAAAATACGCTCATGCCAATAAAGTGTACTGAATTGAAAATTAATGAAATGAGAGAGAAAGAAAAAAATGTTGAGTCACTACCTTTTAGTACTGTTGAAGTATCATTGATTGGAGACGGTGTCGTGTTGGTTCCTGGTTTTATGCTGTTTTCAGTTGTTGTTGTTTTTGTCGTACTTGGAATTGTTGTTGTTCGTTTTGTAGGAGATGTAGTAGTTGTTGTTGTTATTGTGTCCTCACCTGAACAGATAAACACAACTCAAAAAACTGTTCAGTACAAAACTTGCGTTGTGATGTAATAATAAAACTTTAATCAATAAAATAAAAACATAAATATTTTAGTTAATTATTCACATCAGTTTGATGTGACTTTATGAAGCTCAATATATTCTCACCTGGTTTCTCAGCTGAGGGCTGAAGTCTGAAGGGAAACTGCTCTTTGTTACCATCAGTCACTGCACACTTCAATGAATTATAGTTTGATGTGTAAATGTAATGAGAAGTCTTAAAGGTCACAGAGACATTGCAGGGAGACTGTGATGTCTTCACTTCTTGGTTATCTTTATCCAGATCTTGACCCTCATTCAGCCACTTCACTGTGTGTGTACATCGTCCATATGTCGACACAGAGCAGCTTAATGTCACCTTATCAGAGTCCTTATGTTCAGTCACTGGTGAAGATGGAGATATTGTGAGAGAAAGACAACAAGAGTAAAATGAACTTCATCACTATAATTATAATTATTGTAATGTTTCAGTATTTTGTTCTAACAAGACAGTTTGAGCTGAAAACATTATGATGTCAATACTCACTGGTAATAACAGATAGATCAACCTGAGAGTCTGGACCCTGTTGTTGTCCTGATATAAACTGTCTGCAGGTGTAACGACCAGCATCCTCGACTGTGACCTTCTTTATAACCAGAGAACAGTTCTCTGTAACATTCAGTCTGTCTGATTTAGAGTCGGTGTTTTTGATCCGTCCAAGTTCAAACAGCGATACTGCTGCTGTGTTTCCTGAAGCACTGAACAGCCATGTAGTATATTCACATCTTTGCTGACCATCAATCACATTATCACAAGACAAAGTGACGCCATCTCCAACTCTGACAGAGAGGAGTTTTTCAGCTGCTGCTGTTATAAAGATAAGACATAATTATGAAAAATATATGTAATGTTAACATTAAGTGTGTCTTGTTTATTACTTGTCTTATATAAATAAAATGTAGATAATGAAGTATCTTTAACAATATTGATAAAGATAGTTTTAATATATGTGATATATGTATTCTTACCTGTAAAGTGAAGCAGCGCTATCAGAAATAAAGACATTTGAATCCATTTGAACTCAACCATCGTGATTCTCTGTCTCTCTCTCTCCTTCTTCTATCTTTTGTTCTCATGCTCATAACTGTGTGAGTTTATAAAGTAGTGCTTCAGTAGAGAGACGCTGCATCTACTTCCTGTGGTTAGTTTGATGTCACTTCCTTATGGTGACTTTTGGCAGCCAAAAATAAAAATTTACAAAAAAAAAAAAGGTAAAAGGAAAAAGGGAATGACAAAGACCAGTTATTCTGGAATTTTTAATAAGACACTTTACTTATTACAAGGAACCAAATTTTTTTTTCTCTCTGAATTTGTTGTAACTGTCTTATCTCTCAAATGTGAAGCCTGACAAATATCCTGTGAAACTGGGATGAGCATGTAAAGAAGACAAAGTCACTGATTACAAGACAAAGAGATAGGTTGCTGCATTCACTGAGACAATCTAACGTCATAACACAAAAACTATATATAGATATCATGGCCGCCTGAGAAGAAGAGGAAGTTGGTTTGAGGCTTTGCACTTATTTTTGTGTTCTTTTTAAAATGTGGTTAACAGCAGCAGCAGGGCATTGGTGGTTTTAGCCTTTAATGGACAATGGGATCACACACTAGCCAAGCCACGAAATTGGCGTGTAGCTATGCTGCAATGGAACACAGTTAGTTTAGTAAAACAGGTGCACTGTGCCGTATTTATTAAGCTTTACAACAGTGACCTTGTACAGCAGCCGGTAATAATTGTGCATTGATCAAAATGCATGTGAGCCAATTTTTAAACTCTGCCTTCATTTTGATCTCAGCTACACACCTTTACAGTTAGTTTTGTGACTGCGTAGTGCACAGTTGTCATGCTATTGTGTTAAAAAAAAAACTGTCCACAGACATATAAACACATGCAAAAGTACTCAAAACAGCTTCTGTGGTAGTTCTTCTACAGTAGGCGTCTCCAGGACTACATTTTGCACACACACAGACTCACAAGCTGAAAATATAATGAATATATATATATATTGCTTTAAAACGATAACGTAATGGTGTGTGGTTAGTGGGCAGTCAGTTGCTTATTGTATTTGACCTCTTTAATTTTAGACTTGTAATTTCCCTTTAAGCTTCCTTCTGCAGAAACAACTTCTTTGTCTTTGAGAGTTATGTCTTTTTTAAAAATTCCTGTCTTACAAAGTATGATCTTCATTGAAATGAGTATGCAAATCAAATCTAAAGTTATTGTGGACAAATATCACACAAATTTTCACCACTATTCTAATCTATTCTTTTTTGTCTTGAACAATAAACATGATGCATTTTTAGTGTCCAAAAATTAAAAAAAAAGCACTTTTGAGGACTTCCCTATGTTTGATGAATATTGTAGATCACAACTTATTTGTATCGTATACATTATATATTATATGCCTTGATTCCTTCACACTAAAACTTCATTGTGGTTTGTTGGCAACATTATGTCATATATATTTTTTGCACATCTGACATCTTGGCTTTGTAGCCTAAGTTAGCATACCTATCTCATCATCATCATCATCATCATCATCATCATCATCATCATCATCAACTTCCGGTGACTGCTCTGTACCTTCACTCACAAGCTGTGAGCTGTTAATACAGGGTTATTCAGTTATAATTTTAGATGGCAGGGTTGTATGATGAAGTTCAGGGGCACATTTTGCCATGTCTGTCATGAATGTCAAACAGGATAACAGTTATATATGACTGTATACTTATTCGGATCTCTTCAACAAAGATTTAACTGTAAAATCTACTCCATTACTGTCAGTCACTATCAGAGTGAGTATAAATAAAGCTGCTGGGCCTGATAACATCCCTGGCCCTGCACTAAAGACATTGCTGACATTTGTAACATATTAATGTCACAGAAGATCATTGGTTCTCTTCTTAATGCTTGACAAGCTAGATACATAAAAAAGGCGTATTGCTGCCCCCCAGAGGTCACTTGTAAAACTCCATCATTACTCAAATCTTTGCATAGAGTCCAGTGTGACGGAGAAAGTTGATTCAAAGTTTTGTTATTCCACCACGATCTGTGATGATATTGACTTCAAAGAATGGTCTGTAACTCCAATTTATGACCAATAACCCAACAGTGCTCCCCAACTTAAATACTTGATTTAACACTGTCAAACTTTCTACTATTAAATCCAGTCTGGACCCTCTTCTCTCACCCTTCAGCACCATTAGTGCTGCAGCAGAGTTTGAGCATATGATTCTCTTTTCTGGTCTGAATTCCTCCACCCACCTCAGGGCCCAAAACCTCTGTAAAAACTTTTGATTTTAATATTCACTTTCCGTGTTGCATATATAATTGAGGAATACTTAATCCTAATGCAGTTCTTCCATTATTCAGATTTTTGGAGCCAACCGTGTAGATCTGTGTGCAATCTGCCCAGTTTACTTTAAAAATGGTGATTAACAAGAGTTATAAAACACCTTCATACTTCTTGATTCCATTTAACATAGAAAAATTCCAGTTCTGGCAACAACCAGTGCGGAACAGGAGGCCAGCACACTGCTGGGCCCATCAACAAACCTTTCACTCCCACATCCTGTGCCCTCTCACCCATTGAATTTACAAAACTCCCCGACCCGTGAAGTTCCCAGTGTTCCCCCAACAAACAATCAGCTCACTGTAGCTTGGACCAGCAGTTTAAAGACAGTTTACTTTTTCTCTCACTGGTACTCAGCTACCCAGCATCAGTGCTATCGGTGAGGTGAGGTGCCTGCTTAGAGCCCAAAGGATATTAATAAGGCAGCACCCACCCCAGCCACAGCCTGTTAACCCTGATGCCATCTGGGAGGAGGTACAGAAGCATCTGCTGCAGCACCACTAGGGGCAGTACAAATGATTAAAATAATAAAAGGAGTAAATACAAAAAGGCTTACAGAAAATTTTGAAAACAGGTCAAAACCAGAAAAGCAGTGCAAAAGGCAAACAAATCCAAAAGGGGATTGCCAAAAACACTCAGATACGCTGGGGAAAGGGCTGGTACACTTGCCAAACTGACAAAAACAAACTGCTAACTGAGACAAAGGAATACACATTCTAAATACGCTGTTGAGGGAGGATAATTAAACACAGGTGAACCTAATCAGGGTGGGGCAGACAATGAAAATTGGTGGGAAAACCCCCCATCTTCAAGGCATGGCTCCCAGATGTCCCTTCAAAAACAAGTCCAATAAAGTCCAATGTGAGCCAGGTGGGTGGAGGGGGTCCAGAGGAGCGACTCAAGGGTAAGTGACCTGGGAGCTGAAGAATTGAGGACAGGGGGCAGAGCGGATGTCCTCGGGTGGACGGCCTGCAGGATAGGCAGAAGCCAAGCTGGAAACATTTTCTCCACAAAATATGATCCAGTTTCACCAGAATCAGCAAGACTGTACAGCAAGCTTCTTAAAATCAAAGCTTTCATTTCTGGCTGCAAGTGAGATGTTTAAAATTAACTCTTTTTTTCCTGCATTAATACAATAAGCAACACCTCATCGAAAACCTGAAAATGAAATTACGATTCATGGTCTGATGTAAAATAATGCTGTAAATAAATGTTTATTAGCAGTGGAAGTTGTTGAGTGTGACAGAAGCAGAAGGCTCTCCAACGTTTTCATAGTTCACTGTGCCGTCATGTCCATCTTCATCATGATGCAGCTGTGAAACACAGCAACACACTTCAGTTTAACTGGAACAAATAAATGTTTTCAGTCCATGAATTTTAAAGTTTATAATCTAACAGTTAACTGCCAGCAGACTTTTGAACCACCATCAGTTACTGTCTGATCTGATCTTTACCTGACTGGCTGCTGCACCTGAACGCCTCACTGCTTGGCTTCTTTACTGAGTTTAAAACCTGCACAAACACAAACAGTGAGACATTCACAGTCCTGCATTACAGTAACATGAACAGTTCCCAGCAGCAGCTTATCATCATTTACACTGACTTACAGTCTCTGATCATTCATATACATTTTTATTGTTACACATGGGTTCACTTCAGTTTTTATTCTCAACTCACAGTGCTGTCATCAGGTGGTCTCTGGTTCCCTGGAAAATAAAGCACAGAGTAACATTTCAGCTCTAAACTTACAGTTTGTGTTAATCAGTGTAAACAAATGTTGGTCTGAATGTTCTCACCTCGAGCTCTGATGAGAAGAACAGTAATCACAGTAATTAGGAGGAGTTCAGCCACACGCATAACCAACATTATGTAGTTCAGAACAGAACAATCTGTACGAGCTGTGCAACAGAAACATAATGTCAGTGAAGAAAGTTCACAACTTTCAACTGCTACAGTCCTGCTCACCATTATTGCCACCTCTTCATTTTTTGCATAACCTCTACAATATCTTTAGAAATAAATAGAAATGTACCAAATTTATATCATCAGGATCTTTTAATTGGAGGTCCAAAGTAAAAAAATAATAAAAAAAGAGGGGTGCCATTATTGCTGCACATGCTGTTTCTTCTCTGTTTCTAATTTGAAATTACAATATGTAAGTTGAAAAAACAAATTTCTTTACTTTATTTTTCACTTTCACATTTTTTTCAGAAGATATTCCACATTATGTACTTAAACTTCATGGGTGCCAGGAGTGGTGAGCAGGACTCTATAGAACTTTAATATAATGACATTACTTTGTGGATATTGTCCATGCAACCATTTGAGATGTGGAAGTTCCCTTTTGTGTTCCTTCTACAAAAAGGAGAGTGAAGCCACTTCTCATTCATGTTGTTTTTAATTCTTCATTTAGAAAAATATGATCGTCATTTTAAACTCTAAAATATAAAGGTTACTGTATCTGTTGGACAAATATTACATTTACAATTGTTTCCCATTTTAACAAAACAAATATAATATTTTGCCTTGAACTACAAACTAAAAAACATGTTTCCTCTTTTCTCTCTCTCCTTAGCCTCAGCTGTACTTCCTGTTTAGTGCAAATTACCAAATGTTAGCATGCTAACACATAAAACTGACAAAACTGTGCATGTTATATTCTTTCTATATGTTAACTAGTGTCGACACAGTTCTCATGAGTCAGCGATGTGTAGGAGGGGAACAGAAAGTAGGAACATAAATACATCCATACTGTCACTGTAAACATCTACATTTGAGAGAGTGAGCTACTTTGTTTCTCACCTTCTTGTGTTGTTGACGTTGTGGTTGATGTTGTTGTTGATGGTGTTGTTGATGTTGTTGTTGGTTCTTCTGTTAACACTGATGTTGTTGGATCCTCACCTGACAAATTAAAAAGCAAAAACTAACAAACTAAAATAGAAATTGTTATAAAAGTAAAAGTATGTTACATGTGGATAAAGAGGTTTTAAACAGCTCTTCATATTCTTACCTGAGGACTGAGGGCTGAAGGTAAACAGTTGCACTTTTCCAGTGTAATGATCATGTGCTTCACATTTGAACAACTTGTGATAATCGCTTGCTTGATGCTTGAGATAAGAGGTGAGAAATGTCACAGTAGCCGAGCAGTCAGAATGTGATATCTTGATGTCTTTGTTGTCTTCAGCCACACGTTTCCCCTCGTACAGCCAGTCCACTGTGTGTCTACACGATCCAAATGTTGATACAGAGCACGACAACAACACCTCATCATTGTCCTTATGTTCAGTCACTGGTGAAGATGGAGATATTGTGAGAGAAAGACAACAAGAGTAAAATTAACTTCATCACTATAATCATAATTATTATGTTTCAGTATTGTTCTAAAACATCATGATGTAAATACTCACTGTTGATAACAAACAGATGGAGATAAGTGTCTCCATGTCGTTCTGATTCGAACTGTCTGCAGATATACAGACCAACATCCTCAACTGTGACATTCTTTATAACCAGAGAACAGTTCTTTGAAACACTCAGTCTGTCTGATTTATCTTTGGCTTGTTCACCAATCTGCCCCAGTGTAACCAACTCTACTTGTGCTGAGGCAAAAAAAGTGAAAACCCAGGTAGTACGGCTACATTCATCCTGATCCTGTATTGCATTTTCACAAGTCAAAGTGATCTCATCACCATCTCTGACAGTGAAGGCAGAATATTGTCCTGTCATTGCTGTGAAGGAAATGACAGAGAGAGAGAGAGAGAGAGAGAGAGAGAGAGAGAGAGAGAGAGAGAGAAAAGAGAGAGAGAGATCAGTTGATGGCGAAACTGTACCCTCAATACACTCTGACCTGTGTCACAACAACACTGCTTTCCAAACACCAGTCAGACTAAACCTAAATGTAAAGAAAACTACTTGGAACATTGGAAATAATATACTAAAAGCCAATGTAGATGAGAATGTTATCTGGCCCTAAAAAATGTTTTCGTTATATTTACATTGAGAAGAAAACTTGTAACAGACATGTAACTTAATCAAAATGTTTGCAAAATGACATCATTGTGCTTCTGTTTATTTTGCATTTAATTACTTTCTTACCTTTCAAATGAAGGAGCATCAGAAACAGTGGAATTTGAATCCATCTGAAAACGGCCATTCTTCTCTGTCTCTCTGTCAACGTCTAACGAACTACTGTTAGTTCAAAAAGAAAGGTTTTTTTTTTATTTCACTTCCTCCTGGTTGCTTCATTTTAGATTCCTGTCACTGAGGGGAAACAGTGTTTGTGTCAAGGCTCGATAAAAACAACAAAAAAATAAAAATAAAAAAGCAGAAATGCGAATACAAAACCAACTAAAACTAAAAAAATTAACATATTGAAATGTACAACTGCTATAGAGCTTTAATATAATGACATTACTTTGTGGATATTGAGCTGCTTGTTCCTTAATCTGCTACTGAAGATTACTGTCCATGCAACCATTTGAGGTGTGGAAGTTCCCTTTTGTGTTCCTTCTACAAAAAGGAGACTGAAGCCACTTCTCATTCATGTTGTTTTTAATTCTTCATTTAGAAAAATATGATCGTCATTTTAAACTCTAAAATATAAAACAAACACAACATGTTTCTCTTTTTAACAAAACAAATATAATATTTTGCCTTGAACTACAAACTAAAAAACATGTTTCCTCTTTCCTCTCTCTCATCAGCCTCAGCTGTACTTCCTGTTTAGTGCAAATTACCAAATGTTAGCATGCTAACACACTAAACCCAGATGGAATGAAAAGTTCAACAGTCAATTTAATGTGGTGAAATTTCAAAAACTTTATTTCGAGGATATATGTATGTATATTTTTAAGGATTCACAAATTCCATCAACATACCAGGTATACAAAACCATTCAAATTGCACAAATTCATTAAGATCTAAAAAGTCAAGTCAAACGATCTGATGGCTTTCAAATTGTAATTGACGAGTGAAAGTTTCAAAGAGAGAACGTACATTCAGATGTATGGTTTGCAAACTTAAATCCTTCAGTGCAATTAACTCAGTAATATTTCAATATCAAGTCTTCAGTGATGATTAGATTTCATTTCAAATCGTTATTTGCCTTGAAGTCACATTTCATTATCAGTGTTTTAGTGTCTCACCGGCCTGAATCTCAAAAGAATACGCAAGAAAGATTTGATTTATTCACACAAGAGAAGAATATGAATAAGAGTTGTCCAAAAAATGTCCTTTTTGTAGCTTTTTTTATGTTACCTTTTTGTTACGTACTTGCATTCATATTCAGAGAATAGATCAGTCTACAAAAAAATCACCATCAAATGTAAATAAATAATGCTGTGAATTAACCCTTAAGAGCAGTGGACTCATTTCTCTGGTGAGTTGATGTTGGTGTGGAGGTTGTTGAGTCTGACAGAAGCAGAAGGCTCTCCAACGTTTTCATAGTTCACTGTGCCATCATGTCCATCTTCATCACGATGCAACTGGGAAACACAGCAACACACTTCAGTTTAACTGGAACAAATAAATGTTTTCAGTCCATGAATTTTGTTATAATCCCCCAAACTGCCAGATTTTCCTCCAGTTACTGTCTGATCTGATCTTTACCTGACTGGCTGCTGGACCTGAACGCCTTACTGCTCGGCTTCCTTCTGAGTTTAAAACCTGCACAAACACAAACAGTGAGACATTCACAGTCCTGCATTACAGTAACATGAACAGTTCCCAGCAGCAGCTTATCATCATTTACACTGACTTACAGTCTCTGATCATTCATATACATTTTTATTGTTACACATGGGTTCACTTCAGTTTTTATTCTCAACTCACAGTGCTGTCATCAGGTGGTCTCTGGTTCTCTGGAAAATAAAGCACAGCGTAACATTTCAGCTCTAAACTTACAGTTTGTGTTAATCAGTGTAAACAAATGTTGGTCTGAATGTTCTCACCTCGAGCTCTGATGAGAAGAACAGTAATCACAGTAATTAGGAGGAGTTCAGCCACACGCATAACCAACATTATGTAGTTCAGAACAGAACAATCTGTACGAGCTGTGCAACAGAAACATAATGTCAGTGAAGAAAGTTCACAACTTTCAACTGCTATAGAGCTTTAATATAATGACATTACTTTGTGGATATTGAGCTGCTTGTTTCTTATTCTGCTACTGAAGATTACTGTCCATGCAACCATTTGAGGTGTGGAAGTTCCCTTTTGTGTTCCTTCTACAAAAAGGAGACTGAAGCCACTTCTCATTCATGTTGTTTTTAATTCTTCATTTAGAAAAATATGATCGTCATTTTAAACTCTAAAATATAAAAGTTACTGTATCTGTTGGACAAATATTACATTTACAAACACAACATGTTTCTCTTTTTAACAAAACAAATATACAACAAACTAAAAAACATGCTTCCTCTTTTCTCTCTCTCCTTAGCCTCAGCTGTACTTCCTGTTTAGTGCAAATTACCAAATGTTAGCATGCTAACACATAAAACTGACAAAACTGTGCATGTTATATTCTTTCTATATGTTAACTAGTGTCGACACAGTTCTCATGAGTCAGCGTTGTGTAGGAGGGTAACAGAGAGTAGGAACATAAATACATCCATACTGTCACTGTAAACATCTACATTTGAGAGAGTGAGCTACTTTGTTTCTCACCTTCTTGTGTTGTTGACGTTGTGGTTGATGTTGTTGTTGATGGTGTTGTTGATGTTGTTGTTGATGTCATTGTCATTGATGGTGTTGTTGATGTTGTTGTTGGTGCTTCTGTTAACACTGATGTTGTTGGATCCTCACCTGACAAATTAAAAAGCAAAAACTAACACACTAAAATAGAAATTGTTATAAAAGTAAAAGTATGTTACATGTGGATGAAGAGGTTTTAAACAGCTCTTCATCTTCTTACCTGAGGACTGAGGGCGGAAGGTAAACAGTTGCGCTTTTCCAATGTAATGATGATGTGCTTCACATTTAAACAACTTGTGATAATCGCTTGCTTGATGCTTGAGATAAGAGGTGAGAAATGTCACAGTAGCCGAGCAGTCAGAATGTGATATCTTCATGTCTTTGTTGTCTTCAGCCACACGTTCACCCTCGTATAGCCAGTTCACTGTGTGTCTACACTCTCCATCTTTTGGTACAGAGCATGACAACATTACCTCATCATTGTCCTCATGTTCAGTCACTGGTGAAGATGGAGATATTGTGAGAGGAAGACACCAGTAACTTCCCTATAATAGTAATTATTATGTTGTATTGTATTGTATTGTTAGAAACATTATAATGTAAATACTCACTGTTGATAACAAACAGAAACAGAAAAGTGTGTTCAAGCCGTATTTGTGCGACCTGTCTGCAAGTGTAATGACCAACATCCTTGGCTGTGACCTTCTTTATAACCAGAGAACAGTTCGCTGTAACACGCAGTCTGCCTGATTTATCTTTGACTCGTTCACCAGTCTGCCCCAGTCCCAACAACTTTTGTCCTACAGAATAATCGACGAACCAGGCGGTACTGCTACATTCATCCTGATCCTGTATCCCATTGTCACAAGTCAAAGTGACCTCATCTCCATCTCTGACAGCAACAGGGCGAATTTGTCCAGTTATAGCTGTGAAGGAAATGAGAGAGAGCTAATATATCATATTCACATATATAAGAAAACTAGCAGACTTTTAACTTAAACTTTGCAAAATAACTTGTGCTTCTGTGAAATGAATATAAAATAAATGTCTTATGTTGGAATAACTGTGTCTTTAATCATTTTCTTACCTTTCAAATGAAGCAGCATCAGAAACAGTGCGATTTGAGTCCACCTGAAACGAGCCATTGTGCCCTGTCTCTACCTGCCAGTGTCTAATATAAGTGGACTACTGTTTCCTCACGCACAGAGATGTCTTTATTCGTGATGAAACCGACATGTCACTTCCTCCTGGTTGCTTCATTTTATATTTCTGTCACTGAGAGAGATAATGTTTGATTTAAACCATGCTGAAAAACATGTAGGAAAAAAACCCCAACATAAAAAAAACAACAAAGAACATACTGTAATGAACAACTTGTAAGAAAGGTTTAATATGACGACCTGGCTCTGTGTCAAGAGTTAATGAGCTGTTAGTTCCTTATTGTGTTGCACAGAAAGTTACTGTGCCACTCATCACTCAGAATCCTATATTATTGTTTTAGAAAATCAATCAAAAATCAAATTAAATATAAAGTTAGTGATTCTATTAGACAAATATCACATTTAGAGAAGCTTTTGATGATAACCTTAATTATAAAGAATAGTTTGGATTCAGATTCAGGTGACTTTATTGCTCATTAAATGTGCAGAAAATGGAAACGTATCATAAGTCATCCACCATAAAGAACATAGCAACACACAAAAACAGTAGAAAGTTACAGTAGAAAGGCAGAAAGTGATGGAAATAAAAGTGATGCAAGTGCAAGCCTACATAACCATCACAACACTAAATAATACACAGCAATAATAAATAGTACACAACAGTAAAATAATTAAAAAGAATATTAAAAATAGGAGCAGGAGGATTATTGAGGATGGTCACAGATGGATTTTTTGTAACCGTTCTTCCTCGCCACTGGGAACTGCTGAGTGGAGAGGATGGGTGGGGCAGATTAAATAATTTCTACTTTTGCATTTTTTAGCAGGGCAGCTCTCAGACTGGAAACGTTGGTTGGTTCATCACTTTTATTAATTAATTAACTATTAGGTGGATTACCATAGAATTTCTTGTACAAACACTCTTGGTCCCCTGAGGATGAATCGCGATCCCCAGACCTTTCTACTAAGTCAAGTCTTCAGCCTGAGCCTGCACCTCCAGAGGGTCCCTGTGCTGTGGAAGACGTCCTGCCTCGTTCCTGTGCCAAAGACGCCGCGTCCCAGCAGCCCTCAGGACTACAGACCGGTGGCTCAGACGTCCCACATCCTGAAGACCCTGGAGAGGCTCGTCCTGGAGCAGCTAAGGCCTATGGTCAGGCCCTTCACTGATCCACTACAGTTCGCCTACCAGCCCCGCCTGGGAGTTGAGGACGGCATCATCTACCTGCTGAACAGAGTCTACACTCATCTGGACAAGCCGGCGAGCGCTGTGAGAGTCACGTTCTTTGACTTCTCCAGTGCTTTCAACACCATCCGTCCGGCTCTACTGGGTGAGAAGATGGCTGCGATGCAGGTGGAGGCCCCCATCGTGTCCTGGATTGTTGATTACCTGATGGGCAGACCACAGTACATACGCCTACAGAACTGTGTGTCTGACAGGGTGGTCAGCAACACTGGGGCCCCACAGGGGACTGTCCTCTCTCCCTTCCTCTTCACCCTCTTCACCTCAGACTTTAACTATTGCCAGAGTCCTGCCACCTTCAGAAGTTTTCTGATGACTCAGCAATAGTTGGTTGTATTGAAAAGGGTGATGAGAATGAATACAGGACTGTTGTGGGCAACTTGGAGTGAGCTGAATCACCTGCAGCTCAATGTGACAAAGACAAAGGACCTCAGAGTGGATCTGAGGAGGGTGAAAACACCAGTGACCCCTGTTTCCATCCAGGGGGTCCCTGTGGACACTGTAGAAGAGTGTAAGTACCTGGGGGTGTACTTTAATAATAAGTTGGACTGGACTAGAAACGCTGAGGCGGTCTACAAAAAGGGCCAAAGCCGACTCTATTTCTTGAGGAGGCTGAGGTCCTTTAACATCTGCTGGACGATGCTGAGGATGTTTTATGAGTCTGTTGTGGCCAGTGCGATCTTCTTCGCTGTCACATGCTGGGGCAGTGGGCTGAAGGTCGCAGACACCAATAGACTAAACAAACTGATCAGGAGGGCCGGCGATGTCGTGGGGGAGGAGCTGGACACCGTGGCAGAGAGGAGGATGCTGTCCAGGCTACAGTCTATCTTGGACAATGTCTCACACCCTCTCTAGGACACACTGGCCCAGCAGAGGAGCACCTTCAGCAGAAGACTCCTCTCACCCAGATGCACCACAGAGCGCCACAGGAAATCATTCCTGCCTGTGGTCATTAAACTCTACAACGCCCCCCTCAGAGAGTCAGACACCCCCTCTCTGTAAATCTGACTCAAATATAGACAATCACTTTTTGCACTTTTTGCACATTATTACTGTACATTTGATCATATATATATATATATATATATATATATAGTTCTTAATATATGTTGTTTGTATATCTGGAGTTTGTAACAAAAATAATTTCCCCCTGGGATTATTAAAGTATTTTTGATTCTGATTCTGATTCTTCTAGCTTCACCGTGTGCTGGACCTTTGTATTTAGTGCTGAAAAATCTTGACAACCACTGGATGAATTAGTCGTGGAACGTCAATATGGTTCAGAGATCCGGGTTCTTCTCAGGATGAACTGTTATCACTTTTCATCCAGAAAAAAAGAATGTAATTTGTCAGTACTGTGTTTTGGGCAAATTAGCAAAAGTTACCCTGCTAACGCACACAACAAGACAGTGAACCATAGACTTTAATTCATTTTAATTAAAAATGGTCTTAATCTCTGGCTAATCCAAAAATGGGCCTGTACCTGGAGAGTCGGTGGAGCTGAGGCGGGTTGAATGAAGCCTGGTGACTGAAAGCAAACGCCTGTTGCTCAAAGTGGCCATGCACTTTTTATGCATAACTTCAAGCTTTGATACAATTTCAATGAGCAAGTTATATACAACATTCATCCACTGTACAGCTTTACACAGGCAAATTAGCTATAGAGACCAAAACCATTTATTTCTACTGGCTGGTAAAGTTGGACATTTTAATAAGGGGGCCTTATGGAGAATCGGAGCCAGCCTCAAGTGGCCGTTTCAGGAACTGCAGTTGTTATGTCCGTGTTGGCTTCATTTGCCGGGCCACTTATGTTGCAATAACCATTATACCTGCTCAACATTAGCATTGTCATCATGAGCATGTACTGATATTAGCATTTAGCTCAAAGCATTATAAGAACTAGATGTCCTATTCAGTCCAATGAGAGTTGCTCAACTGCTGCATACGCCAATAAATTGACCAATCCTCAAAAGTAATTTATCACGCTTTCCTTTGTTTTATATAAACGGTGTGTTTAAGTACTTTAAAGTTAAGTTTTATCGAGGAAGCTACGAGTGTGTGTCCTAAGAAATTGTATTTAATACTGCATTAGAAACCAGGATACTCCAGCATGTAAACAGCTTTTCCAGGTTTCTGAACATTTATTGTTCAATGTTGATCAACAAATATTCATTTATATGAAAATAAAAATAATAAGTGTCCTTTTTTGTCCAAAATGTCAGCATTGTAGCTTTTTTCAGTTACTTTTTTGTGACATACTTGCATGCAAATAAGGAAATAGATCAGTCTGCAAATAAACACCAAACATAAAGCACACAACTCAGTAGAGGAAAACAGGTTCGTCCTACAAAGGTTGAACGTGTGATTCATCTCTGACAGTGAAGGCGGAATATTGTCCAGTCATTGTTTTGAAGGAAATGAGAGACAGAGAGAGAGAGAGAGAGAGAGAGAGAGAGAGAGAGAGAGAGAGAGAGAGAGAGACAAGATGTCAGTTGATGGCGAAACTGCACCCTCAATACACTCTGACCAGTGTCACAACAACACTGCTTTCCAAACACCAATCAGACTAAACCTAAATGTAAAGAAAACTACTTGGAACATTGGAAATAATATACTAAAAGCCAATGTAGATGAGAATGTTATCTGGTCCTAAAAATGTTGCTACATATGATCAATTTCCATTTTCTGCACATTTAATGAGCAATAAAGTCAACTGAATCTGAATCTAAACTATTCCTCATAATTAATGATGTCATCAAAAGCTTCTCTAAATGTGATATTTGTCTAATAGACTCACTAACTTTATATTTAATTTGATTTTTGATTGATTTTCTAAAACAGTAATATAGGACTCTGAGTGAGGAGTGGCACAGTAACTTTCTGTGCAACACAATAAGGAACTAACAGCTCATTAACTCTTGACACAGAGCCAGGTCGTCATATTAAACCTTTCTTACCAGTTGTTCATTACAGTATGTTCTTTGTTGTTTTGTTTATGTTGGGTTTTTTTTTCCTACATGTTTTTCAGCATGGTTTAAATCAAACATTATCTCCCTCAGTGACAGAAATATAAATGAAGCAACCAGGAGGAAGTGACAGGTCGGTTTCATCACGAATAAAGACATCTCTGTGCGTAAGGAAACAGTAGTCCACTTATATTAGACACTGGCAGGTAGAGACAGGGCACAATGGCTCGTTTCAGGTGGACTCAAATCGCACTGTTTCTGATGCTGCTTCATTTGAAAGGTAAGAAAATGATTAAAGACACAGTTATTCCAACATAAGACGTTTATTTTATATTCATTTCACAGAAGCACAAGTCATTTTGCAAAGTTTAAGTTGAAAGTCTGCTACATCAAGTTCTCTACTGTATGTAAATATAATAATAATCTCTCATTTCCTTCACAGCTATAACTGGACAAATTCGCCCCATCACTGTCAGAGATGGAGATGAGGTCACTTTGACTTGTGAAAATGTGATACAGGATCAGGATGAATGTAACCGTACCACCTGGATCTTCATTTATGTTGCCTCACCAAAAGTAGAGTTGGTTACACTGGGGCAGATTGGTGAACAAGCCAAAGATAAATCAGACAGACTGAGTGTTACAGCGAACTGTTCTCTGGTTATAAAGAATGTCACATTTGAGGATGCTGGTCAATACAACTGCAGACAGGTTGCACCAATACGGCCTCAAAACTATTATCTATATCTGTTTGTTATCAACAGTGAGTATTTACATCATGATGTTTTAGAACAATACTGAAACATAATAATTATGATTATAGTGATGAAGTTAATTTTACTCTTGTTGTCTTTCTCTCACAATATCTCCATCTTCACCAGTGACTGAACATAAGGACAATGATGAGGTGTTGTTGTCGTGCTCTGTATCAACATTTGGATTGTGTAGACACACAGTGGATTGGCTGTACAAGGGGAAACGTGTGGCTGAAGACAAAAAAGACATCAGGATATCACATTCTGACTGCTCGGCTACTGTGACATTTCTCACCTCTTATCTCAAGCATCAAGCAAGCAATTATCACAAGTTGTTTAAATGTGAAGCACATCATCATTACATTGGAAAAGCGCAACTGTTTACCTTCAGCCCTCAGTCCTCAGGTAAGAATATGAAGAGCTGTTTAAAACTGCATTTTAAGATGACGTCATTCTAATTTTTTTTATTTTTTGTATATTTATTTTGGGGTTTTTGCTGTTTCATTTTTCAGTTGAGGATGCAACAACAACGATATCAGCAGAAGCACCACCAACAACACCAACAACAACAACACAAGAGGGTGAGAAACAAAACTTACTCAACATGAAACAGTTCTAGCTGTGAATGCAATGTATACACACAAACACTGTAGATTTGGTTAAAATGTACATACATGTTTACATTAGCAGGTATGATGTTTAATATTAAAACCATGTTAGTTTAGTGTGTTGGAATGCTGTTCATTACCACTGAACACAAATTACAGCTAAGGCTGATGGGAATGTTTCTGTTGCACAGCTCGTACAGATTGGTCTGTTCTGAACTACATAATGTTGGTTATGCGTGTGGCTGAACTCCTCCTAATTACTGTGATTACTGTTCTTCTCATCAGAGCTCGAGGTGAGAACATTCAGACCAACATTTGTTTACACTGATTAACACAAACTGTAAGTTTAGAACTGAAATGTTACTCTGTGCTTTATTTTCCAGAGAACCAGAGACCACCTGATGACAGCACTGTGAGTTGAGAATAAAAACTGAAGTGAACCCATGTGTAACAATAAAAATGTATATGACTGATCAGAGACTGTAAGTCAGTGTAAATGATGATAAGCTGCTGCTGGGAACTGTTCATGTTACTGTAATGCAGGACTGTGAATGTCTCACTGTTTGTGTTTGTGCAGGTTTTAAACTCAGTAAAGAGCCAAGCAGTGAGGAGTTCAGGTGCAGCAGCCAGTCAGGTAAAGATCAGATCAGACAGTAACTGGAGGAAAATCTGGCAGTTTTGGGAGATTATGACAAAATTCATGGACTGAAAACATTTATTTGTTCCAGTTAAACTGAAGTGTGTTGCTGTGTCTCACAGTTGCATCGTGATGAAGATGGACATGATGGCACAGTGAACTATGAAAACGTTGTAGAGCCTTCTGCTTCTGTCAGACTCAACAACTTCCACACCAACATCAACTCACCAGAGAAATGAGTCCACTGCTGTTAAATGTTTATTCACGGCATTATTTTACATAAGACCATGAATCCTAATTTCATTTTAAGGTTTTAGATGAGGTATTGGTTATTGTATTGATGCAGGAAAAAAAAGTGGATGTTTTGTTAAGTCGATTCTCACTTGCAGCCAGATATTAAAGCCCTGATTTTAGGTCCAGTGTGTAGGATTTAGTGGCATCTTGCTGTCAAGTTGCAGACTGAATCTCACTCGCGTCACCTTCCACTTCCAAGCTCGAGGGAGAAACTGTTGTGGTCGCAGAAACCGTGAACGGCCCTATCTAGAGCCTGTGTTTGGTTTGTTTGTTCTGGGCAACAGGGCGGCATCCATGGAAGGCAACTGTAGATAAAAACGGTTCATTCTTAAGCCAAAAAAACACAATGATGCTTATTATTTTAGGCGATTATACACTATTAAAAAACATACCTATGAATATGATATTCAATTTCTGCCAATAGATCCTCCTAAATGTTACACACTGGACCTTTAAGAAGCTTGCTGTACATTCAGCCTTCGTAGGACCAGCTTGTTTTCTTCCCCTGAGAAGTATGCTTTACATTTGATGGTGATTTTTTTGTAGACTGATCTATTCTCTGAATATGAATGCGAGTACGTAACAAAAAAGTAACATTAAAAAAAGCTACAAAAAGGACATTTTAGACAACTCTTATTCATATTCTTCTCTTGTGTGAATAAATCAAATCTTTTTTGCGTATTCTTTTGAGATTCAGGCAAGTGAGACACTAAAACACTGATAATGAAATGTGACTTCAAGGCAAATAACGATTTGAAATGAAATCTAATCATCACTGAAGACTTGATATTGAAATATTACTGAGTTAATTGCACTGAAGGATTTAAGTTTGCAAACCATACATCTGAATGTACGTTCTCTCTTTGAAACTTTCACTCGTCAATTACAATTTGAAAGCCATCAGATCGTTTGACTTGACTTTTTAGATCTTGATGAATTTGTGCAATTTGAATGGTTTTGTATACCTGGTATGTTGATGGAATTTGTGAATCCTTAAAAATATACATACATATATCCTCGAAATAAAGTTTTTGAAATTTCACCACATTAAATTGACTGTTGAACTTTTCATTCCATCTGGGTTTAGTGTGTTAGCATGCTAACATTTGGTAATTTGCACTAAACAGGAAGTACAGCTGAAGCTGATGAGAGAGAGGAAAGAGGAAACATGTTTTTTAGTTTGTAGTTCAAGGCAAAATATTATATTTGTTTTGTTAAAAAGAGAAACATGTTTGTTTTATATTTTAGAGTTTAAAATGACGATCATATTTTTCTAAATGAAGAATTAAAAACAACATGAATGAGAAGTGGCTTCAGTCTCCTTTTTGTAGAAGGAACACAAAAGGGAACTTCCACACCTCAAATGGTTGCATGGACAGTAATCTTCAGTAGCAGAATAAGGAACAAGCAGCTCAATATCCACAAAGTAATGTCATTATATTAAAGCTCTATAGCAGTTGTACATTTCAATATGTTCATTTTTTTAGTTTTAGTTGGTTTTGTATTCGCATTTCTGCTTTTTTATTTTTATTTTTTGTTGTTTTTATCGAGCCTTGACACAAACACTGTTTCCCCTCAGTGACAGGAATCTAAAATGAAATCTTTCTTTTTGAACTAACAGTAGTTCGTTAGATGTTGACAGAGAGACAGAGCAGAATGGCCGTTTTCAGATGGATTCAAATTCCACTGTTTCTGATGCTCCTTCATTTGAAAGGTAAGAAAGTAATTAAATGCAAAATAAACAGAAGCACAATGATGTCATTTTGCAAGTTTTCTTCTCAATGTAAATATACTGTTTGTTAATTACTGCTTGTTTTCTTTGTGTTGAAAGATATGCAGGATGTTGTTGTACAATCAGTCCAGTTGCAACAGTAGCTGTGGTATTTTGTTCCTATTCTGAGAAGCTGGTATAGATGACAGGAAGATGGATGGATGATGAAAGGTTGCTTGCTTAAGAATTGTCTCATTTCTCATAAAAAACTAAAAACCTCAAAGATGTGTGTCAGCTCTGAATAGACCTGTCAGCAGTTTATCTGTATTTATTATATGTGATGTTTGGGGTTAACAAATTCTGATTTAAAATTCGAAAAGAGATAAAAATTATATTCAAATTGCTCAAATTTATTAAGCTTAATTCTCATATAAACAGTGAGTCAAAGAATCTGTATTCAGGAACTGAAATTGACTATTGAATGTTTCAAAGAGAGCAGAAATTTGCTTAGATGATCGAAAGTAAAATATCTGTGTAATGAAATCAGTTGTATTGAATGTGTTTACATTGTTTACATGCAGAACAGTGTCTGGGTTATGATTGGGTTTTTGGAGTATCCTGGTTATGTTTTGTGCATATTAACAGCTTACTGGTTATGAAATTGTATTTAATACTGCATTAGAAACCAGGACACTCCAGCATGTAAACAGCCTTTCCAGGTTTCTGAACATTCACTGTTCAATGTTGATCAACAAATATTCATTTATATTAAAAGAAAATTAATAAGTGTCCTTTTTTTGTCCAAAATGTCAGCATTGTAGCTTTTTTCAGTTACTTTTTTGTGACATACTTGCATGCAAATAAGGAAATAGATCAGTCTGCAAATAAACACCAAACATAAAAGCACACAACTCAGTAGAGGAAAACAGGTTCGTCCTACAAAGGCTGAACGTGTGATTGAGACTTGGATTACTTAAGAAGTCTTGTATCTTTTCATGTCTCTTACCAAACTACATACACAAAAAATGCAAATGTAGCGACAGAGACAGTTTAATTCTCTTATTTTTTATATTCCTAAGGTAACTTTTTTCTACTCACAATTAAAAAATAACTTTTTACCTCTGGAGGAAACATGTTTTAAACCTTATCCGTCTGTTATCTGTCTGTACAAAGACAGAAACTGACTTGGCTTACTACGTAATGAACACAGAAGCAACGTTTAATAGGGGTAATCAATATTTTAATACAATTTTAAATTTAGATATGAAAAGGCTTCATAAAATAATTTTTTTTCTTTTCAAATTGTGGCATGGAGATGTGTTGTTAAACATATTCTCATGACTGGAATGAAATCATTTCAAAACACTGCAATAAAATGGGCAGTTTTTTGCTACAGTAATACAATTTGCCATTTACATGACATCACAGAGGTCAAGGAACGAGATCCAGCAGCTGCCTGCGTCCACAGAAACAATTCAAATAATTAAAAAAAGTACATTCTGTAAATCACAAGATCATCTGTGCCAAACTCAGCACACACTGTACTCCTGGTATACATCAACATGCTTTAAAGTATCTTGGAGAGATGAAAAAAGGTAAAGAAGTGGTATGTGAGTGAAGGTGTGTGTGAAAACAAGTCCCCCTTTAAAAAAAGAAACAACAAAAAAAAAAAACACAGACAATAAGCATAAAAGACTACGTCCACAGGAAGCCGAACAACTTTTAAAAAAACGCAGTTTACGTGTAAAACCGAAGTTTTCTGGTAAAGATCTCCACATTGAAATACCTGAACGAGAACAGCTTCCTCTCTCTTTCTTTGTCCTCCTTTCATTCAGTAAACAAAAACTGGCGAGGAGTGACACAAACACTCTTAAAACCTCTTTCCTGTCGCCTCTTACGATGATTTAAAAAAAAACACAGCCAAATTCCCTCTCTCTGTACCTGTTGGCAGATAATGGAACTAGTATAAAGTCATGGTTTGGTCACAGCTCATAAATACTACGTGTTAATGCTCTCCGGTGCAGACAAACAGCAGCAAATCCTCACATTTCCGAAGCTACCAGCACACGTTTGGCTTTATTGCTTGGACATAAACCATTATCTAAACATCGGCGGATAATCTTTCTGGCAATCGACTAACGGCCAGAGAACGTTGGAAGCGACAGATGACTTGTGATGTGGCTTACCACATCACAAGTTTGTCCCCCCCTACACACTGAAACACCCAAGACCACATTTTAAGATTTTTTTTTCCAGTGTTTAGAAACCAGCTTAGTGTGGACAGACAGGTTGAAGCAGAACAGGTAAGAAAAAAAAAGATGCTGTTTTAAATGTACCCGGCTTAATGTGAACGTACTCTGAGTCAGTGCAATAGAGTTAAAAAAAAGAAAAGGGAAAAGCACTCATGTCTGGATACTGGCTTTCTTTTTTTGCAGCAGCTGCATGTGAGACGTTTCACATTGTCATCTTGTCTTTTCGGTTTCACTGAGGCTTCAGCAGCCTCACAGTCCCTGATTCCACTCTCGGCTTTCCACCGGCTGGACCCGTGTTCAGGGGGGGAAGGGAGGGGAACTTCAGCCACCAAGCTGGTAAATTCCTGGCCGCTATCGGAGCCGTTTAGAAAGTAACCAACCGCGGGGGTGTGGAAGTCCTCTCTCCTTGCGCTCTGAGCTGGCTGGTGAATTCATCAAAGTGGCTGGTCAAGAATTGGAACATCAAAATGTTCCTGCCCTTCCCGATTTTTCAATGGGAATCAGTAAGAAAAGTCTCTCTCTCGTCTGCTGTGTCTCACACTGAACAAGCTGTAACAAAGTGCCTCAGTTCGCAGGGGACTTTTTATTTTTTATGTTTTCTTTTTTCTTTTTTTAGGAAAAACCTCAGTAACAAAACTAGAATCTCAGTTAAAACAACGAGGAAAAATATACACAAATATATGTTCACAATATATTATGTACATTTACTCAAAGCTCTTTAAAAATTCAAATCAACGCGAGGCTGCCCTTTTTCACAAGTGTTCGCGAAGAAAGTGCCGTCATCACTTTACATAATGTAAACCTGAGACACCGGCCGCGTCGCTGCTGGAGACGACCTCAACTTCCTCACAGTTACGATTTTCGCGAATCAATCACGACACAAGTATTACTTCCTCTTTCCTCTGCCAACAAGAAGGCAGAATAAGCGCACGGCACAGTTGGTCGGAGCTCCAGCAACAACAGGACATCTCCAATAATGTGCACGAATACAGGCAGCATGTTGAATTATGGTCAATTGTACTACAGTATATATATAAAAAAAAACTCCCTATATTGTATTGCAGTGTGTTAAAGGCCAAACTTAATTTCAATCAATGCTCATTTTCCAATTTGTTGGCGTTCTGTGTGAATCAGATGTCGGATAGGTCGGCTCCAATCTGAGGTCATGACTTATCCTGAACCTTCAGCAGCGACTTCAAGTGAACAGTCATTTGCTCTCGGCTTTGGTTGCTCTGCTGAGGCTCGTTTTCTCCGACCCAGTGACTGGGCGGTTTGGGTAGGACACTCGGTGAGGGCGGCTCGCTGAACTTCGCTCCGGCGTAGACCTTCTCGCCGTCTTTGAGGTATTCGAGTGCAGCTTCAGCGGGCGGCGTGTTCAAGATCTTCGCGTTGTTGGAGGCGTGGAGGGGCTTTTTCTGCTCTCGGAGCGGAGGCTGGTGGAGTGGAGAAGGCTTGTTCGGGCTGCTGTTATCTTTCTTCTTTGTGGCGGGACAAGCGCCGGGGCTTTGGGCCTGCTTGGGCTTGTGGCTCCGCGTGATCACGTTCTGGGTGACCTGATCGTGTCTGGGCAGGTTGCGGGCAGGTTGGCCACCTGGCTGCATGGTCCCTCGCTCCAATCTGCCACCTTTGGAGTTCAGCAGCTAAAAAAAACAAAAACATAAACAGTCTCTTATTAATCCAGATATTTGATAAATATCACTAGATGGAGTTTGCTTAGTTGTCACAGAAACACACACTCGACCTATGGCATGATAACAGGTTTATTTAACCCAAAGCTCCTGATACTAGTTGGTGAGTACACCAGAATACAGTCAACTTTCTAAATAAACTTGATTAGGGAAGCACAAAGTTTATTATCTTCTTTTTTTCAGACATAAATATTCACAGATTAATTAGGATTTGGTAGAAATGTAAGCAAAAAAACATGCCTATCTTATGAAATTGATTTAAAAACACATATTTACACAAAAGACAAAAGAAAAAGACCAAAAATCATCATCATTTACTACTAATATTCAACCATTTGGCATAGGGTTTGACTTTTACACTGCAGTTTGGGGCTACCTGAGACAAAAGCAGACAATTGCAAGAGAAACATGCTGTGAGACACATTTACTGGAGGTGATCTGAAACTCTGCTGACCCAAAAAAATAAATGTAAAGTTCCACAGGAGTCTTTTTATTAGTACATTACAGAGGCAATGTCAGTGAATGACCCATAATTATGTGATAAAGCTGAATGCATTTCCTACATAACAAAACCTCCTCCGGGTGTTATGAACTCTGCACTATTTACATCCGCTTCCCGTCACTCTTTATTGCGCAGACCTTCCAGCAATGGCAACCTGCCAGCAGGAAGAGGAAGACAGGTTCGTTCACCACGTCTACTTCCGATTCGTCACAACAAGGATTAGTAACTGCGTCATTTCAAAACTGCCTCAGGCACTACAGGAGGTGTAATCACCAACAAATACACTTTATCTTCAAATGAGGCTTCAGAAGCACATAGCTTTAAAAAAAATATATGTCAGAAAATGTCCATTGCAAGTTGACAATGTCAAGAACTTCAAAATAATCGACGTACTACCACAAAAGAGTACGAAAACTCAAAATATATTCACTTTTGAGAGGTTAAGTTTTGGCACTATTGCTTAAAAACTATTATTTTATGCAGACGTTGACAAAAAAAAAAATTTTTTTTAAGATTGCAATATGATTTAAAAAAAAAACAACCCTCAAAACTCAATTAAAATCACGACGGTGTGAGATTGGTTGCAGTCTGTAACCAAACAAACTTCTTCACACCTAAAAGAACAATGTGTTCATGGCTCCTCTGCAGCAGCACTGTTATAATGCTGCCACACAAAAACTATTTATAACATTGTGCTTATCTGTGAAGCTGATAACTGATCACCCAAATATGAAATAATCAATAAACTGAGAACATTGATCTTTTAACCCCCTTTGTATCTGAGACCTTTAAAGTCTCAGCCCATTATTTTGGCATTATGATTGATTTCTCCTAATCATTCCATTCACTTATAATTTTACCAATCTGGATGTCACATTATCTTGTAAACAAAGCCACACACAAACAACAACAACAACAACAACAAACAAACAAAGAAACCAGGAAGTTACCTCTCTCTTAGCTCCCTGTTTGAGATGATGGAGGCTCAGTGCGGTCTGCGGACCGGCGGGGAGCTCGGTACCGGGCTGAGCTGCCGTCGGGGCGGTGTTGTTGTTGTTGTTGTTGTGGTCGGACAGGCGGATGTTGTTGGGGCCGTTTCTCGGGGGTTTCTGGTGATGCAGCGGCGCCGTCGACCGCAGCTTCCTTCCTCCTTTCTTCAGCAGCGCCGGCCTCGTTTTGTTGGCCGTGTTCAGCCCATCGCCGCTCGACAGCACCGACACCGGGTTGTTGTTCTCCACGTTGCCGATGTTGGCTTCATCGTCGTGAGCCGGGGATCCGTCCAGCATGTCTCTGAAGTGAAAGCGAAAACATAAACAAGACCGTGTGAATGGTAGCTGACGACGACGCAGGCTAACAGCTAGCACAGTGAGCTTCTTCTTCTTCTTCCTCTTCTTCTTCTTCTTTTTCTTATAATGCGCGTCTTTTTGTATCCACAATAATAACGTTTATGTTGTTACTGAGACTAAATTTGAAGGGTTTTAATTCTTCCTGCTGCTAAAACAAACGGTGGACGTCTCTTCACCCGAGATGGCGACGGTGCTACTGAGCTTGTTAAAGCTAAAGTAGCACAAAAGGGTTAAGTTAGCCAGAATAAAAACACGTGACTTCCGGTGACATATTTCAAAATAAGATTGCAAACATTTTGATTGAGTTACTTGTCTGTTACAAGTTTTCTTCTCAATGTAAATATACTGTTTGTTAATTACTGCTGGTTTTCTTTGTGTTGAAAGATTCAATTCAATTCAATTTTATTTGTATAGCGCCAATTCATAACAGAAGTTATCTCAGGACACTTTTCAAATAGAGCAGGTCTAGACCGAACTCTTTAAAACATTGTGTGCAGGATGTTGTTGTACAATCGGTCCAGTTGCAACAGTAGCTGTGGTATTTTGTTCCTATTCTGAGAAGCTGGTATAGATGACAGGAAGATGGATGGATGATGAAAGGTTGCTTGCTTAAGAATTGTCTCATTTCTCACAAAAAACTAAAAACCTCAAAGATGTGTGTCAGCTCTGAATAGACCCGTCAGCAGTTTATCTGTATTTATTATATGTGATGTTTGGGGTTCACAAATTCTGATTTAAAATTCAAAAAGAGGTAAAAATTATATTCAAATTGCTCAAATTTATTAAGCTTAATTCTCATATAAACAGTGAGTCAAAGAATCTGTATTCAGGAACTGAAATTGACTATTGAATGTTTCAAAGAGAGCAGAAATTTGCTTAGATGATCGAAAGTAAAATATCTGTGTAATGAAATCAGTTGTATTGAATGTGTTTACATTGTTTACATGCACAACAGTGTCTGGGTTATGATTGGGTTTTTGGAGTATCCTGGTTATGTTTTGTGCATATTAACAGCTTACTGGTTAAGACATTGTATTTAATACTGCATTAGAAACCAGGACACTCTAGCATGTAAACAGCCTTTCCAGGTTTCTGAACGCTTTCAATATTTTTGTTCCTACACCTGACATTATTTTATTGTTGGATCTGTACAAAATTAATATTAAAACATGGGAATTAATAAATCATTTAACTGTTCTGTTTTACAGCAATAACAGATGAAGGGTTTTTCCTACCTTGTAAATTAATTTTGCCACCAGTAATAACTTATTAATAAACTAATAAAAATAAAATCCTCTGTGTTTCTGTTACTGTCATATGTTATTATAAAATGTAATACAATGTTTAGCTTCAATGTTGGCTGGGACGCTCCAGGAGACAGCAGACATCACTGGTGCCTCCTTTCTGTCTGTTTGCTGTCAGTTGTGGAATAAGTATTTACAGTTACAGATCACTGACTGTACTTTGTTAAAGTCCTACATTCAAATTTGTACAAAAAGTACAAGAGTAATAAAAGCAAAACATATATCAAACCTAAAAGTTGTCTACTCATCAGCAGGACAGCAGACCAGAATTGTAGAAATACTTTGATTACTTTGAATTTGAATTGTTTACTGGTCAGTTATAGTTTTTTTTTATAAAACTTATTTCCCAATAAGAAAGTTTAAGTTCTGATTCAAAGCCTCTCCACACTACCAGGAACACAATTCTTTATTTCTAATAGTCAAATGTAAAACAAAAAAAACAAAAGAAATACTGGAATCAGCATATAAATTATCTATAATGTTTTTAAGCTTTTAATTGTAAGATATAAACTCCCTCTAGGTTGCTAAAACTAGAAAACTGTGGTAATAATGTGAGCAGTAAGGCTGTCAGTGTTGTTTCCTAATATATTCTATATATTCCTATTTATTATCATATTATTGGATCATTATTACTGACACATTACTGCTCCATTAATGTTGCATGTCACTGCTGTAGCTGTGTACGGTTCTGTTCATTTTAATTACTTTATATACTGTGGGGAAGTTTAATCTATCATATTATATGAGATCGTCATGTGTTTGTAGCGTCACTGTCCTTTGAGAACCACATATCCCTAAAGTCAACTTTTCAAGAGTTCAGAAAAACAAGCTTGCAGAAGTATGAGTTTTTTTTCTTACAAATAAATTAATCATAAACAATCAAATTCACCAAATATGGAGATATATTGTTTTCACTGGACAGAAAGAGTATGAAAAAATGTAATCTGAAAAGTAACTAAAGCTGTTAAATGGAGTAAATAGCACAATACTCTGTGATGTATTGCAGTAGACGTATAAAGTTGCATAAAATGGAAAGATTCAAATAAAAAGTACCTCAAACTTTAAATTAAATACAGTACTTGAGTAAATGCACTCAGTTACTTTCCACCACTGCTTTCAGCACACACTGTGGAATATGTTTACATTTATTATCTTATTATATTTCTATTTTACATTTCTATTTTTATTTCTACATTTTTACTTATATTTATAAACCTATACATACATTTCTATTCTATACATTGTGTTAGATATTGTAATATAAGTATATTTTCTATTCTTTAACATGTGTGAGTTAAAGAGACTAGACTATTATTTTGTCGACAAATTCCCAACTTCCGGCATAGAATTGCGTGAACACTTGACAAATCTCCTCTTCCGGGTTCTGTTTCCAGTAAGGGGCGTGGCCGACTGCTTCCTGTCAGTGACGTTTTACCTTTGTATTCGGTGGCGGCTGTCGGAGGGGCGGGGCACAAATGTCACATGATAAAATAAAAGCTAGAGCTGTGAGGGTGGTGCGTTCACTGACCTTATGCGCCCTCATATTTTGTATCCTGTTTCCACTTTCAACCACAAATACAAATCAAAAGCGTCCTGGTTAACCACACACAGTGACTGATGTTCACACTGATGTTCACACTGGTTGTTATTTGCAGTTCCCATATGCTGTCAGTGAAGTAGCTCTTCTGATTTATAGTGTTGTTGTTAGTCTGATTTATAAACATGGACTAAAACACAACAATGTAATATAATATTCATTTAATTAATCATATGTTTCAACTGGACTGTGTCTCCGGATTAGTCTCTGCTGTGAAATAAGCAGCGAATAACAGTCAACTAATAAGAGTTCTATAATAATAATAATAATAAGAGATATTCCATCTGTCTTCAGGTCACTGCATCAGCCTCCAGTCTGCACTAAAACTGAGTTTAATGTTCATTTATTTGTCTATAAGAAGCACTAAAAGCTTAGTAGTGACTGTGAGAAATGCTTTAAGTTCCCCTCCACTCAAAAGTATGTTTTTCTTCTTGTCCCTGTTTGAGCTTCACTGTGCAGAATGACGGATGTGCAGTTTGTTTACTGAGAATGGACCTTACAGTGACGTAAAGCAGGAAAACTTCAGGAATGAACAAAAGCAAACAGATTCCCCAATAAATCATTAGATAGACGCCTTTCTAATGATTTATTGTGGAAATCATACTTTGTTTTTGCAAAAAAGAAAAAAAATAGAGAAATCATGTTGAAATCCCTTATCAAGCTAAAACAGCACAACATTTGTTGGTTGCAGCTCCTTCATTGTAAGGATTTGATGCTTTTCTCTATAAATTGAATAGTTTTGGGTCTTGTTTTTTTGGTCAGACAAAAGCAATCTGAAGACTTCTGGCCCTCGAAGAACTTCAGCCCTACAGTTATAAAAACAAAACAACAGACACTGGACACAGGTTTGGTATCACACAGCTTTATTGTAGAAAATGTGATGCACAGTTGAACACTTTTTGTTCACAACAGACCCCAAACTCACCTTCAAAACATTCAGTAAAATGCACGTCTCTGTGTGTACGGTACCTCAGCTACCCCTCACCCCTTTTTTTTAGAACCAGGATGAACCTGTTTAAGAAACACTGACAATAAACTGGTGGGCTGGGGGTACGTTTACTTCATTTAAGTGCACAAAAGTCTGAAAAACTACAAATAATGAGTGAAAAACCACACGCGCTTTAATCTACCACAGAATAGGCTGATAATCGTTTGGCAAAGAGAACCCAGAAACTTAAAAAGGCAAATCTGAAACTCGCACGGGAGGACATGTTAAAGGTTTGTTTCAGTACAAAAAAATAGATATATAAACAATATACAAATACAACATAAACAGCTAAATATCCATCCCTGTGAGCGCAGTACATATCGTTTGTCACCGTGACTTTAGAAGGCAAGAGACATTGAGGGTCCTGAAGGTGGTACTCTGTGTGGGTGCTGGAGGCGGCGTCGGGGAGCTCAGGGCTGAGCCTCGGCCTCGGGTTCGTCGTAGATGTAGCTGCCGACGCCTCCGGTGTTTACGCCTGACAGAGGGCACAACACAGGCGTTAAAGACTTAAACAGTGGGGCGATCGTTCTTTTGCCGTCGCTGCTCCTAGACTGTGGAACAAACTGCCCCCTGACATTCGCACCACTACTGATCTCGGCCTTTTTAAATCGAAGCTTAAGACCCACTTTTTTAGATTAGCATTTAATTCTGAATAGGACAGTACTGTCTCTTTTTATCTGCTCCTTTCTGTGCATTTCTGGAAGGCTTTTAATACCCTGCAGTGCTGCAGCACTTTAAATTGTATTTGTATATTATATATGTGTTATGTATTGTTTCATGGCTTTGTTGTAAAGCACTTTGGGTACCTTTCGGCTATTGTAAAGGGCTATACAAATAAACCTGATTTGATGATTTGATTTGATTATCTTTAAAGGTTTAGTTCACACAAATAGCAGGTTTCTACATGAAACTCTTTTGAGGAACAAGGTGCCAGTGGGACAGGCAGGTGAACCACATGCTGACCTCAGCCCACGGGAAGCTATTTGCTCTGTGTCGCCTACAGAAATGAGGTGTTTGAGACCATGAACTGGTTTACAAAGGCTACACGCGTCCGGTACTAGAGTATGCAGACATGTCTTGATTCCTTGACTGCAGACCAGGCTAAACGGATGGAAAGCATACAGAAACAGACTTGTAAAATCAACCTTGGCCAGAGGTTCTCTGCCACTTTCAGACTGTGTTCGCACTCAACTCTGTCTCGGGTTTGACAGAAAGCTGCTTCAGCGATACTTCTCATACCGCAGCCTTCCTGTGTGCTTGCTAAAGGTTTAGTCCACAGTGCCCACTGCAGTGCTCAGACATGTGCAAGAATGGAGATATTAACTGTTTGCAGACAGTGCCTCCGCACTTGCACAGACTGCTGGGGGGAGCTTCACTGGTTCCCTTTGTACAGTAGAGCCACAGTTAAATAGGAAAAGCAGCAAATATAAATCATTATTATAACGAATTAAGACATAAAATTGTTACCAGGATCACCAAGGTTTATGACTTTAGAATGGCTACATAGGATTATAATTTTTCTGTTATGGTTCCCTAGCTTTTATAAGCTACATAGCCTTAATGTACCTCTTGCCCTTTTATCTGAGCTTCAATCTGACACTTGAAGGCATCAAAAACAGTTTGCTTTCTCTCACCTTCTGCAGACTGTTTGAAGACACGGTGGTTTTTGAACCACAGTCTCAAGGACAGTCTCTCTCTAAGCACCAGCCCCCCCCCCAACCACCACCCTGCTGCTCTGCACTGAAAGTGTTTCTGACTTCATACCTTTGGGCCCAAACAGCACGGCGTAGCACGGTTTGTGGCAGTACGGCTGTCCATCATGCTGCAAGAGAAAGAAAAGATTCCCTCCTTTATTCCTCCTCATGTGGACTCACGACATCCATCTTTCTGATTGGACGGTTGTTTTGTCTCACCTCTGCGTGGCTGCCAGGAGCCAGAGTCTTACTGCACCTCTCGCAGCGCAGACAGGGCCGGTGCCAGTTCTTCCCGAGAGACGACACCTTCTCAGCTGCAACACAAACACACCGCCGTGGAGACAGTCACCATGGCAACCAGCTACCATAGTCACTTAAGGCACATTCCAACACACAGACAGTACATATTGTAGTGCAAACACCGATCTGCTTACCGAAATATACTGTCTTGTTGCACCTGGGGCAGATGTTGGGTCCTCCAGAGAAAGATGAGAAGCTTGCAGCTGAAATAGTCACACTGAATTAGATTTATGTAACATCTAATAATGATATTTGCTGTGGAGTAGTTGCAGCTTCATACGGCAAAACCCACACACATCTTCGAAGGATCCCCTTTCTTCATGTGCGAGTATCTTCGTTTGACAGTGAGCTAAACTGAACCTGAACCCTCCTAATCCTTCAACAGAGGACCCCATTCTAGCACACATCAAATTTTCCTTCCCGACGTATGACAGTTTTTCTATTTTTGCTCCACATATTTCTCACCCTTCACTGGTCCCCGTGCGGGGGCTTTTTTCTCCTCTGGCTTGCTTTCTGTTTCCATGGAAACGGCAGCGGGGGCTTCGTTGACAGGATTGTCATACACGTAGGAACCAGCTCCACCGATGTTCACACCTAAAACGTACGAAAACGGTGCATTTAGAAACCTGAAAATAACCAATATGGATGCATATTATGTGTAAAAAAGAAGAAAACAGCACCTTTTGGGCCAAAGAGGGCGGCGTAGCAGGGCTTATGGCAATAAGGCGTCCCATCATGCTGCAAAATACAACAGAGAGAGGGAAAATAAGCAGAGGCAGCTGTTGCTCAAAAGAGAAGAAAATTAAAAGGGCCAGTTTTTCACTGTTCTGAAATCCGAGTGGAAAAGTTTAGTTAAACACATTTTTGTATTTAGTCTGTTTGGATTCACATAATGCCAAATAACAAATGAACCTGGACTTATTCACAGAAGTTTATAAGACTTGTCTGCTCTCTGTCATTTTCTCTGTTCACTCCATTTATAACGTATAACAACAGAGCTAAATATAAGCTGTGTGTGTGTGCATTAAATCATCCTCAGCCTAACCTTCCATGTATGACCCCTTTCAGACATTAAAATATGCGACATTGCCGGCTTCTTCTAAAGTAATTGCTCTTTGTCATTCGCACACTGGTGTCCTTTATGTAAATCTTCCATGGTGGCTTTATTCAGACGTGTCTGAACAGTCAAGGCTTATCCACACAGGAGGCGTTTTCAGTTATCCATCTTGTGTGCGTCTCACGGAACACTCTTTTTTAATCAATCCAGCTGTCAGCACAGGCTTGCGTGTTCAGTACAAATACGGATAAAAAACGTATCTTTAAAGTGAACCGACCATACAGAATCATCACCAACAGAATTAGTAGCTTTTAGCCTCGGAGCTCCTCTCACTTGTGAATGAGAAAGCTGTTATCAGCTCAGCTGTGCTTCACAGCACGTTACTTCCTCATGAAAAGTGAATTAAAAGACTGTGAAAGCCACAGAAACAATCATGATCTGATAACTCTCTTGTAAATAACACACTGCCAAGTTTTTAAGCTCAAGTTCAGTTCTTGTATCGGCAAGTTTTGTACTGAACTGAATGTAACATCTTGGACCATAAATAGACTGAAGGAAGTCAGAGTCAGCGCTGAATGTGCGTTATGAATGGTGATACATTCACTTGCTGTTGTATATACTGACGTACACTTGCACGGTGATGCGTTGATTCAGTACATTGAGATAATATAAATTTTTGAATGGTCTTCAATGCTTTTAGGTTGTAAAAAGTCCTCTTTACAAATAGATGCTATTTTGTATAAAGAATCTGAAATAAAGTGCTTCTGCGTGGAGAACAAAATACTGTACAGGTTAAAAAAGACTGACAACTGAAAGGGCAGTAAGAGACAGAGATTCCTCTGAGCAACAGTTAAATAGGAATATAATAAATCACCAATCAATAGTAAAAGAAACTAGAAGGTTGGTATCAAAATCTGTGCAGATTTAAATAGGCACAGGTTCCTGTTTGAGTGTTAAGTGAACAATGATGCCTATAACAAGCTGAAATTCAAAGGCGTGTTGCTTTAGCAAAGCTATTACAATGAACTTGCAAATAATAGTTTTAAACCTAAAATCTGAGGAGTTCTATACATTATTACACAGTATTCTGTATGATCCCTTCTTTTGGAAGCTTGAGGTGAAGTTTTACTCCACAGTAATTAAGTAAAAATACAGGTGCTGCTATTTGGTGGCCATTTGATTTAAATGACATTGCTTTTATCTGGACAAAGAGAGAGATGCTCCAAAGATGAATCAACTGTTACAAATGCGCTTGATGTGAACAGATCCTCAAATTCAGGATTGCAGAGAATGTAACCTCAACAGGAAGTAAATGCGGTTTCTTTGTGGTCAAACTTGTACAGTCATTGTTCCGGGTGGTTAGAAAGTCAGTAGAATGACTGTTCGAATCTGACCACAAGGAAATCCCGATACTTCCTGCTGAAGTTGTTCTCTTTTGTCAAAGGCCAAGTTATATCTCGGTTCTCTTTTTATTAGTGTACTTTCACACCTTCACTTTCACTGCAAACAGTTTCACACACATCAATGGTTACTTCTATAATCTACCATCACTGGTCTTACACTTCTCTGTCCCTCACGTTCAGTCAAAAGGCAATCCTGGGACACATATTTATACACAACACTGTGGTAATAATATGTTAATTCTAAACATATAACATTAATAAATTGCTCTGAAATAATGCATCATACCTCAGCGTGGCCTCCAGGATTCAACGTCTTGTTGCAGCGCTCACATTTCAGACAGAACTTGTGCCAGTCTTTCCCTAAAGACGACACCTTCTCCGCTGCAGAAGAAGAGACAAAAACAAGGAATTTATCTCAACCTGGGTTGTAAAACTACAGTATTACATGCTCTTTATGGACTTTACGGGACATTAATGCCTCCAAAAACTGGTATAAAGATCCACCTAAGATGAATGGACCAGATGATAATAGACCTTTTTCACAGGAGCCATTTTGACATGAAATGATAGGGTAGCACAGGTGTTCCCAATGACACGAATTAAGGTCCCATTCCATTTAGTGTAGCTTTTCCAGTGAGCCAACGTGCACAAAGATGTTTGACCTGAATGGAACAGAACCTTAATTAGTATCATTGGTAACACCAGTGTTTACCCTACTACTTCATGTCAGAGTGGCTGCTGTGATAAGTACAACTGAAAAGGGTTTATACGAGGTGGATAAACAGAATTGTTCCAGAAAACAAAATCAAATCAGAGAGAATATTAGTACAAGTACAAGGGAAAAAATATCTAAACTGTTATGTAAATATCTTTGATTCACTCTCTAGAGGTTTAATATTGAAAAAAAAGGTTATAAAAGCTATATTTTGGGAAATAAATCTGACAGAAACAGTAACAGAAAAGGCGGGGAGCCATTCAATCTCTACACAAAGGCAGGAACTAAGAGGAGAAAGAAACAACCAGGCAGCTTTGCAGAACTGCAATGTTTTTCAAGCTTGGCACTCCTTGAACTGCAGTTAACTGTTCCCTCCTTGCAAATGTGATTCATCCTCATTATGTCTTTAAATAAGCTGTTTTTTAATGCCAGATGTCAAGGAGGTCAAGAAAATGTGACTTTTTGTTCACAAACATATAAATCTTCACATGGATTCAACGACAGGTAGCAGGCAGGCAGCTTGGACAGAAACGGCAATAACGTCTTTAGAGGAATCAGAAATCAGAATCATTTGTAAATTTCAATCAAAGAATCAATTTGTTAATGGAACTGACGTGCAGTGCTATTCAGATTTTGCAGGGGGGAATGATCTAGTGTCAGCGTGTACAATACAAAGACAAATGTAAAAATGTATTGTGAATTATAGCAGAGCAGTTTGCTCCATGATACAGATGACGGTTAAAGTGATAGAAGACACTTGACAGCCACTTAGGAGCTCATATCAACCTAAAGCACATTCTTTCCACTGCGTTTGGAAGGAGAGCACAGTCACACAGTGGGATTCCCATTCTGAGTCATATTAATTTAGACTTTTTGTAAAGCTACTGAACACATTAAGTATGACAGCTACATGCCCAAGCCTTACCCCATGCTAAACCAATTTCTAAGCTTAACTCTAAAAGCCAGTCTTCAAAATAACGTTGAAATATGATGAACATTGTTAAAATGATAACTCCTTCAACCATTAGACCTTTTTCACAGCAGCCATTTTGACATAAAATAGTAGGTATATACACAGGTGTTACCAATGACACTAACTTCAGTGTGTTGTAGCAGAGCCTTTCCAGTGACCCAACAGGCACAAAGACAGCACACTGACAATGACTGACCTGAACAGAGCAGAACCTTAATTTGTATCATTGGTAACACCAGTGTTTACCCTACTGTTTTATGTCAAAATGGCTGCTGTGAAAAAGGCAGACTGGAGCAGTGTTCTGAAGTGACCCAGAGAGGACTGAACTGAGGAAAATGAATGTAGTAGTTTGCAGATTCAGTTTAATAACACAAATTATAATGAACACATAAACGTATCATTGTAGATTCAGATGAGACTTTACAAGTTACCCAACAATATCTTATATTTAATTAAGGCTACATTAACACTACAAGCTTTAAGACTCTTTGTTAAATGTGGCCCCTATTAGATTCCAGTGTGAAGAGGGCACAGTCCTTAAGTGACCTGCATGACGAACACAGATCTAGAGTGACTTAAAAGTCACATGAATTCTGATATTTGGAGTACATATGAAAGCGGCCCGGATCAGAATTTAAAAGATCAGACTGCATGTGATGGGAACTCCGCCTTGCTCTCCCAGAAAACGTAAGACTACCCTCTAACTTCACCGACCGCCACCCCAAGAATTCTTGTACAGTTCCTAAAAAAAGCCTTTGTTCAAGTTACTCAACTGTTTCAGTCACAGACACGGTTGCAGAAAGGACAGAAGGACGGACAGAGGGAGAGAGAACAGCTATTTATCTGTTTGTCCTCCTCCCAGAATATCCCAGCAGATACACTGAGGCCCTGATACAACATGACACTTCCTGTTTACACTCACTGGCCAGCCTGTCACTGTGATATGTGACAGTAAGTCACCTTGGTATTGATGGTGCAGGGCACGACTGTGAGTGTGTGTGTACAGTAGTGTGTTTATAATGCCATCACCTATGAATTGTAAGCATCTACTGAGCAAATAGCATTATCATTAAAAATATTCTGCAATTTCTAGAGGAAAATCTCCATTAATATTTAAATGTCTTCATTTATTAATTTAATGATGAAACTGCATGAGTCCTGTATTTTACTCCTCCTTCCTTCCTTCCTTCGAGTTTTGGTTTATTCACTGATTCAATGGATACGGACGACTTTGAAGCTCTAAATCCCAAAATAGAATTTTGAGCTTAATATTTATAAAATGCATTTCCACCACAATAAATCCCTTGTGCGGCTACGAAACAACTCACACTGCCAGAGGAAACATATCTCTTCTAAATTGAATGCAGAGTTTCAAATAAAAAAGAGAGAACGTGTTTGGTTGGACCTGCAGGGTGGGGTTTGGCTGCTGTTCCCCAGAGAGATGAAGGGGAAAGAACAAAAAGAAAATCAATCCATGCGAAGCTTGTGCAATCAATAAATTATTTACAATGCCATGTGGTGCAGCTCCAAAATGAAGAGAAGCTGAAAATTGATATACGGTCACTAAACTGACTCCTAAGTAAGATGATATCACCCCTTTTGTTTCTCATGACTATTCAACAGAACTGCTTACAGTCAGGGGAAAAGGAACAAAAGATGTGTCAGCAGGGATCAACCATCGTAAACTCATTCCACCCTTATGTAAACGCGACCATAAATGTAAAGATAGCGATTTGTCATAAACTGTCAGATAACAAAGTTTAGGCTGATGGCCACAAGCAAACAGGACTGTTAATGGCTCCCTGTAATCTTATCCAAAGATAGTGAACCATTTATAGCCCAGTCTGGGCTGCGTGGAGACGGAGCTGCTACCAGTTTGAGTCTGGAACTCGTCATCTGATGAATTATTGGACATTTGTGAGAGAAACTGTCACATTCACTTCCAAGATAGTCAGAAAAGATGGAAAAAAAAACTGAGGCAGCACAGACCAGATGATTACAGACGGAGGGTTAGATTAGATCAGGATATTAGCTGTTTTTCTCCCTGGTGAGACATCGCTGTAATATTCAGGCTCCCTACTGTATGTCTGTGGCACTCAGCAGTGAGTTTATAACTGACATTTTGTTGTATTACTATAATCCTGTTCCTGTTGGAAAGTTAAAGTCTGAGCTTTGAGCTTCACTGTGCAGAATGATGTCTGTCCAGAATTTGACACTAGAAGAATGTTTTCATATTCATCTGCTGAAAGTGGAAAGTTTCTCTGTGCTCACTGAAAATCTGATTTTTAAGGGGCGGGGCCTACGAACATGACAACTTATAGTGTGATGTAAACCCTCCAGTGCACATACAATGAATGGACTTTACAGTGAAGTAGGAGACAGAGAAAGGAAAACTTTAGAAATGGACTAAATTTTGGTCAGAGAAGTCTTTTTTAAGGATTTTAAAGTGCTTATTTTGTGAAAAAATACACACATTATTGTTCCAAGCTGACTGTTTGCATATAATACTGGTCCGGCATGCATCAGTAGGTGTGTTATCACCATATTAATGTTCTCCATATTAACAAGCCCCACCTGTAATAAAAAATACTCCTTTAAAAAGAAGAAGAGGTGATTTATAAGAGTCAGGAATTAAGGCAAGCAGCTATATGTTGTACAATATCCCTCTATGCTTCTTAAACAGCTGTTAGATGTGATATTACATTTAGAAAATAATAATATAATAATGTCACAAAATGAAATCCCTTTTTGTCTACGGGTGCACGTCATCTCATTCCCTCTATGAACTCTGCATCTGCGGCTTATAATGAATCTAGTCCGGTTTAAACAGACGTAATACTAAAGGATGCATGAATGAATGAACGAATGAAAGAATAGCGTATTGTCTTTCCAAACTCTGCCACCCACCAGCTGAGAGCTTTCGCCTCTGATGTTGGGTGGTTACACAGAAAACATGCACTTACCGAAATACACCGTCTTGTCGCATTTTGGACATTTTGACGCCATGATCCGAGTGAACAAAGAGATGGGAGTCGCTTTCAGTCGGTGCAACGGCGCTCTGTCTGTCTGTGTGCAGCTCCAGCGGGCGCAGACACACCTCACTCAGAGGATGGTGATGGTGGTGGTGGTGGTGGTGATGAGAGGGACCGACGCTCACATCCTCCTCTTTGCTTCTTCGCCCTCATTTGCATAACTCCGCCCTCGCGATGACATCATGTCTCATCCTCACATACAGTCTGTAAAGTGGCATTTTGAGATACTTGTACTTTGCTCGAGTCATTTCATGCCACTTTTTACCTACTTCATTAGATCTTATTTTGCACAGGAAACATATGAAGAGTTTATAAAATATGATGTTTTGTTATAAATTAAATGAGGTAGTCTACAGCCAGGGGTGGAAAAGTATTCAGAAATATTAAAAGTAAAAGTGGCAATATTTCACTGTGAAAATACTCCACTACAAGTAAAAATCCTGCATCCAAATTATTACTTCAATAAAATTATGATAGCAAAATGAACCTAAAGTACCAGAAGTACTGATTTTGTTGTAAAATGGTCCCCGTCAGTGTTTTACTATTATATAAGATGTTTTTGGATTAATATCACTGCTGCATTAATGTGGATGTTACATTTTACTGCTGTAGATGTTTTAGGTTGAGCTCATTTTAACTACTTTATAAACTGTTGCTTAGTCAAATCTACAGCAATGCATCATATTCTATATTTACATGTGGAGATACATGCTTTTCACTGGACAAGAAGGGTATGAAAAACTGTAATCTGAAAAGTAACTAAAGCTGTCAGACAAATGTAGTGGAGTACAAAGTACAATATTTGCCTCTGAGATGTTGGGGAGTAGAAGTTTAAAGTTGCATACAATACTTAGTTACATTCCACCACTGCCTACAACTGAAACTATTGGTAGATTAATCAATTATCTGACTCTGAAATCTAATTCTGGTGGGTGGATTGGCATTAAATCCACAATTCAGACTTCCTTAAAACAAGATTTAATTAATCATCATAGAGACTTCCGGGAATACAGAAGATCCACATCAGTGTAGATGTCTCTACTCATTTACATTTGTGACCTTAATTTAGCGAGTGTAATCTCGTCTGCAGATACGAGTCGCTACAGGTGCCTCTATTTTGGAAATGTGATTAATCCTAGTAATGCTGACCCCCCTCTGCCTTCATGAGCGTCTCCCCTCAGCTCTGTTTGTTTCCTCTGTGCGGTTGTTAGGTTACGCTGCCTAACAGCAGAGCTCTTCACAGGGAATGTTAAGTGATGCTCTGCAGCTCCCAAGAGAGGCGCTCTGTACATTCTTGGCACCGAGATACTACAAGAGCTCATAGGTGGCCTCTGGTGTGGAATTAAGAATAAAAATGAATTCAAATTTGATTTTTTTTTTGTCTTTTTGAGACCAAAAACTTAACTTTGCAATGCCCTCTTGGTACCTCAAGTTGTTGGCTGAGCTGAGTTGCAATCTCTCTGTGTATAGTAAATGTATTAGTTAATGGTTACTGATTTATATTATTGGTCACACATTTATTTAGTGAAATGCCCAACATAGAAATAATAAAAGTTTAAATACCAGTTGCCTGGCAACCAGTTAAGCTTCCAAAGGTTACCAAGAAACAGTCTGACACATAACCCTGTGTAAAAGCTCTGTCATTTTCCCACTTATATTCCACTTTATTTCAAACTATTAAACAATAAGATATGTGGTAATGAGTGAATTGCAACCAACTGAACACAGCTCACCTTCTATCATGTAGGAGGAACTATGGCGGCTGCTAAACTCGTGAAAAAAGCAAAAGGCCGTATCTATAACCAGCGTTTGGTTTGTCCATTCTGAGTTGCTATAAACATGCGAGACTCCGTAGAAGAGGACCTTCTCCCTCTGTACATAAAAACAGCTCATTCTATTTAAAACAATTTTCAGGTGATAATACATTAATGAAAACATGAATATTATAGTTAGTTTCTGCCAATAGATCCTGAATGTCACACACTGGACATCCAATGTAATTTTAAAAATCTTCCCAAGTTGTACAAATCATCATGTCTCACCTGTCTCAATTCGCCCGACCTTTGACTGTGTCCATTACACACACTTCTGAATGAACTAGTACATAATGTGCTCATCTTTTGGCCCTTGTTGAATGAAAGAAAGTGGGTGAAATAGTTGTTGGGCTTCTGTTTGAGTACCTAACTCTTTTCATGTCTAAACATTTACTTCCTCAGGTCAAAGGAATCAGACGTGGTTGTTCCTGCAAGAATTTTGCTAGTCACTTCAGGTAAAGTATTCAGCACTGTCACTTTACAGCAAAAAGTTTTATATTTTGGATTGTTTTATTTGCATTTTCCCTCCATGTTCACCTTGGTTTCCTTTCACCGTCCCACAGACACTAAGATGGACTTGAGACTGGAGAAACTCTGATATGTGTCTGAAGGAGATGTTGAGCAGTGGATTTGTGCCGGCAAAACTTTCCTCTCTATTAAGTCTCCTAGGACAACAAGTGCATGCTGTATCTTTAAATGAGATAAACACACATAAACAGATTCAGCAAAGATGGAAACAGTGTCATTTTTTTCCACAGTTAGTGCACTTGGTCTTAAGCCATCTAGGGGCCTGGGAATGCACTAATCTTAAAATAAACACATCCAGAATGTGCCTCTATTTAATTCTGGCACAGACATCAGCAATGACTGGATGTCTAGGGTGCAGGGAGGGTCTACTCCTGAACAGCTTCTGTCTCATATCTGTCTAAAAGGCTTTTTTCACCCTTCACATTTCTGTCAGCATGCTGTTCATCTGATTCCAGAAATAATTTTGTGTTCAATAATGCCTCTCACTCTTCCCTCAAAAGACAATTCTGGGGTTGCTCCATATATTATCAACAAATTGTTTGCATATCCAAAGCTTTTATGTGGGTGAGCAAAGAGGAAAAATCAGCAAGAGGAAGGCTACAGTCTTTATTTTTTCCAGAACATTTACTCCAAAATTATTTATCATCAGTGGCTTCACAGTTACAATATTAGTTAAGCATGTCACCATGCTAACATTAGCTGATTAGCAGAAAGCATAGCTGAGGTTGGTAGTTTTTATTTGATCATTACCTAAACTATTATACAAATTGAAATTCTGATGAGATGAATTAAAACCTCAGTAATATAAATATAACATTAAAGGGTCAGTCGAACCACAAAAACCATCCAACCAATATGTAAGTGTAAGTAAGTCTGACAGACTAATGTTTTTGCGAAACAAACAAACAAACAAAACTGTGGACACGGTTTATATCAGTATATACATATTCTAATTGGGCCGGGGCTGTGCAGGGCTCAGACACTCATCTATGTCATCAGGGGACGCTTAACTTCACATATCTTCAATAATGTCTATAGTTTTACACTTTTCTTGGTTTTAATAATAATTCTTAACAATGACTGAAAGACTAAAACAGCTAAAGTCGACTCTCTTTTGTGTCTTTATGAAAAAAAACACAGAAGAATAAAAACACTGTGAGTTTCATGGCTGAGGAATCAAATATCTATACAGTTATGACAGAGCTGAATCAGTTCCCCTCGTTCCAGATGTAAACAGCCATCATATAGCCAGTGTTTGATTTTGTTTTCTTTTGTATTTTTCATGAGCTTAAATCCTGCAGTGACTCTAGAAACCAGTCAGGACACTGTGAGATCACAGACTACACCCAGTGCAAGGTTACACTCTCTGTTTTTATATTTTGCAACTGCATTACACCAGAATAGGACCTGATCCCGGAGATGGTGTTTCCTACCAGCCATCAACAAACCAAACAGAGACCACAGTTACAGCTCATATCATTTCATTTCATTCATTTTACACTGATAACTGATACTGATACAGGATATAGTGCTGTAAAAAGCCTTTTTGTCCAGAAGGGGGTGTAGTAGTTTAACTAATAGCACAATGTGAAAAGCAGCAGTGGTGAAGAAGTATTTAGATCCTTTACTTCAGTACAAGTACTAATACCACATTGTGAAAATACTACAAGTAGTACAAATCCTAAATTCCTAACATTTGGTACGTTTTGCTTGATGAACTTGTGTATTGTGTTGGGCTGTGGTTAAAGACTTATTAGTGTTTACTGTTATATTTGCATCACCAGTAAATTTAACATCTATATCTCTGTTTAAGACCTTTAGATGAAAGTAATTAAAGCAAACCAAGAGGAAGTGGGACAACGCTCATATTGACTGAGTCACTTTTGAGAGTTGAATTAAACAGCTGAATGAGAAAACATTAACTTTCTATGAGAGAAAACTACAATGTCAAAAATCTTTAAATGAGTTTTTGGCTGTTTGGGGATCTACAAGAAATTCAGAAAGACAAAAATATCAAACAGACTAAAGTCACTAGGAAGAAGTGACATCATACTAACCACAGGAAGTATCTCTCTACTGAAGCACTACTTTATAAACTCACACAATTATGAGCATGAGAACAAGAGATAGAAGAAGGTTGAATAATTCAATGATTGCTGATGGTTCAACTGGATTTATATTTTGTCATATTCATATTTTCTTGTAGAGGCCCTAAAGTTTACAGTTAAGAATACCTATAGGTATATATACTACTATGATCCAAACCAGCTTTAACTTGCAACCAAAGTCATTATATGTTTTGTCAGACCACAGTCAACACTTATGCAAACTATCCAGGCTCAGATAGAATCTGAACATGCATGCACTTGACATGTTTTGAGGATGTGCTTGTGTGTTTGCGTATTATATGTGTATATTCGAATTTGAGTGTATTTATGTATACATGTGTAGATAAGTTATAGATAAATACACCAAACTTAATCAATAATTCTTAATCAAGTATAGGAAAGCTTATTGGGCCCCACAGATTCCACATGTTGAGAGTTAACAACAAGTCACTGCGAACTGGGGGATAAGCTCTCTGATTGAACAACCAGAAACATGCAATTAATACACCTCCCTAGTTACTGCAGTATAGTAGCAGCTAGTAAGTAAGTGGCTTGCATAAATTCACACTGTAATTTATCTAATGTGATGCTAAGTGTTTGAAGGATCTGATGTCTTGAAGTATTTTCAGGTAGAGTTTTGACATCAGACAAACTCTGGTAAAATCCTCTTTTTTTAATTCTATGGCTGAAAAGAAATGATAGTTTTGCAAAGGCCAACAACATGAACAGACCTCCAACTACATGTGTTCAAAGGTAGTACTGTGTGGGACTTGAGGCTCTATCTCCAGGTTATTAGAAACAGAATAATCAATCAGACACTATTAGTGTGTGCACCATTTGGGTTTCTGATGTTTATCTGGTTATCTGGGTAAAATCTCCAGAGCTCTGTTGTTCCTGTTAACCACATACCTTACACTAACTGCAGAGGTACAATGAGGAACCAACACCACCACTAAAATAAATGTCATCTTATGTGTGTTATTGCCGCTACAGTATCACCCTATTGCAGGGTTAACGGGCAAATTCTGATGGATGAGGTCCATGAATCCTGTCTGTTTTCTAATGAATACTAGCTAAAGAAAACATACAAGTTAAAAGGGTCACTCTATCTACAAGAAATTCAGAGATTGCTAAAGAACTGTTCCTAGGCCAAGGACGCAGGTTTGGCAAAAACTCCTGAGGAATTTCCTGTTATGTTCCAAAGAGAAGAAAAAGGTCCTAGATATGGTCAAGGGATGTTAATCTGGAGAGACTGATTACTATGTCTGTGCTAATGTGGTCCGATTGTATAAAAGGTGCTGTCTCTTTTTATGTACTGTTGTTTTCTGCAGAATTTACTTTTTAATTTACTTTTTTTTATTAAATGCAATAATAAAACAATAAAAGTCTTATTTTCTGAAAATCTTCTGCCTGCTGCTGATTTCTTCTGCCACCACAGGAATAAAAGTGAATATCACACATTATTATGTCATAGACTGAATCAGTATGAAGGATTTACTCCTTAATTATCACAGATGCTGTTTTCATTTTTAAGGAGCAGCACATCAGAGACATTGACAGTTGAGTGAGAACAAGAGAGAAGCATGAGGGATGAATTCAGATAAATCATGAATCCAGGTAAGGATACAATAAAACAATAAAATTAAATTAATAAAATTACAAAACCGCATTCATATTTCTAATGGTACTATAACTATATATATACTACATACATATATATATATATATATATATATATATATATATATAGTATTCCTCTTTTAACTGAAAGGGAAAAGTTTTGTTTGTAACAAGGTGAGTAGCAAAACTCACTACTGTCCTCCCACTATAGCTATCATCACAACAACAGCATACCTTTGCAAACTAGAAAGTAAGCTGATTGTCTACTTCTACGTTATTGATATACATATACCTGCACTGCCTGCTGTAACTGCTGTAACTGCTGCACATGTTAATAGTGTTTATGCTGTATATATCATATATATAGTGGGGGACTGCTTATTCTATATACTCTATGATGCTATACATTGCTCTGCACTCTCTTACACTGCAGAAACACTAAAGTTCAATCTAATCTAATATTGGCTATAAACTGGCTTCACAATGTAAAATGTTGTTGTGCATTCAAGATTTACAGGTTCTTCTTTTAGCAATTGCTCCCTGCACAGAAAAATTGATTCTGACTGACTGTAATTTAAATTTAACAGGTGAACCCAAATGCAAAACACAGACAGAGGGATGGAGGATGAGAAGAAGAGAAAGGACTCCGGCTGGCAATGGTTGAGGGTTGGGGGAAAATGGAGGATGGCTGAGGTGTGAGTGAAGGCAGAGTGGCAGGCTGGCGAAGCAAGAGCTTGATGAGCTAAGCTTGTGAGCATGGCTGGCAATGAGAGAGGAGTGCCATGCCCATATTGCACACATGAGAACGAGGGAAAGCAAAAAAAACCCCAAAAAACTAGAAATTCAAACACAAGGAAAGCCTGGAGTCATGGCACTGACCATAATAACTGGACTTTAGTCACAACCACAAACCTGCCTCTGCCCAGCTGTCCACCTTTTGTTGTCTCACTTCTAGTAGTAAACCTTCCCTCTGTTGGGTTGGACATCTATGTTTGCGCTGGGGTCCAATATTTTTCTAAATAATAAAGGAATGCATCCAAATTTACAAGAAAATCATATTAGTACAATAGCTCTGACTCTGGTGACCTCTTACTGTAGTTGTAATATGACTCCAAATATCATTAAAGGACCAAAGATGGATCTCTGGAGACCCCAAGGCGGACTTGAGTCCCTGTTCTTTTGCCCTCAGACTTCACAAGTCCCCTCTTGGCTAATGTTAATTGTATGAGGGTATTATTATGATTTTTCAACAATAAGGGAAATGCACACTATGAAAATAAATAAGACACATTCTCAATACTCTGCTATTCATTGCTCTTTTTGTTTGTCATTAAATTAGCTTTGCATTTCTGCAGGTTTGGGATATTTGTGGTCTAAAGTGAACTTGCCAGAACTGGGTGGAGTGACTGAGCTGGGTGTGTTTGTAAAGACGTTTGATAAGATGTTCCTTCATTGATCCCCCATGAGAGACCATCAAGTTGACACAGCAGCACAGGGGAAATGTGTAAAAAAAAAATATTATAAAGATATAACAGAAAATAAGACTATAATTAAACTATATAGACTGCATATATATATATAATATTTTCATTATAGTCTTATTTTCTAGGCAGTAAGAAATATGCAGTGCAAAAATATTTTAAACAGTGTACATCTAACTAATATCAGTGGCACTTTGGCACTTTGTCACCGTTGCCAAAAGAAGGTCTGAGGAAAGCGATAAACGCTGGCATAATTTGACGGTTGCGCCCATGCAAGCACACACCTCTCCAAATTCACGCGAACGCCTTCTTGAATGTTCTGCTGGCTTGTTTCACACAGATTACTGTATTCTCCACATTAGAAAACACACAGACAGCAGTGAATATGAGGAAGTGACTCCTTAATTATCACAGGAAGCAGACGCTGTATTATTTTTCAAGAAGCAGCTCATGAGATACTTTGACAGATGATAGTGAGACCGACAGAAAAGAATAATGGTTGAATACAGATGGATTACTTTTTCTTTATTTCTGATGCTTGTGTTTAATTTTCCAGGTAAGGATACAATAAAGAATGATTACTAAACTGCATTCATATTTCTAATGGTACTTTATTCTTTTAAGTGAGACATTTCTCTCTCTTTTTCTCAACAGCAGCAACTTGGACACATTCCTCCTTCAATGCCAGAGTTGGAGATGAAGTCACTTTGTCTTGTGAAAATATGATAGTTGATCAGGATAAGTGTGACAGTATTAACTGGGTCTTTGGTGATACAAGAAAAATAGTAACGCTGTTTGCACGTGGGCAGATTCACAGAGCCAACACTAAATCAGACAGACTGAGTGTTACACAGAACTGTTCTCTGGTTGTGAAAAATGTCACAGCTGAGGATGTTGGTTACTACACCTGCAGAAGGTTCATATCAGGAAACCGTCGAGATGCTCATGTGTATCTCTCTGTTATTACCAGTGAGTATTTACCCCATAATGTCATCAGTTCAAACGTGTTAGAACAAAATACTGAAACATTACAATGATTGTGATTGTAGTGATGAGTTCATTTTACTTTTGTTGTATTTCACTCATAGTATTTCCATTTTCACCAGTAACTAAACGCTGATTAGATGACGTCCAGCTCTTTGTCGACTCGCATACTATTTGTTTAGATTTTAGGTTTTAATATTCTTTGTTGTTTGTTTTATGCAGGTAAAGGTTTAAGTTTTTTCCAGCTGTACTGTTTGATGCATTTTGTTCTTGTTTGTTAAGGTAAGGCTGCAACAACGACAACTACAATATCACCAACAACCATTAAATCAACACCGACAACAGGAAACATATGGACAACAATGCAAATCAGCACATCAGAAGGGACAAAAGATACAGCATCTACAAACAAACATAATGGAACAAAACAAGGTAGTGACTGAACACAACAGGACTACACTTAATTTATTAGAGTCAGTAAAAGAACACACTTACGAACAGCTCTTTTTTTTATTGATTTTCCACATTTCACTGGAATTTTGAAGAATACGTTCTCCTGTTTAAGTCAGAATTATGAGCAGTTTTCTGTTTCATCCATCATCAGTTTAAAATACTATTCCTTTACTCACATTTTTTTTTATTGTTTCTTCATTGAAAACATTTATATGTAGTTTTGACTACTGCACTTTAATTAATAATTAAGTTAATTATATTTAATGTAGAGACAATTGTTTAAGGAAAATACAGGCAACCAACAGAATGATTGGAACAAGGTTTACTATGCTACAAAGCTTGTATCAAATAGGCTATGTGGAAAATTGTGTACAAAACAATATTATTATTAGATGGTTAAATTTCTTTCTTGTTCTGTTTGTTGCATTTCTTTATTGTTAAGGTGATGCTGCAACAATGGCAACTACAGTATCACCAACAACAATGAAATCAACATCGACAACAGGACACATATGGACAACAGTGAAAATGAGCACATCAGAAGGGACAAAAGATACAGCATCTACAAACAACAATAATGAAACAGAACAAGGTAGTGACTGAACACAACAGAACAGAAAAAGACACGTTTAATTCAGATATTAGAGATATAGAGACAGTACAAGAACACACTCACAAACAGCTCATCATCCAAACTCTTCCAACTATATGTAACACTTCTAAATTTTCTTTACAGTGTGGTGGCGGTTCGTCATTGTGTTTGTGGCACTCTCAGCACTCTTAATAATCCTTCTGGTTGTCACCAGATGGAATAGAAATAAAGGTGAGAGCAACCACTGATTAAATTTTTTAAAAACAAGAAGTTATGATAAACCTGGGTTTTCACTGTGGGAACTGAAATCTTATTTTGTGTTTTCAGGAGAAAAAAAACAGATGGATGAAAACATGGTGAGTTTCAAAGCTGAATAATAAAATGTGCGTTCAGGTTTTTCCGACTGTATTATATCATACTTTCAACACAATGACACAAGAGGGGTGATGGATGGACGGAAATGTCCTGTGGGCCAGCAGTTTGTTTTAACCCAAACATGATCTTCTCCTAAACCAAGTAGTTTTTGTTTCTCAGCTTAACCGAACTGTTTCACGTGTTTAACATAACGTACATAAGGACCGGTACTTCTACTGCTGGTTCTCTCCATTGGTCACGTATGTCGTATCGTCATTGGCAATATGACCTATTGTGTCCTTTAGGCATGAAGACGTGTTGTCTAATAACTATCACTCTGGTTCCCTCGAGCAAGGAGCTAAAGTCCAGCTGTTTCTTCAGAGCTACTCTGTGTTTCAGTAGTTATTTGCTCCATTTTCACCCAGAATCTTAAATGTGTTGTGTTTTTTTTTCACAGGAGCACAATGACAAAGATGAAGATGATGGTATTGTGAACTATGTAAACGTTGGAGACCCTTCTGTCTCTGTCAGACTCTGATGATCATCAACATCAACTTACCAGAGAAATTAGTCCACTGCTGTTAAATATAAAGTAGATAACCACAGACTCTTAACATCAGTTTAAGATTTTGGATGACTGAATGTTATTTTTATTTATCAATATGTTTTCTGTACCAAGCCATGTGTACTTTACTTTGAGCTGGACAAAGATGCCCGAGTCTTGATATTAGGTAGCCCACTGTGAGTTTTTAAAATACCCTTTATTGCCTCAGTTGTAAAATGTTTTTTTTTAAATCTTAAGTCAGTCTAGAGCTGGATCTTAACTTAATATAACAGGAAAGATAATTTATTATTATTTTATATTCATTTATTTCTCATTTAATATCTTCAACATATATACTCACGTAACCATACCAGCCAGTTCTCATTCCCAACTTGTCAAATGTGGCAGCTTGGTCGTCCCACACTTCGAGGTATGACACTTTAGGTGTCCCTTTAGTGTAATTTCTGGATGCACCTGTCTAGTGTAATATCCTGATGTGCCATTGAAGTCAGGTGACGTACTATCAAGAGCAGCAAAGTCTGCATTTAGAAGTGGTTGGGGTGGATTGATCGGTCAAACAAACACAGAACTTTCAACATGCTTATTTTAACCCAAACATGATCTTTTCCTAAATGTAACTAAGTAGTTTTGTGCCTAAACCAAACAAATATGGTTTGCCAAACCAAACTGCGCCTGTTTACACTTATAAAATTTAGGGTTTTCTCAGTATACTGTATTTTAAAAAGTGTAACTGGATCGGTTGCATATTTATTATTGCTAACTTGACGGCACAGAGCCCTTCGTATGCAGAAAAGATGCTAGGAGGCTACCTATAGTGTCATAGTTTAAAGCATAGGGCAACTGAGAAAGCTGCTGTGTGACGAATTGGGAGTGAAAATGTGTTGTCTATGCACATGTTTAAGATAAGATAAGATATTTAGGAGATACTTAGGGGAAATTATGCTGTTGTTGTATATACAATACCTGATATATAGTTTGTACACCGTTTTTCTTTATATTCTTTATATAATGTCCTACTAGTATGTACTTGTCCTTATACTTGCACTGCCTACAGCAACTGCAGTGCATGCATGTTCTTATCTACCTGTATTGTTTATTCTATATGTTATATACTGTATGTTAAGTGAAAGCAGCTGCAAAAACTTGTCTGGCCACCCCAGCTGTAACCCCAGTTTAGTATTAAATTTAACAGATGCCACCTTCAGATATTTTTATTCAATTCTTTACTCATTTGCCACAACAATGTAATGTTTGCGAGTTGAATTATATTCATTTGGGGGGTTTTCAAGCAAATATTGACTCATGAGATTGTTTGCAATACAATCAGTATATACTTCTGTCACTCTTAAAGTCTCAATGCCACAATCTTGCCACCCCATGAATATTTCTATGGATCCAAAATGACCAGAAAATGCACAAAGGTGCAATAGCTTGGGCTACTTTCAGAAGTGTTCATGGTGGATCCACATGACTTCTTGCTGTAGGTGTGACTCAGCTCTGCAGTGTGCATAGCATGAAAAACCCTGAAGTGGTGACGTCAAACAAACTCGGGTAAGTTCCTCTTTTTTTAGTTCTATGGCCTAGAACAAATGTATAACTTTGCAAAAAGCCAAAAGTCAAAACAACACAAACAGCCGCTACTGCTATATGTTAAAAAGTAGGTTTGTGGAGACTCGCTGCTCTATCTAAAGACAGTTCAGTTAGATGCTCATAAATGTGTTCATCATGTGTGTTTATGTGGCCATCATTAGAGTGTAAAACCACCAGAGCACTGCCGCACTTGTTAACCACATTCTCATCAAAACACTTCTCCTTCAGGCCTCAGACAAAGATGGAATGAGGAACCAACAGGTCTCAGATCCCTAAAACATCATCTTATCTGTGTTCTTGATCTTGTTCAGCTGCTACTGTATTACCATATTGCACCATGGACATCAAGAGTCAAACTCTGGTGGAAGAGGAGTTTGACTCGTTTGAACCAGATGCATCATTGCAAACATTTACCTTAACTAACAATCTTTATAGATGCATGCAACATAAAGTTAAAATGTCTCAAAGTTTCTTACTATTTTATTATGCACAAGAAATTCAGATACATTAAAAGATAATATCACAACAGGAAACCGAGACAACACAAACCAAAGTGAGTATGGGGAGGGGACTCGTCACTTATCACAGGATGTAGACGCTGCATTAATTTTAAAGAAGCAGCTCATGAGAGACTTTGACAGTTGAGAGTGGGACCGAGAGAGAACGATGGTTGAATTCAGATGGATTACATTTTCTTTATTTCTGATGTTGGTGTTTAGTTTTTCAGGTAAGGGTATAACTTTTGTTTGTAACATAGTGAAAAAAAACAAAAATGTGATTTCTTAAATGATCTTTACACTCACACTAAACATATTCATGTTTCAGTTTATTTTTCACGTCTCTCACTTTTTCATCAACAGCAGCAACTGGGAATTCCTCCTTCGCTGTCAAAGTTGGAGATGATTTCACTTTGCCTTGTGAAAATTTGATACATGATCAGAATAAGTGTAACACTACTTCCTGGGTCTTTACTGATTCAAAAACCAAAGTAACGCTGATTGACTATGGGCGGATTCACAAAGAAGCCGAAGTTAAATCAGACAGACTGAGTGTTACAGCGGACTGTTCTCTGGTTATAAAGAAGGTCGCAGTTAAGGATGTTGGTCAGTACATCTGCAAACATTTTAAATCAGGACAACAACAATTATCTCCGGTTTATCTATCTGTTATCGTCAGTGAGTATTTACATCCTAATTTCTTCAGTTCAAAATGTCTTGTTAGAACAAAATACTGAAACATTACATGAAGTTAATTTTATTTTTGTTGTCGTTCTCATCTAAAATCTCCATCTTCACCAGTGACAAAAAAAACAAACAATGATAAGACGACGTTGTCCTGCTCTGTGTCATCTGGTAGATGGTGTGCACACAGAGTGAAGTGGTTGTATGAGGGTAAACATGTGGATGGAAACAACAAAGACGTGAAGACATCTGGGTCTGAGTGCTCAGTTACTGTGACATTTCTTGCCTCTTATCTCAAGCAGAATTCAAAGTATCATGAATTTTTCAAGTGTGAAGTGAATGTAACTAACAGTAACAAATCGCAACTGTTTATCTTCAGTCGTCAGTCCTCAGGTGAGAATATGATGAGCTGTTTAAAATCACTTCAAACTGATAAATAATTACACAAACTGTTGGTTTTTTATTTGATTTGAGGTTTTCATATCACATTACTCTGTGCCATTTGTATTGTGCAGATGCTTATGTCCGTAAGATGCTCATGTTCATTGCTTTTATTTATTTCATTTGTTAAGGTAATGCTGCAACAGCATCTACAACATCAACAACAACAATCAAATCAATATCGACAACAGGAAATAAATGGACATCAGTGAAAACGAGCACACCCGAGGGGACAAACAAAACAGCATCTAACAATAATGAAACAAAACAAGGTAGTGGCTGAACACAAGCTACATTTTGTAAGAAAAGACATGCAGGGAAGAATATTTGATGGATGTAGACCAACACTATTTCAACAGTATATGTAACACTTCTTTTAACATCTCTTTCAAGTTTGGTGGCCGTTCATCGTTGCTTTGTCAGCACTTTTAATAATCATTCTGGCTGTCATCACATGGAAGAGAACTAAAGGTGAGAGCAACCACAGATGAAACTTTAATGAACAAGAAGTTTTCACCAGATTTTCACTGTGGAAACTGAACTCCTCTCTTTTGTCTTTTCAGGGAACAAAAGACAGATGGATGAAAACATGGTGAGTTTTAAAACTGAACAATCAAATGTGCGTTCAGGTTCTTCGGACAAAAACAAAGAGAGTTTAAAAACTGAAATATCAAAAGTTACAATACGATATTATAAAGTGAAGCAGGGTTTGTGGTTGTAGTTATTCACTATTAACTGTGTAGGTCTACACCGGAAATATTAGGAAAACAATAAACATTGCTGATTTTATTGCAAGTAAGCATTTGTGCAACTGTCAAATTATGCTTTGTGTGAATAAGAAAAGAAAAATGGGAAAAACACAATACAACAGCAGCACAAACAACCGCCTCCAATGACTACTGGGTTCAACCAACTGCTCCCTGACTCAGTGTATTTAAGTCTTATATTGGCAGTATTTGCTGTGGGACTATTGCATTGTGTGTTGAACATGTTTGGCCATTCATCCATCACATTATCATTACTTAAAACCAACACCTGCGTACCTTTTATTACATTGCAAAGCCAGACTCACAGACACGGTGAAATCAAACACTACACCCATGCATATCATGCATGACAGATGTAGCATGAATTGTGCCTGGTGGGGGGCAGAGTCACTCTTTAGTGTCCTGCATGAGAGGAGAAGAAGGCACTACGATGCAACTAGAACTTCATGCAATTAAAGAGGTGTGAGTGAGTCAGTATGTTACCGTCCACATGTTACTGAGCAGCCATGATGTTGTCTTCTCTGTGTAGGCTGATCCTGAAGATGGTGTTTCCTACGCCTCCATCAGCTTCACAAGGACCAAAAGTAAAGCCCGGGTAAGCTGCCTAATGGATAATAGAAATTGTGTTAATGAATGAAGAATTTATTTGATCATTTAAGTTGATATATAATATTAATATGATGTCAATCAGGCTGTTTTTTTGGTGACCCCCTCACCTTTCCTATACAGTCTCCACCATCAATTACATAATCAAATCATTAGATAGAAGCTGCGGCAAAGTGAACATTTCAGCTGTTACTTAGCAGCACAACTGGGACTTATAGAACTCCTGTCAGGTTATGAATTTGTTTAATATACGTATATGTAATTTATGAGTGGTGCTCTTCCCCTCTAGATCCGTGGTGGTGATGATGATGAAGCTGATACGGTGACCTACAGCACTTTGAAAGCTCCCTGATCTTCTGCTGGAGCATCCACTGATCCCAGCAACCTCTACTCTACTGTCAACAACCCAAACGAATAAGATGTTACTCATTAAATACAGCATGTTGATTTAGAACAATCGAACAAGATCTGAGGAATATTATTTTGATTCAGCCTCATGGATATCTTTAGAACTTTAGAGGAGCTGATACAAAGAAACCAGATGAGGATCACCTTTCACACAGCATCCGCTCTATGACACATGTAGCCAATGAGGGAGTTGAGACTCACTGTAGAGGTGGAAGAGTGAAAATGGAGGGAGATATGTTGGATATATATTGTATTCTTAATACTGTGCAAAAAAGTGTTTGTAAAAATGAATTTTTGTTTGTTTTTGTTTTGTTTAAGGTTGTTACCCTCTTCATCTAACATTTAAGTGAATATTCCTTTATGTACAGTATTTTGATTTTGACATATATTTGATGGCCCATGTTCACCATTTTGTATACTTGACTGAATAAATTATTAGTCTGACAAGACTGCAAATTTCTTCCTCAGGAATTTCCCCTCAAATACCTATTTGTCTTTTGACTTCTGGCTGCTTTGTCTCTTTTCAGATGTTGAAGTTTTAATCGTGAGAAGAACAAACCACAAAACCTCTTCTGCCCCTCCCACATTCACAGCAATAGCAATGACTTTAATCTTTCTCTGTAACTCACACACTACCACCAACACCCCGCTAACCACTGACACACCAGCATGTCTTATCGCATGCAAGTTGGTCGGTCTTGTTTTGATATTACCATGGTACATTAAAATATAAGGGAAACTGTTGTTCACTTTCAATATGTCAAAAAAAAAAAAAATTCAACAAATTCTTGACAAAATAAGAAAAAGTGTCACGTTTTACGATCTGTATCTATGTATTTCTGCATGTTTTTCTTCACCACAGAAACACAGGAAGTGCCACGTGAGTCATCACTCTATCTGAGAAGCTATTAGTTCATTAGACACTGACAGGATGTCATTTTTTTAATACTTCTTTCTCTCTTAAACATACACAGACAATCAAACCTCTCAAAAAGCTTGCCTCTGCTCAGCTGGCCACTTTTTGTTCTCTCACCTCTAGTGGTAAACCTTCCCCTGGGTTGAACACATCTGTTTAAATGACATATAAACACATCTAGTTGATTTTTACTACGCAGGAAACTATTTGTAAAACTACAAAAAACTAGAAACTTGCGACACAAAGATACAAGACAAGCATACTTTACTGTTACAGACTGACAATCAGACACCAAATAGCTGGAGGACCAGAGTAGAAATACTGTTGGGTTGATTGGAGGCAGGTGAGCAGGCTGGGACAGTTGATGAGTTGATTTCACATAGGTGTGTGCAGCAGAGCTAGAAGGAAAACTGCACCCACAACACCCAGACAGGACACAAGGGGAGGGGGAAACACGAGAAAAACACAAGGAAAAGGCATGGATGCCAAATGATGGCCATGACATATTATATATATTACTTTTCTTAGCAACGCTCCAAAGTGCTTTACAACAACGAAAACATGTATGGTAGATAAAATGAGGCCAAAAGACATGCAACAGGATGGAAAAACAATAAAACCTCTACACTAAATGGGAAAAAAAACATTTAAAAGAGATCATACTTTCTAGGAAAATAATTTAAGACATAACTCTTAAGACAAAATAAAGGAGAAGTAGCCTCAGTCTTGTTTCTGCAGAAAAACAAAAAACGGAAATTACAGGTCTAAACTCAAAATGTTTCAAAAGAATGAGGAACTGACAGCTCACTAACCACTAACGCACCACCACCTCATCATGATAGACACTTTTTAATCAAACCTTCGCAGTGTCTGAATGTGTAGCTCTGTGGGTTATGTAACGTTGAGCGCATTATCTACATACTCTGCTCCAACATGGACAGTTTGTTTTCTGACTAAGCGGCCATCCTACTCGAGTCATTTCTTAATTTCCTGTTTCCTAAATACATTTTTTTGGTTGCATAACACATTGTTGACAATTAATACAACAATGACACCCGAGCAGGAAAGACTGATGGGCATTGCAGTCCTGTATCTGTACTGATCCCCACTCTACTTATAGAGCGTAGCAGTAAAAAACATCATGCTTCCGTTTAGCATGAATGGCTGTCTATGGTTTATTTGTCACTCACTTTGCATCAGAGGAATAGATACTTAAGACAGATACAATGACACAATAATCCTCAGATTATGCACGTGAGCCAACTGACCAGCTGTGATCCCAGGACACCCAGTTGAGCTGAACATTTCCAGAGAGTCCTACAAGGACCAGACCATTCACCAGTTTCGTCCACCTTAAACTTTATGAAAAGCTGTGCTCAGTGCGTTCAGGTGTTCAGATTATTTCTTATTTCCTTGTGTTACATGTTCATGCTCTCATTTATTTATTTTCTACAACCATTTCAGAACACAGCAACTGAATTTCAACTTCATTAAACAGAAAAGATAATTCAACTCTTGTTGACTTCCTTAAATTGTCTTCCAGCTAAAGAGTTTAGATTTACTGGGGCATTTTTGAAGCTACAGTAACTTGAGCTTTGAGTTTCAGGTCTCTGTGTGCAGAAGAACTCATTTTAATGTACCAACTGATACCAATTAATAAGCATTTGTTAATTATTTTACTTTAACATGTTGCAACATACTGTCTACATTCAGTGCAGCACTTCTCAAATAAAGTATTACATATTTAAAAAAGAACACTCATTTATTGGACTTTTATTGCACTCATATGAGACAACAGTCACAATCAGAGAGGTGTTGTTGTGCTTTGGGTCCAGTCTTGAAGAGCTGCTATGAATTCTAAAAAACACTAGATGTCACTGTGCTTTCTGCATTTGAAGCTCCAAACCTTTGAAGCTTCACTCTCCCATCACTAGAAGAAAGAATGGGTCTGATCAGGAAGACAACAGGTGTATTTGATGAAATCAAAGCCTCAGGTGAAATGAATTGTATCAAATAATTTAGCTTATTATAGAGAGCTATGTGTATTAGGATCTCGTCTGAAAACACATCAGTGGCTCCTTTAACTCCTTTCACCAAATGACAGCCTTCTCCTCGGCTGCTTTATTGTGATGAATTCTTAATACCTCAGTGTGTGACTTCCTTATACCTTCCTAAAAAGGAACTGTGACCGTCAAATCTTAAGAAGTTTCCTGGAAAGGATTATGTCATTTGTTAAGAATAAAACAGAGCCAATTTCCCTAGGTACACTTATCATTAATTTTCTTTAATTTGCTGCTTATAAGTGACTGTCTTCAATTGGTTGTTCTGTGAAACTAAACACATGAGGAACTTACAAGACCAGTTGAACAAGGTATCACTAGAATCCCCTTTCTCCTCAGCTTATCTCCACAGGATCGTTCACCGACCGCTGAGACATCTGATCACTGAGCTCTTTGCTGATGTTTTCTTCTAAATCTACTGATGATTATTATTGATTAATATTCAGTTATTAGTAATCTACTGTTTAATCTGGTGTAAATCAGTGTGGATGAAAGTGTTAACTAAAAGTTAAAGTCTTTGGATGCTGAAATTCATAGAGAGGAAAAAAAAAAGTAGGCTGAGCATTCGCCAACATAAATACACAACTTAAAAAAGCCATATAGACAATCCCAATAAGGAAGTGACACATAATTTATCACAGGAACAGAGTCATTCCTTTTAACATGCACCACTTCACAGACTCTGACAGTCAGTTCCTGAGAAAAGACATAAAGAAGACTGAAGCACGATGGTTGAATCAAGATGGATTAAAATGTCTTTATTTCTGATGCTGCTGCTTCACTTTACAGGTAAGGATGCATATAGCATAAACAGAAATACCAGAAACATTACAAAACAAAGTTCAGCTGGATCTAAGATTATATTCACAGTGAATCTCAACATAAAAGCCTATTTATTTAATTCTTTCTCATCTTTTTTCAACAGCAGTGACTGAACAACTCTACCCCCGTATTGTTGTCAGAGTTGGAGATGAAGTCACTTTGCCTTGTGACAATGTGAGAGATTATCAGGACAAATGTCAGCGTACTTCGTGGCTCTTTGTTGGTTCAGGAAACACAACGTCAAAACTTCTGATTGACCGTGGACAGATTGGTGAAAACAGCAACTCTAAATCAGACAGACTGAGTGTTACAGCGAACTATTCTCTGGTTATAAAGGTCACAGCCGAGGATGTTGGTCAATACACCTGCAGACAGTTCAATGATACAGGACATCAACAAGGTCCAGACTCTCACGTTGATCTGTCTGTTATTACCAGTGAGTATTTACATCATAATGTTTTCAGCTCAAACTGTCTTGTTAGAACAAAATACTGAAACATTACAATAATTAGGATTATAGTGATGAAGTTCATTTTACTCTTGTTGTCTTTCTCTCACAATATCTCCATCTTCACCAGTGACTGAACATAAGGACTCTGATAAGGTGACATTAGGCTGCTCTGTGTTGACTGACAGAGGGTGTGAACACAGAGTGAAGTGGCTGTATCAGGGTGAAGATCTGGATAAAGATAATGAAGACAGGGACACATCAGAGCCTAAGTGCTCAGTTACTGTGACATTTCCCTACTTCTGATCTTAACCTGAAGTCAGAGCATCGTGAGTTGTTTAAGTGTGAAGTGACTGATCTTTTTGTTCAACCAGAGCAGCAGTTTACCTTCAGCCTTCAGTCCTCAGGTCAGAAACCAGGTGAGAATATCAGTTATTTATAATCACTTGAAATTATTAAATCCCTCAATTTACAGTTTGTTGTTTTTTGTTTAACTTGTCAGGTAAGGATATGTATGCAGCAACAACCAGATCCACATATATATCAACAACAGCACCGACAACAACAACAACATCATCAACAACAACAACAACAACAACAACAACATCAACAACAACAGCAGAAAGTGAGAAACAAAGACATTTACAATGTATTCAACATAAAACAACTCTAGGAGTTCTGAATGTAATGTACTGTATATGCACAAATGCTGTAGATAGGATTAACAAACCATGTTTACATCAGCAACTATATCTCTAAATCTCAACAACAAAGTCAGATGGCTTCGTCCTCAGAGGATCATGACTATATACCTTTTAGAGACAGTCCATTCTATAGTTGTTAAGATGTTTAAGTCTGGACCAAAGTGATGGACTGACTGACAGAAACTGTCATCTCCAGAGCCATGTCACTAACTTTGTTAAGCACATATGTTGTGCGTCGGATTTGTTGATAATAACTTTATTCACTGACATTATTTTTCTGTTGCACAGCTCGTACAGATTGGTCTGTTCTGAACTACATAATGTTGGTTATGCGTGTGGCTGAACTCCTCCTAATTACTGTGATTACTGTTCTTCTCATCAGAGCTCGAGGTGAGAACATTCAGACCAACATTTGTTTACACTGATTAACACAAACTGTAAGTTTAGAGCTGAAATGTTACTCTGTGCTTTATTTTCCAGGAAACCAGAGACCACCT